CAGCTGTCCAGCTCTGACGGGTGCTGCCTGTGTATGCTTGAATTTAATGTTCTTCCCTTTGGTGGTTTCTGTAAAGTGTCACTGAATTTCATCACTCATTCCACAAAGAATCTCCAAACAGCTGTGAACAAGGATGATGGAAATCTGAGCACTGGTTGGAAAGTTAAGGAGAGCACAGGCATGGAAAGTATGTATTGGTCCAACAATACTGCATGATATGGATAAGCAGTTTTTTGGGGGTCTGGGACCTCAGCCAGTCATTTTAATTACGGGAAAATGTGCTAGTCCTTAATAGTGTTTACTTGAGTGTTTTATCAGTAACTTAGCTTTGCTTTGCATAGGTAGAGTGGAATTGCCAAAATCCACCATACGCTCATGATGTTGACTAAAAGCTGCTAAAGAGGCAATGCACACAGCAACAGGTGACACAGTCAGGATTTTCTCCCCCAAATGTTGGCAGATTAATGGTTTTGTCAATTTCAATCATAGTAACAAACAATATTTCTGGAAGTGCAAAATGTGAAACAGATAAAATTGCCAGTTGCTGTGACTCTACGATACAGTACCCTAGATGTGGAATATTTGTGATATGCAGCTAACATTACGTGATCCATTCTAATTTCTTTACTGGAAGAGTGAAGGACTCACCCTGCCATTCTAGTCTATGGGGTCTTACCATATCCGATAAACTTGTCAGGCAGGGGTTGTTCATCCACCAGCCACAGTTCTTCTATCCGATAATATGAACGGGGCTGCTAAATAAGTCAAGGACAGCAATATTACAACTTCTGTTACTTTATTGACAGACACAACAGTTTTATGATGGGGGCTGTGTCCAGCTTCAGTCTGAGCAGCAAGAGCATGTGCAAAGATGCAGTTCTGTAACTCTTTGTGAGAGTCTTTTAAAAGGACACTATTGCAGTGTTAATATTGGTGGCATATTTCAATTTAGTTTTAGTCATTGACTAAAAAGCCATTTTGGTTTTAGTCGTATTCAGAATTGTTTTAGTTTTAATCCACTAAATCTCTAGTAGATTTTAGTCAACGGTTTAGTAAAAGCCTATGTCTCTTTTGCCCCTTCCCCAGCCCCTCTGTGCAAATTTCAATTTAGTTTTAGTCATATTCTGTGGTTTTAGTCATATTTTAGTCATCTGAATTGTGTTAGTTTTAGTCGACTAAAACTGTTTATTGACAAAATTAACACTGCACTATGGTCACCTGAGCAACTACAGCTTAATATAAATGTTCAGGTGAGTATAGGGCTTTTTAATGTAAACACTGCCTTTTCTGAGAATTAGTGCCTCAGGACACCTCCAGTGGCAGTCACTCAAATGGCCACTAGAGGTGGTTCCTGGGTCATTGCTGCACACTGTGCAGCACTCATGTTCAGCGTCTCCACACTCTGAACGCTCGCCATACAGATTTATTGATTCCATGCATCTCTACGAGGTGATGTTGATTGGTGCATTGCAGTGTTTTTACATGCAAATATGAAAGTAGAGTTCCCCCCTCCTTGCACCCCGTGACCACAGTTTTCTATAGTGCTTAATGCGCCTTTATCCTTAACCTAATTTTGACATACCAATAATAAAATCAGAATTGTGGTTACAAGGAACTTGCTAAGGAAATTTCTCAGGGAGTCTCATTTTATTTAAACGGACAAAAGAAAGCACCAATATTGTCACCAAATATACTTTCATTTTGGTAACTGATGCTTTAATGCCAGTGTTACCTCAACCTACTATGTTTGCTATCACGTCAGCAGTCCTTGATATCTTGTGGTAGGATGGCACTTGGGCAGACAATACACCTGGTGTGCCATGAAGCATACATCTGATAAGGAAGTATTTTTCTGGAGTGAGGGGGCCTGGCTAAGGAGGCAGGGTTATGGTGCAGGATTCTGCAAAGCATTTATTATTTTATGCAAAAACTATTCTGATTTGAGCATGTAAAAAAGACAGCACATTAATGAAGCCAAAATCTAACACATTCACTAACCCAATTAATAATAGAGACAACCATATGTATATATGTACAAACAATTATATTCACATGAAGTACAGGAACTGACCCAAGCTAAACTAATCCAAATTTAGCTGTTGGCACAAAAACTAAAATAGGGAATTTGATTTTCTTACTTCTAAAGGCTGTAAAATAGCTCAGAATTGTTATCTATCTCCAAGCAGTTAGAAAGCCTCTTAGAAATGATCTGATACCGATAAAGCAAAACAAGGTTTATTTTTTTTTAATTAAACTGAGAATTCAAAGCTATTTTGCTACTAAATTATGGCTTTGTTTATTACCTGGCTATAAATATTGAAGTATGTTGGAATATCACACTGAATTTTAATTACATCAACATTAAATCCAAATTAAACAACCAGGCAACGTACAATCTGCCAAAAACCATATGCAGAGGCAAACCCATTTCAATAAAATGTCACTTTCTGTTACATTTTAATTACATTTGTTTTGGGTTGTTTTTTTTATTTTTATCATCATGGAAAAGCAGTTTCTCTTAGAATAGTAAATATGGCTAGGTAGAACCCTGGGGGATTCCATTCCTTGCTGTTAAGCTTTGTGTCTAATTCTTGTAATAAATATTTAAATAAATACATTAAATTCCTGGCAGAAGTTTATAATTATAAAATATTCCAGGGCATTTACTGGGTTTTATTTTAAAAATATCAAGTTGGTTTGGTTTTTTTTTTGGTGGGGGGGTTGTTAATGTTTTGGTCTGCGCTAGGAGACCTTCGTCAGAATTTTAGAATGAGAGATAGGTAGGTATTAAGCTTCTTAATAAACATAATTGTTTGAATTAAGAAAATATAATTAACCCCTTAAGGACTGAGCCAAATGTACACGTCGTGAACAAAACAAAATGTAAACAAAACCTGGCATTTGCGCTACGTCTGTCCAACCGTAATTCACCTCTTTCATAGTAAATGCACCCACCCTTATTATATATCACTTTATTCAGGGGAAACAGGGCTTTCATTTAATATCAAATATTTAGCTGTGAAACATAGTTTAATATGAAAAAAATGGGAGAAATTTAGATTTTTTTTATTTTTTTTAGTTCTACATGACATTTTAACTGTCAATGTCATAATACTGTTTTCTTTTACTGCAATAAAATACACATTTGTATTCAGCAAAGTCTCACATGTAAAACAGTACCCCCTATGTACAGGTTTTATGGTGTTTTGGGAAGTTACAGGGTCAAATATAGCACGTTACATTTGAAATTGAAATTCGCCAGATAGGTTATGTTGCATTTGGTACTGTATAGTAGCCCAGGAATGAAATTTACACCCATAATGGCATACCATTTGCAATAGTAGACAACCCAAGGTATTGCAAATGGGGTATGTCCAGTCTTTTTTAGTAGCCATTTGGTCACAAACACCGGCCAACGTTAGCGTTAGTATTTGTTTGTGTGTGAAAAATACAAAAAAACGCCAATTTTGGCCAATGTTTGTGACTACTAAAAAAGACTGGACATACCCCATTTGCAATACCTTGGGTTATCTACTTTTGCAAATGGTATGCCATCATAGGGGTAATTTTCATTCTTGGGCTACCACAGGGTCTCAAAGGCAACCTAACCAATCTGGCGAATTTTAATGTGAAAAAAATGAAACACAAGCCTTGCATTTTATGCTGTAACTTTTGAAAACACTATAAAACCTGTACATGAGGGGTACTTTTGTACTTGGGAGACTTCGCTGAACACAAATATTTGTGTTTCAAAACAGTAAACAGTATCGTAGCAATAATATCGTCCGTGTAAGTGCTGTTTGTGAGTGAAAAATGCAAAAAACACTAATATTTGTGTTCAGCAAAGTCTCCTGAGTAGAACAGTATCCCCCATGTACAGATTTTATGGTGTCTTGGAAAGTTATAGGGTTAAATATAGTGCTAGCAAATTAAGATACCGAATTAAGTAAAAATATTACATAAACACATATGTAGAATTAATATATGTGTACATATATATGTATGTATATAATTTAAAAAATATATTTTTATTTATATATAGGTATATGTATAGTGATATATATGTATATATTTATGTATAGATATATATATATATATATTATTTCGTTCTACGTGTATTTTGATATAAATATATATATATTAATATCACAATACAGTTAGAACGAAATAACACATCTATATATTTTTTTATTATTTATTTTTAATTATTTTTTTATTTTATTTTTAACGTATTTACATATTTTTTTATATTATATATATATATAACAATTATATATATATTTAATCAGTATCAGTCTACGTGTAATTTGATATTAATATATATATAATAGTAAAATACACCTAGACAGTATGTGTGTGTGTATGTATATATATATATATATATATATATATATATGATCTAAGTATATATATTTTTTTACACTTTAGTAACTTTAATTGTATTTTAATTCAGCCAGCAGGGGGCTAACTGTCATTACAGGCAGTCCCCCTGCTGGAATTGCAGCAGCCAGCTAACCCGGCCATGTGATTGTGAGGTCCTTGCAAGGACCTCACTCTCACATGGCCGGGGGGGCTGCAGGAGGCTGGATCTATTATGCTCGGCAGCGTTTAGAGCCGCCTAAAATAGGGCGTAATAGTACACCCTCCGGTCTTAAGGGGTTAAGGCTGAAAGGGTTTAAAGTTAGATCTAGGTCAATCTTATTTACCAACTAGTTTTTCTAATAGTTCCTAATCCATCATATCTAGGGTATGTGCTGAGTAAATTATAAACCTCTCTCCAGTGCGCCCTCACATACAATGTCTACTGTTGTGTTAAACTAGTCACAAGTTACATAGTTAATTTAGTTTTAAAGGGACACTATAGTCACCAGAACAACTACAGCTTATTGAATTTGTTCTGCTGAGTAGACTCATTACCTTCAGGCTTTTTGCTGTAAACACAGTCTTTTCAGAGAAAATGCAGTGTTTACATTACAGCCTAGTGAAAACTCCACTGGCCACTCCTCAGATCGCCGTTAGAGATCCTTCCTGGGTCATGGCTGCTTAAAATGCATCCAAACATTCAGTGTCTCCTTCCACTGCATGCAGACACTGAACTTTCCTCATATAGATGCATTGATTCAATTCATCTATATGAGGAGATGCTAATTGGCATGGGGTGTTTTTAACTTGTGCTGGCTCTGCCCATGATCTGCCTCTTTGTCAGTCTCAGCTAATCCCATGGGGAATTATTGTGATTGGACCAGGCTACCACTTCTGATGATGTCAGCAGGCAGTGGGCAGGTCTAAAGGAAACAGAGCCAGAGCTAGCAGCTCCAGACTTGAATACAAGTAAGATTTTGCTATTTTTAGGGAGGCATAAGGAGATCAGGGGGGCTACTTGGTGGTTTTAACCCTATAGGTTCAGGAATACGTTTGTGTTCCTGACCCTATAGTGCTCATTTAAAGTTACTTTAAGATTAAAACTACCTCAATGTGCATAAAGTAACAAAGGCTAAAATAAAATGTTCTTAAGTCGAGGCATTGGATTTTTCCCTGTATCCACAATTTTTAGTTTGAATTTCATTAATATGACCTTTTAGTTAATAAACACCTCCTGTGCATGGGTTTACAATGTGAGGGCCTTTTAATTATACGTAAATACACTCATGGGCATTCTAAAGGACTCTGTTTCACAAAATTTTTAAAGTTCAGTCAGGAAACTTTGACAAAGTAACGTTCAACATATTTTAATGATATAAGACATATGAAAACTAGACAATACGATAGCCATTTTCTAAAAATGAACAAGGGCACTTTAAATACGATAGCAGACTGCATTACACAAGCCATTCTTTAGCCATAGAGTTTGTTGATAAACTGCTTTAAACATGTGAAGTGGAGTATCGGTAGCCATTGACCTAGGTACAGATTAAGGAATGAGGAGTATATCCAGTGTACAGAGATGGAATTTAATTATTCTTCTTTCTGCTCTTTTAAGTCTTCAGCAGCCTCCAATATCGTCTCACTTTCAGTGGAGGTTTCATCCTTCGATTCGGTGGGAGTGCCGGAATCTGCAGCATCCTGTGGCGGGCATTCACTGTCATAAATAATGTCTTCTGGGTTAGGAGCCGGTGGACAAAACTCTTCAGTTGGGTAAAGCGTACTGAAAATATTCTCCGCCTGTTAACATACATACAAAGTACTTTAGTGGATAAATATCTCCAATATTCAGTATTTTTAAGATATCCTAATATGGCTTGTGAGATCTGCTTCCTACACACTTGTTAACTGGTTGAGATCACTAATCCTGATAATCTCAGCTAATCCAAAGGCTAATGCGCAGGTTCGATGATTCGCTGCACTGAACGGACCAAATGATGCTCTAAAAGCAACATCTGATTTAGAACAGAGTTTAAGTCTGTTCTCAACATGGAAGACAGCTACTAGAGGTGAGACAAACCTGCAACCATGACATTGTCATATTTGCTAAACAGCAACATTGCAGGGTTACAGGGCTAGACCACTTAAAGGACCACTATAGGCACCCAGACTGCTTCAGCTCAATTAAGTGGTTTGGGTGCCAGGTCACCCTAGTTTTAACCCTGCAGCCGAAACCATAGCAGTTTCAGAGAAACTTCTATGTTTACACTGCAGGGTTAATCCAGCCTCTAGTGGCTGTCTGCCTGACAGCCACTAGAGGCGCTTTCACGATTTACACTGAGTAAATCGCACTTATTTGCTGCTGGACGTCCTCACGGAGTCCAGCATCAAATAGGATCCTCAAAGGAAAGCATTGAGTAATTCTTTCCTATGGGCAGGTTTGAATGCACGTGCACATGCGCATTTTTGGCTCCACTCGGGAGCTGACGTCGGCAGGGGAGGAGAGGTCACCAGTGCAGAGGGACCCCGGCGCTGCATTAAGGTAAGTGGCTGAAGGGGGCACTCCAAAAGCCTATAGTGCCAGGAAAATGGGTTTGTTTTCCTGGGACTACAGTATCACTTTAAGAGATAAAGTGCTCTGGATGCCTTCAGTGATCCTTTAATATAATGGCTACGTAGATCTGTTGCATAAGGGCTCAATCAGACTGTGTTGGTCACTCAAATGCATAGATAAAACTCTCATGTCATACTTGCTTGATAAGTACTGTATAATCTTTCTAACCTGCTGGATTGCACGGTCATTTCCAAAGCTCGGATCCGGGCCACTGCAAACATGCACGTTATCTGGAAGTCCAACATAACACTGCCGATCAATGCCTGAAGAGTCTCTCATGTTGAAATATAGTGCCCAGAGGACTCTTGGCTTTTCTAGGTCCTCATCTTCAGAATCTTAAGAAAAAATATATAACACACAAAGTAAATGATCAAATAAACAAAGGATCCACTGAGATTCTCTAATTTTCAAAAAAGCCCTGGAGATACAGATGTTATCATGACTCAATCACGACGATACTTATTTAATTAACTGTCCTTGAAAGGAGAAAAAGGAGTTGGCCCTGCTATGGAGAGAACCTGTGGCTCTGAGGTTCGAAGAGGTTCTAAACTCAGTTCATTAAAAAAAAAGTGCAATCTTGATGTCAAAGAAGGGCAAGCAATAAGTAGAAACCGTCCTAATTCCACTACAGTAGGGACAAATGGGAGAAGTAAAATCTCCATAAAATTCCTTGTGATTCTCTCACTGTATCTGCCTTTTCAGAGGGCAACTGGATCAGAGTGTAATTTACTGAAACCATACTGAAAAATATAACGTTAAGTAGTAGAAGATAATTTTACACAGACAAGCAAAAAAAAAAAATATTAACAAACCTAACCATGAGTATCTGGGATAAACTTCACCTCTTCCTGGTGCTTGACGAAACACTTATTTGAAAGAAAAAGGTTAGAAGCTGATTTTCAGGATGCTTTAAAGGGTGCATCTATCTAGATTTTCACCTGCCCTCCTCTACTGATGCCTGCCTACCTTCTTTATCAAAGTAGCTAAACAGTTACATTAAAGAATTACAGCCTATCTCAACTAATTAGGACAATGGAATCTCAAGTATTAGCAGTTTGATTATTTGTCCAAAGCTTCAAAGAGGAGAGTAAAAATGTGAATAATAAGAAATAATGCCAAATTATGGTTAGTAGACGAGGAACAACATACAATTTATAAGAGCTTAGTGCATAGTTTACTTACCCGCTTTGCTATCATTTTAATTATTTTGTTGAAACAATAAAGATATTGAATAACATAAAAATTAAAAGTCTTCACATGTACGCACCACCTTCACATCTTCTATTTCATGGAATAAATTACAGTTCATGCATTCCATAATATGGCCTCCGACAAACATAGTAAAATTAATGAACAGTACAATACATAAATGGCCCGCACTTTAAGCTGAGCTCGAGCAGTTTAATTACTGCTCTATTTCATGATCAAAGCGGCCTCTGCGCACAAGCATTCCTGTGTTACCAAACACCGCAGTAAATGGCGTCCCTTGTATAGTTAATTTGCCTTGCAAATATTGGAAAATGTAAAAAGTTATGCATTTAATGAGCTCAAATACTCTATTTGGTTTGCTATCTTGTAAGTCACTTTAATTCCAATTTAAAATCTGGAGTAAACATAGGTAATTAAATACAGGCGTACTAGAAAGAAAATGGTGATTTTTTTTTACATATACAAAAAAGCATAGGTAATCAGCCCAGTATCCAAACGTTAGGCCCCTGTCCAGAAAAGGGAGAATTTGGAATAGCTGGGACTCCCATTATACTTTGCAATAATTATTGAATTCATGTAGCTGCAATAATATAGAAGTTTAACTCTAAGCAAAAGACAAAAAAAACCAAAAAACAACAAAAAACAAACAAACAGGGTAAATTAGCACATCCTTAGTATCTAAACTTCTAAAACCATCAACACAAAAGCAACCAAAACATTGTCATGTCATCAAAGCAAGATACTGGATGTGACGGTAGTCACCATCACCAGTCGCTTAAGATGGAGACTTAAATTAGCTCCTTGGAGGACTCCTATGTTTAAGTCCTGCTGACACTCTGGATGCAGGATGTGTATAATGTATTGTATATTGTTAAATGTTTGTGTGCTCTCCTGTCCTGCTGATGCTTGCAATCAACTAGGTGGATTTGGCCGTGGAGCCTGTACAGCGCCATCTGTTTGTAAGGATCTAGAAACAGCTAGATGCACTACCTGAATGGCAAGGCTTTTTAATTTGCATATTGAGGTAGATTTGCGTATTATGATTTCTGAAGGCAGGGGAGATATTTTCGGTTACTGTTTATCTTCCCACCCCTTTATAAAAAAATGTTTTGTGTGTTTCCTATATAAGTTGATTATTTGTATTTTATTGAAGTTGTCACCATAAGTTAAATGTAATGTGCATATGGACTAGTCCTAAGTTTAAAAAATAAAGTTGTGTGTGCTAGTTCCTTTTGGAACTATGTGACCTGCTGGATTTGTTCAGGGATCCCAGTAACAGAGTCTTCAGACCTGCCTGGAAGGAGAGAGCTGCATTCCTGGTCGGGTGGAAGAGTTTCTGAGAGCCCACAGTCAAGCCCCAGCAACTGAAGCTCAAGCGTTCCAGGGTGCCTGAAAGCGGCTAGGAAGTAGACTAGGCGGAGGTAGTCAATCAGAGAATGGGCGTTCTGTCACACAGGAATTTTGGAATTTTATGACATTTGTACATCATATTATAAAACTATATATGGAAAAGAGATACCAAGAATATATAATAGTGTTTATTTAGCACAGGTTTGTGATGCCCAACTACAAACCACACAAGCTCTCTAAATATATGTCTTAGTCAGACAGATGTATCATGGACAATGGGAAACTTAACTTTTGTCTCTCCGAGACTTAACTATTTTCTGAGACATTCAACAGATAATTGGATCAAGTGTCTGGACTTAGGTAGTCATCGCTCAAATCTGCACATCCATCCTGACTGACTGCACATAGTTAGTGAGAAAACTACAAGTGGAGGCAGAACTACGAGCAAGCCAACATGGCCTTGTGTCAAACCTCTAACATACTGAACAAACACTAACCTGCACCAAATCAACACAGACAAAACAAAGAAGCCAGACAGTACTAAAGCACGTCAGAGCCATAAAGCAGTGAATCTAAAACAATAAAAAAAAAAAAAAGCAAAACCCCAAAACCCCTACAGATACAGGGATGACATGGTCAATACAAGACTGTCTGTTGTATCTAGTAGGGAAATGGGCTAAACACTTAAGCCCCAGAAACCAGAAGACACAGCATCCCAGATATGCCAGTATATAATGGCAATGACCTTCGCCCGAAAGTAGGGAACAGCAGGCTGTGTAACCTTGAGGGAGGTTGCTATGGGGGCGCTCCTCGAAATAGAGAATTTGGAGTGGATCACATATACACAACCTTGCCATGGGACTATTACTGACAAGTCGTTATCACCATTTCCCCTCCACCCCCCACTATGTTTTAGGTTAGTATACTGTTAATCAACCCCATTCGACAAGACCCTAATAGTCACGCATATGCGGCATAAGCCAATTTACGAAAACCAGACACATTTACACAGTTCAAAAGTGTGTAGCTTCCACCTTATATGACGGTATAAAACTAGCAGGCATGAAGGCCTGTGACTATATCTCCGGGGTCTCTCTCTTCCCACCCCCCCCAATCCTTCCCCCACTCATGACTATCTAATGCTGCAATATATCACATTTCAAACCATGACAGACACAATGAGAAGAGTCAATGACTGCGGGTTACAGATCCGTATTAGTTGCGGAGGACCCAACCAAGTAATTCTACCACCTAGGACTCCATAATGGGTTCAGGAAGATGAGGTTCTTACAGGGAATCTAAAGTATAATGGTTGATCACTGACAATGTATTGTTGTATTGATATCAATGCTACCTAAATGTTGTGGATGGATTGCCTTAAGGACTGTATCCCTTTTATCCCCCCTTTTTGCTTTCTGTACCCCTGATTTCTTTGAAAAAAACTGAATAAAGCATAAAAAAACCCCACAACAACTAGGATTATGGGTAATAATTAATACAAGATATATTCATAAATTAAGAAAAGACAGCAACCCAAACATAACAACTGAGTAGTGAAGTACTATGATATATAATATACTGATAGCATTGTTTTTAATTTACATCTATCAGCTGCTAGTTTGTATACAGTGCCATTGCATTCATGTTATTTAACCAGTTTTATACTGTGCTTTTACTGAACTCCTGTGTGCAATGTTATATTCATGTGTTATATATAAGAATTGCCCTGATCATGTGTTTTAATAAATAAATATATAAGTTCTAATTAAAGTTGACATGCTTTTTATATTTAAAAAAAAAAAAAAAAAAGCGAAACTATCACCCCATTTCAATGCAAACAACAAGGGGACACCACTATATAAGCCTTGAACTAGAAACTTGTTCATGACATGAAGGCAAGGTTTGTGTTTAGAATATATTCCTGGTCACCTTTTTGCTTTGCACAGAGGAAACGACATAAGGGTAAATGCGTTTGTATTATTGGCCTTGATATAAGGAACGCGGACAAGGTGTCAAGCTGAAATGTCAAGAAAGTCATTAAGACAAATGTCAGAAGATGGTAATGAACATGATGTGGGAGTCACTAGAGACTAATGGATTTCACTAAACAGATGAGAGGTTTCACAGTACAGAGCGCTCACTAACACAGCTTTTACTGGACAGTGCTGCCTAAAACCAATTCACACTCTCTATACATTATCTATTTACTGCTAGACAGGGCTATCACAAATATGACTAAGACTGCTGACTTTAGCTTAAATTAAGCTACGTTGATTATTATATATTACATAGAATTCATGCCTGAAATGATGAACAATCATATTTATGGTTAAGCACAGACTTATACCGTTATTCTGTGTTTTAACCCATTAAGGACCAATCGCTGTCCATATTATAAGAAGCATCTAGTCCTGAGAGACCCTACTTTGAAATGAATGTCCTACTGACATAGCATTACTGGTGGCTCTATAGAACGCCTCACTTTCTTGGATAAAAATAAATAAATCTTAGTTTGGTGTTAACTTACTAAACCAATAAATGATGGCTGGAATTGCACTAAGTAGCAATACTATTTACATGCAAGATTGTATTATCTGTTATGCTATTACAGACATGGGCACAATCTAATTTTTGATACACGCGAAGTAGCTTTCTTTGGACCCCCATTCCTTTTTCTGATCTGGTGTGCACCTCTTTTCTGAGATAACACAATGCTTTTACTTTAACACAGAATTCCAAAGCAGTAAAACGTATATAGATTTAGATAGGTTATATAGCTTGCGAGTGCATCATAGCACTTTGCACCAATAAAGCTTACAGTCATTTGTATCACAGAGCTCCATGGCAGTAAAGCTCACAGCAATAGGAAGAATGTATCTGTGTAACACAGAATTGCACAGCAATAAGTTCTGCACGAGTGGATTACAGAGGTCCACAGCAATAAAGATCTCAACAATGTGTCTTCAGACTGCAGCAGTTTTGTTTACGAATCACACTCATGAAATGATTGTGTTGTGATGACTTATTCTTTCAATACAGAGAAGGTTATAAACAGAATCAATAGAAATCAACCAATATCGTGGTATCACAAGGCAAAAGCAAATTTGAAGTCTCTCTGTGTATAGAGTGTATAGCTAGGTACCAAAAGGAAGCAAATAGAAAAATTACTGTTGTGTATCGCCTGCATATCTCAAGTTGGACTTGAAAAGTCCTCTTTGGGTACAGAAAGTCGAGTAATCATGTATCCACAACTATCCCTGAGTTAGATAAATTCATGTTGTACGGAAGCAATAGCTTAAGAAGGTAAGCCAGGTAAAACAGGTACCGTGTAACAGAGAGAGGAGTTAAATGGTTAGCCTATAGGTTTACCTAATGAAGTGTGTTCATTGGGATTTCTTTTGAAGGAACAGGACAAGGAGTTTGATATGGCAACGAGATATGTAGCTTTTATTGTATGTGCGTCAACCTGCGACACGGTAAGGAACTAGAAGCCCTGCTTCTGCTAGCAGATATAGTGTCATTTCATCAATGCAGGAACATTGTAAAATTCACCAACAACATGAATTCTTGACTTCTGATTAAATTGTGTGCATGCACAGCAGTAAATAGCCCCAGTTCTGACTGTTGACATGTTGGCAGACAAACCACTAGCAAGCAGCGGTCACATCTGTTGCCCAGATGAACCTAACCAGTGTGAAGTCAGAAAGCATCCTATCCCTTGAAATAATAATTTCAGAACTGAAATCTAACTAATTAAGGATAATTAAAGGGACACTGTAGGCACCCAGACTACTTCAGCTCATCGAAGTGGTCTGGATGCAATGTTCCTTATCCCTTAATCCTACAGTGCTAATTATTGCAGTTTCTGAGAAACTGCAATAATTACCTCTGAGGATTAACTGCACCTGTAGTGGCTGTCTGCCAGACAACCACTAGAGGGACTTCCTGAATTGACCTTTGGTCTGGTATCTGATGCTGGACGAACTCACGTTCTGCATGAGGAATTTCAGTGTCAGATTTTTCCCCATAGGAAAGCATTCATTAATGCTTTCCTATGGGGAAATCTGGATGCAAGCGCTGCCATTGCCACACATTAGGTCTCCCCCGTGAGCGGGGAGGAGCGTGGGTGGAGCCTGACCCAGCGCTGATGTCCCTCGGCATTCTAACCACTTCAGGAGGGAGGGCTACTGTAGGATTTTATAACCGCGGGAGGGAGGGCTACTGTAGGATTTTATAGTGCCAGGAAAACGGCTTTGTGCTCCTGGCACTATAGAATCCCTTTAATAGTGCTTTCTTTATCTACATAAAATCAGCTATATTTAGTTAGAACATCTGTACAACCGCATAGAACTGAGCTTTCAAATTAAATCTTAAATAACTAAAAAAAAAAAAAAAAAATAGAGAAAGGACTTCTTGCATTTAAATTGGGGGAGCACTGTTACACCAGACAGTGAAACACGACCATCCGATAAAATACTTCTATTTAACTTAACAGGAAAAATACATTAAAATGTAGAGAACAAAAAAATTGAAAATTGTTCAGCTAATAAGTCACAACAGCTCACACGTTAACATCGTTATCAAGTCAACTGAGCACCCTTTTATCACGTATTTTGTAAGGTTAGGAAATCGTTTAAAATGCTAATTAAATCCAACAGCCTGTGAAAAAATGGTCTCTTGATAAAATGCAAAATGCTTTTCCAAAAAATCCTTAAAAAGTTCATGACGCTAGCGAAGTTACTTCTTCTTCACTTAGCAGGAAAATGAATGAAGTCCTCTCCAGCAGGTGACTTTGTCTCTCCGACCTGCCATGGACCAGTGATCACTTTATCTGGTGATTCATTTTCAATAACTCCAACAGTATTTGTTCTGACATTTTAATTAAAATACGACCACTACCTCATCCTGATGATAGAAAGACCTGTGTCAGGAAAACTAGCTGTTCGGTGCTTCAGAGACCCTCTGATTATGTGGCTCTTGTGAAGGAATCCGAGTAGAACTGTGAACGATGATAGATCAGGTACTCTTGAAAGAATGTAGCTGTAACAGAAAATGGTTTTCCTGGCTTTGAAGCACTAGATAACTGCATGTGCTGCTGGTGAGTGGATTGGACATTAAAGTCTGCAACAAAGTAAACATTCAGTTCCCACTTTAGAAAAGGCTGATATTTACTACATACTATTAAAAGATATTAACCTTACAGCACACTTGTGACTAAATATCAGTGTTCTTGGGATGGATCGCCCTACTGAAGACGACAAGACTCACAGCTTTCACTAAGTGGTTGAGTCAATTAATGGGGAGGAATAATCACGCAAATTAAGTTGATAAAAAGACGGCCAATAAAGTAAGCAACTGGGAATTTATCAAGTCAACTTTAATTATTTACCAACTGGTAGTTTTAATCTCTGAATAATTTACTTAACTTTCTTTGCTTAGTTTGTCTGTGCTGAAAACCGCACATGTCCACAATTAATCTTTGCCTGCCAATAAGTACACCTAAACATTTGCTGGGTTAGGCCCGGAGAAACTCTAACATTCTTCCACCTGCAGCATAGTGGAACAATGTGGCAACCACGTTGAAGAGCCAGAAGTGAGGTCACTACGCAGGAATGACCTCCATGGCGACATTTGGACCAGGCAAAAGGTGGATGCCGGAAGTTGCAACATTTCATTGGAGAGAAGCAATATTTTTAAGAGGTTTTTTTTTTTTAAATGAGTTTTTTTTATATGTTTACTGTGTATGTTTTCAATATGCATTTTAATTCATTAAAAGTACATACATATATGATTTCACTGTATGAATTTTTATCTCACTGAAAATAAGAAACTCTGGTACTGGTACGAGGTTCTTGTACACTGAGAGTAACACTTCCTATTGCGTGAGTTAACATTAGGAGCCACTTAAAGGGACATTATTCTATACAAACAAAAAACACTTCCAGCTAAAATTGAGCACAATAGACTCACAGCATCATCAGAGAGTTCAAAGAACCAATTACTGTCCCCTGCAGCAAAGCTACTCTGAGCCATCTCCACACTGAAAAACGGACAGTGCTAATTCCAGCTGAACTTATTATAGCTTCGTTAGACACAAATATTAATCTAATTCATATGATTTCTGTAAAGAAATGGTCAGGTGATAAAGACAATGCAGGTGAGTCTTTGGCCACAGGGTCCGAGTGTTTGTTTACCTTTTTCAGGCTCAGTGTTCACAGTAAACAATTTCTGTACCACTGGTTCCAGATCTTCTTTGGCAGTTGTCTTAGTGGAGGGACAAGTCAGATGGACCAAATCTGCAATCACAACATTTTATCATTAATAGCATTGCCATAATTACAGTATCAATCTGTGAGGTTGGATCCGTGCAGGCTAAAACCTATATAAAAAAATAAATATATATATATATTAAAGTAAAATGGTGCTGGTTACTCTTTTTTTTATCCTCAAACACAGCTTTAAAAAAAAAAAAAAAAAAAAATCAGTTTTCAGATCACAGCTGATGATGAAACTGTTACTAAATGAATAAACATAGCCGACAGGCACCACCAGAGCTACTGTGGAAGCACATACAGTACAGATGAGGGTCACAGGGGCTGCATTAGAAATACTTATCGATTACTCTTGCATAAATTAACCTGTTTGATGCAGCATTATTTTCATTTATTACATTGTACTTGCAAAATGTCTAACGAGGATAAAGGCCCTTGTTTTTACACGGCTGTCGTTTTTATTATGCTAGTTTTATTCTGCCTGATTTTGAATTTGTTCTGAAGACAATTTTGAAAGAATAAAATTCTAATGTGAAACAATTTTATTAACAAAATAAAGAACAGTAACTAATTAGTGACCATTACAGAACTATAGAAAATATAAATGCACACATATTACTATGCCCTCATAAGGCCCTTTCAACCATTGTCTGGTACATGCTTCTCATGTATATTTGTGTTATGCACTAGTATTTAAAGGGACACTCCACCACCCAAGTAGGGGAAAAAAGAGAAATGCACATCACTGTTTAGTAGATATATCACCAATTAAAATATGCATGCATTTAATTATGCTTGTTTTTAAATTGGGGGTATAAATCTTTTGTCTGAAACCTTTGCAAATCTCCCCTTTCAAACCAGCCCAGACTTTCTATGACTGTCCAATCGCATTGTAATTCTTTGTGGATGTCTGATTGAGAGCCACTAGAGGCGTGGAGATTTGAAACAGTACTGATTTCAACTGCAGGGACAAGATCAATGTACCAAAATCACTTCATTTGGTGGATTAGACTGGCTTGGTTGTTTTTATTTAAAAAATTTTTAATTGTCTACATTTTGCTGTCACAATGTAAACATTAACAGTGCGTCAAGGTGTCTACTTTCTGAACATTCGGTATTAGCGCTCCTCAGCAGACAACTTTTATGACTATCGCATGAAATGCGTCAGGTGTACAGGTGGGGGAAGGACGGGGTGCCTTCTGACCTCACTAACAAAAAGAGGAAGCCAAACTGTACAAAGGCTTTCGATGGTAACAAAGGTTCACACTCCAAAGAGAGCAGCTTTATTCAGGAAAAATTGTGGTGAATTATGGTTATTCTAAGTATCAGTGATCATAATGGAGGGTGATGCTTCCAGGAAAAAGGTGGAAAAAGCAGGAGTAGGGGTAGCGAGAGAAACATCAGGGTAGAGTAAAACTATGTACGTATTGGGAAATGAGAACGGTATAATTAGAGTGGAGTGAGATTAAAGAAAGGTAAAGAGGAGGTGTGTCGAGAGGAAAAGAGTATCTCTGGAAGTTAGCTATTAAAGTCCCATAGGAAGTTTAACTTTTCATGTTTGGTGGCTAAGGGAGTTATCTCAACTTTCTTGGATGTTTTCATTAAACCATAGGTCCCAAATTATATGGAATGATTTTGGTGTATCATGGATCTGGGCGGTGAGTTTATCTATTTCCAAGGCTTGCACAGTCTTTCAGATAATCGTAGCTAAAGTGGGAACCTCAGATGAGTCCCAGAATTCCCTTATTGCTCTGTGAGCAAACAATGCTACTCAAACCACCAGTTTATTACTCGGCGAGCAAACAATGCTACTCAAGCCACCAGTTTAAGTTCAGCTGTAGTAAAGGAATCTCCCGATTTGTCCCCAAGCAGATTGTAATTGGTGCTGGTGCACCGATCGCACGGGGAAGGAGGCTCCATTCTTAATAACAATGTAATTATGAAACCAGCCAGAAGATGGCGATCATAGACCACTATCTACTGTTTTAACTATGAAGTCCATCTTTTATTACTAGAATTGATATTCGTAGAGGGTTTCCTTGGGGTTAGGGTTAGTGGTGGGGTTACGGTTAGGGTAAGGTTAAATTTATTGGGAAAGAGTAGGGTTAGAGTTTGTGTTGTGTTAGCTGTAGGAATAGGGTTATAGTTATGGTAAGATAAAGGTTAATGCTGGTCTTGTTTTAATGCTGTATTGGTTTAGAGATTGTATATGGTTAAGAGGCAGGTATATGGTTAGCATTGGTGTAAGCATAATGGGTTCTATCATTTAAAAAAAACAATATATAATATGTATAGAGCAGTTAAAGAGAAACATTTAAATTAGCGCAAATTCTAGGTTTTGTTTTCGATTCAGAACAATTGCCTTCGTCCATGAAGGGTCCATGGGAGTTGTTTTTCTACAACAGAAGAACATTGTGGAGGGTGTAAAATATACAAGTGCCCTCGATTTACTGATATCATAAGACATACCTATTGTCCATATAAATATAAAGCCAGTGACAAAAGATCATGCTATTGTGAAAATAATTACAACCAACAAACAAACCCCCACCAATCACTTTAGTAATACAAAAGTGATATTTTGTAGGATGGTATTTTGAGTTTAGTAATCAAAGGGAGCATTACATCTCAAACCACTTTAGTACGCAAGTCCACAAACTTTTAATGAACCGTGTCTTCCTTTTTTTATAAAAGATCAAAGTCTTAACAAAGGTACAATCTCCTTTTCAAGTCTAATAATAATTAGCCTTAACTAGTTCGATAGTGGTAATCTGAGCAGGGCTTGGAAACAGTGGGGCCTGTGTATTCTGCATCTCGACAATTATCTCATTCACTCACACATACTGCAAGGCCAATCCTCAAAGTGAGGCGTCCCACGGGACTGATGTGATCACTACCACCTGCAACACTAACCGGAATTCTCATTGCGATCCCATATTTCTTAGCTGTGACTTAGAAGAAAATGACACCGTTAACCCTTTAGTCAAGACGAAGGACAGGATTTACTCAGATTAAGGGTTAATTCAGTGTCCTGTGCAAAACTGTTTAAGCAATAGTTTTGAACCTTAATTCAAGTTAATTAGAGCATTAGCCCCCCGAGGAATTAGGCATTTGATCTATCATGACATTAATGGTGTATCAATGGTCATGATGGTGTTAAGCAGAAACTGGCTTCAAGAGGAACGCAACAGTAGCTCGTAGCTCCTTGGAAAAAAGGGTGTGAAAATGTGGACGTGCCCATCCATGGTGGTAAACTATTAGAATATCTTCATTTTGCTCAATGGATAAACAGTTATACCACTGGCAATTTATGGTTTAGCATTGCAGTTTACCTTTGGTACTTTTTGAGTGAATATTGAATAAGAACAAAAAATATATAATACATACAAATGACTAAAATATTCTCAGATGTAGTCTTCCTCTTTATTTTTTATTTAAACCATTTGGTAAAAATTAAAACATGCTCTTCTTCAGTGGTTTAAAAATTAAATTTCTCCTATAGCAATTGATTTATAACGTTTTCTCAGAGTTCTTTAATGTCACATCACATTCAAACTAGCAACTGAAATTTTATCATATTTATATTTGATAAAGTGATGCAAAAATAATGAGGCAGACTATGAGAGAGCTGAGTGATTAGAACGTGTCCTGCAGTACCTTTAATACCCGTTCAAACTTCAGTTTAACAGGTTCAATTCCTGGTTGTGTCAACTGCTTGGGTAATAGAATCTCTACACCTAGATATACTCAAATACCAGTAAACAACACATTATTATTATTTAAGCTACTTTGTACAGTGCAGCAGTCGAGTAAGTGACAGCAAGCTTTGTTACTAATTGTATGCGAAAGTTTCCAATGCCACTGCAAACATTTTAATATTTTCATAAATCCCCCAACGGATGAAAAACACCTCATTAAATAAGAAACATTAAAGGAGGGCTAATTGAATTAAAATAGGTTTTATAGATTTTTGCTCCAGTCGGTTATAAAATCATCAAGGTTCTCATCATTTATTTTCAATATAGGTCTTTCTATTATCATTTCAGGGGATGACTGAGTCATAAAGGCTCATCAGAGGATATTCTGATTAAGTTTGATTTACTTAGGTATAGCTGCATTAGTTACAGTCGTTGCCAGCATTTGTCTTCAGGTAATTCTCCCGAGAGAAAGAGCGATGAGGCCAGTCTATGATTCCATCATTAGAGTCTCAATTTTTAGGGCAAGTGAAGGAGTTTGGTTCCAGTCAGCTGGCAATACCGATTATGTGACTGTCATTTACGTGGCGTGATCAAAAGCAAGATGTATTTGTATATTTATCTTAAGCAATTGTTTGAAGGGGAAATCACTCACTCAGATCTCATTTGCAGCTAATGAAGTAAAAATACAAGGTACGATTTATGGAACGCCGATCGCTGCTGGAATCGAGCTGAACCGAAAATATTCTCTTGGTTGACTGGTTTGCAAAAACAAAGTAAGGACGGCTGCAGTGATTGACAGTGGGGAAGTATAGGATTTTGGTAGAGAGATAAAGGGATTAATTCTGTTAACCTATTAATTTCCACCCAATGCTCACTACTTAAACTGGTGATGGCCGAACTTTATACAGAAGAGGTTTCTGAACAATTTATTTCTTGATTTTAAAACGATACTTCAACTTTGAACTGGATAAGCATCATTGGTAATGTAACGCACAATGCCAGGTTTGCCATCACTGGCCTAAACTGTATGGATTACTATGGACATAGTAAAAATCTGGCTAGAGAGTTATTCTATTAAAGAGTCCACTGTGAGCCGCCATTTATGGATCAATTGTGGGCGCACATTGTTTTATGACAAAGGAAATAAGCAGTTTCTTTATTTTCATTTTAGATGCATGGGATCACACAAATAGGTATAATTGGTATATTTAAACATAAACAGGTAGGATTAAATACACTATATTGTCACATATATACATTGAGAATTTAAATATTTAATAAATTAAACCAGCTATAAGACTTGTATATTACTCTCATGAATTTTATATACCCATCCCCTTGGGCTCTATGCTTTCTTTTGTCTTCCAATTTCTCAATTCTACTCCTGACCTTTTTGTCCCCTACAATCCCCCACTGTTTAAAGGACCACTATAGTGCCAGGAAAACATGCTCACAGTGAGAAGCACGCAAGCGCCTGAATGAGACAGCCACTAGAGGAAATAGGGGAATGCTTAACCCATTGATAAACATAGCAGTTTCTCTGAAACTGCTATGTTTATGAAAAAATGGGTTAACTCTAGCTGGACCTGGCACCCAGACCACTTCATTAAGCTGAAGTGGTCTGGGTGCCTAGAGTGGTCCTTTAACTCATATGATGTGGCTTCTTTCTCCTCGATTGCCTCACATATCTGTCACTATGTTTCTATTTATCTTACCAACTGTACTGGCAATACAGTTTTATGCTTTCTGTGATAATGAACATTATTTCAATAAATACTTTAACTGATACATTATGGCACTGTGTATGTTTGTTGCATTTTTATTTTGATAGTTAAAGTGGCACTATCATGGCCGCATCTGTTTTCTATTTAACCCCCTCCCGACTACACATCATCTAATTGCCCCCCCCCAGTAATCCCCAAATGCCCCTAGGCCCCCAATATTACCTAGTCCCTACTTTGTCTTATGTTTCAAAGAAAACTAGAGCAGATAGGAAGAAACGGAGAACAGCGATTGGGGAAAGGTAAGTTCGGCCTGACAGTGCTGCTTTCAAGCAATACTAGTAAATTTTGGCAAATGATTAACATGTACTGCAAATATCGCAAATGAACTGCAGTAATTTCCCCTGGTTGGCTGCACAGCATGATCTAATTCAGGACATGTTCATGTACATAATGCCATAGTGACATGTTCTAGATCACTATTATATGGCAATGCTATGTAATCACAATAAGCGATACATCCAATATAATCCGCTATTAGAAGCTAACCCCAACCTGATTAACTACCACGGTGATGACAATAAAGGCATGTGTCTGTTTTACTGCACTAGCGTGTCAATAATATAAGAGTACTCTTTTTCGGCTTGGGTAGTTTGTATGTTCACACCTTCTGCCTCTATCTCTCCTCCTGCTTCTAGCAGCTGGGGATGTCTTTCCCAACCCAGGGCCCGTCATCTCCTCTACTCACACTAAGTCAACCAGAAACCACACAAACCTCATCCCAATACCATAAGTTCTATCCCCATCTACCAATATTCAATGTGCACCCCGCTTCATTTGTAGCAATATAAAATCAACAGCCATACAGGACCTCTTCATCTTAAATTCTTTCACACTTCTTGCACTCACTGAGACCTGGCTTTCCCCCTCTGATACGGATACTCCTGCTTCCTTATGTTATGGTGGGCTACAATTTTCCCACACTCCTAGATCAAACAACTGCAAAGGAGGTGGTGTAGGCATCCTTCTCTCCCCTCAATGTACCTTTCAACCTATCCTCCCTGCCCCTGCCCTATCCTTTACTTCCTTTGAAGTTCACACTGTCCATCTATTTAAACCCACTCCTAAGAATTGCCCTCCTCCACCCCCCAGTCATCCTAGGCTATTCATTGAACACTTTTCTTCTGCTACCCCCATTTTCTCTCCTCTAGCACTCCTCTCATTCTTGGGGACTTTAATATCCCAATCAAAAACCCTAACTGCCCTGATGCCCCTCGTCTGCTCTCTATAAGCTCCTCCGTTGGACTCACACAGTGGTCTAATTCACCAGCTCATCCAGCAGGAAACACTCTTGACCTCATCTTCACCAATCTCTGTACCACATCTAAGCTCTCCAATGTTCCATTTCCTCTATCTGACCATCATCTGCTGTCCATTGACATCCGCATACCACGTACCCAAAGTACACCACCCTCGCCACATCAGTCTTGCATAAACCTCCATTGTCTTGACCTACAGCAATTTTCCACCAACCTCCAAAGTCTCCTTTCACCCATCTCAAATCTCACCTGCCCTAACACTGCAACATCCCTCTAGAACTTCACTCTCTCCTCTCAACTAGACATCATGGCACCTCCTACACTTAAACGCACTAAGTGCCCTGGCACTCCAAGCTGACCCGATACCTCCAAAAATGTTCCAGATCTGCTGAACGCTGCTGGAGAAAGTCTCACTGTGCGTCTGACTTCCTCCACTATAAATTAATGCTGCGCTCCTACAGTCTGGCTCTTTCCTCTTCAAAAGAAAATTACTCCAATACACTCATAACCACACTCTCCCACGAGCCCAAATGTCTGTTCCATGCTTTTAACTCTCTTCTGTGCCCTGTCGTGCCGCCTCCTCCTACCAACTTGACTGCCACAAACTTTGCAACTCACTTCACTGAGAAGATTTCTACAACCAGGGAAGAAATCTCTCATCTCTCTCCATCAACTACCAACTTTTCCTCTAAGCACACTCCCTCAGCTGTCCTATGCTCATTTGCACCTGCTGAAGAAGAAGCGATTTCTGCTCTGCTCTTCTCCGTTCCTCCCACCCCACCACCTGCTCCCTCGGTCCTATTCCTTTGTATCTCATCCGCACTTTGTCTCCTTCTCTTGCTCTGCCTCTCACTAAAATGTTCAATCTCTCCCTCGGGATTGACAGACTTCCTCGAATCCAACTCTCTGCTTGACCTATTTCAATCTGGATTCCGCACTTGTCACTCTGTCGAAACAGCTGTGACCAAAGTATCCAATGATCTTTCATTGCAAAATACCATGGCCATTACTCTATCCTAATTCTCCTCGACCTTTTTGCTGCTTTTGACACTGTTGATTATTAATAATATTTTATTATTTATATAGCGCCTGCAAAATACCATGGCGCTGTTCAATGGGGTCATCAACAGCTTATTCTCATCATCCGTGATCTCGGTCTACGAGATACTGCTCTATCCTGGTGCTCTTCCTACCTCTCCCAGCGCTCATTCAGTGTTTTTATCTCTGGCTCTGCCTCTTTTCCCCAATCCCTCACTGTTGTTGTTCCCAAAGGGTCTGTCCTTGGTCCCCTATTGTTCTCAATCTAGACTGCCTGCCATGGTAAACTCATCAGCTCATTTGGCTTCCAGTATAATTTCTATGCAGATTACACGAAAATGTATCTGTCCTCCACTGATTCCTCACCACACCTCTTGACTCGTGTCTCTGACTGCCTCTCTGCTATTTCCAACTGGATGGCTGCTCATTTCCTTGAATTGAAGCTGTCCAAAACAGAACTTCTGGTCTTCACTTCCTCAAGTGTTGCTACTCCTTTGTCTGTGTCCCTCCAATTCAATGGTGCTACCATCCGCTTTACCTCTAAGGCTCGCTGCCTAGATATTGACTACTGTAATCCGCTTCTCAGTGGTCATGCGTGTTCCCAACTTGCCTCTTTACAGCCTTTAATGATAATGAATGCGGCAGCAAAGCTCATCTTCCTGTCCGTCCGCACCTTCCACGCCTCCCCCCTTTGTCAGTCCCTACATTGGCTTCCTGTAAGATATAGGACCCAATTTAAGATCCTGATACTTGCTTACAAATCTCTACACAATGCTGCTCCGACCTACTTATCCTCACTAATACACAAATATGTCCCATCTAGGCCCCAACGCTCTGTTCGTAATCCTACCTCTGATGCTTACTTTAAAGACTTCTCCAGGGCAGCACCATTCCTATGAAACGCTCTTCTCCTCTCTCTGTTAAACTTTCACCCAATCTTTACTCCTTCAAAAAAATCCTTGAAAACTTACTTCTTTAGGAAAGCAAATCAATTAAACTGTGAACAGCTTTCCCTCCATGCACCCTACTGCAACTATCATCAAAATAAAACACTAAGCCCTCAGTGAATACTATCCTAGCAACCTACTTTTCTACCATACCCTTACCCCACTCCCTCTAGCATGTAAGCTCATTGAGCAGGGCCCTCAATCCCTCTGTTCCTGTGTGTCTAACTCGTCTTGTTACAAATACATGGCTGTTAGTCCACCCATTGCAAAGCGCTATGGAACTTATTGGCGCTTTATAAATAATAATAATAATAATAATAATATGTTAGTCTAGAAGGGTGAGATAGTAAAATTAAAAAGTACATTTAACTACTTTAAAGAATGGCACTTCTTTGCGGGATAATATACATGCACAGTTTGACCTTTAATGAATGTAAAATACATCTCGATTTTATTTCTCTACGGTATTTTCTTTGGAAATTAGCATTACCTATTAGGAACCCCTGTTTACAATGAAAGAAGGAGATGTACTAACACTGTCACTAATTTAAGGAAAGCAAATATGTATTACTTTCACTAGAATTTAAAACATTATAAACTATACTAACAATAAAACAGCACAGACCACCCTTGCTATAAATCAGAGGTAATATATGGACACAGAGAGAATGGTGGAAAACGGTATGTCAGCTTGTAGGGTATGAGTGCAGAATTGCCCTGAACTGACCTAATGGCTGTGCTTTTTGGGTGGAAAACTCCCCAATGTTAGGGCTCACGAGACAAAACCTGGTGTGGCTGGACAGGGGTTCCAAAATTAGGATTGTTCTGCAAAAATATTAATGGACTGACCTTCATATGAAAAACATGGAACGTTTTGGAATGTGTCTGCAAGGGAAATTTGTGGGATAATAAAGGGTTGAAATAATCCACAACATACAATAATAATTATCCTAATTAATTTCCTGTAAGGAAATTATGTTTTGTATTATGGCAGTCGTACAGCAATGCAATGTTATCATTCCAGAACAGAATGCTGATCAGATACAACATCAAGCTTTTAATGTTGAATACCAGAATCTATAAAGGGATACACTGACTCTCTACTACAATTTCAACAGGAAATAGAACAATTCTTTTTCTGGTTTGGCTGAGCTTTTTATTTGTAATGAAGTCAATGCGTGAAGGTTCTGAGGAACTGCAATAAAAAGCAGACAAGTAGGGACCGGGGAGCAATAATTACGCAATCCAGCATGTCAACTGCAGAGATCTAGCTTTGGAATACAATAGTTATGGTGAAAATCTGACTTTTTTTTTTTTTTTTTGGTTCGCTGTGATCATTGTTTTAGAATCATTGCTCTCACACCAAGTCCCTAAGTAGATTTGTGATGGTCTAGAGGAACATTCTGTAATAAAATAACATGATTTGAACTGCAGGACTTGCACAATGAAATTATACTGAAGACTCAACAATGGCGCCATTCATATTCATGCTTCTGAGAGAGCTTACAGTGGTGATGGCTAACCTTGGCACTCCAGCTGTCTTGGAAATTTCCCTTAATGCTAAGTCAGTCATAAGGCACTTTAGAGCACACTTTTTTTTAAACTGCATTTCCCACAAGGTAGAGACAACCTGAAGTTTCAATGTGCACCACTGGACTAGGAATCACCTCTAGTGGCCATCTGAGTGAGTGCCACAAGAGGTGTTCGAAGGCAGCAATGTAAACACTGCCTTTTCTCTAAAAGTCTCCTTTTAATGCTGGCTGAGTACCATGGGTTATGCAGACCAGAAACACCATGCACAAAATAATTTGAACATGAAAGGACATCACAAAATAGCGGTAGAGAAAAACAAATCTCCAATTTGAATGTTTAAAAATTAGGTGCTTACACTTATGGTTGCACAAGAGGGTCCAATTTAGACCTAGCACTAGTAAACACCATAACTGCTGCACATGAAGTACTCACTTTGCATGCCTGTTATAAAGAAGTCCTCTCGGTAAGGGTGGAAGGTAACAATGATTTTTGGGGCTAAACCTACTACTTTTGAATAATGGAACTTATGTTAACACAAGCACTGCAAGATTTTCTAGATGTCTTCCGTGGTCTAACTTGTTGTGATGAAGTTAGCCTAGCGCGCCACTAATTTTCGATGTGTGTATGGAAAATGCTGCTATTTAATTTAATGAGATTTTGTGAGAGGAGTGTCCTATGGCTTACAGAGCTGATAAGAGTTTGATCTGTTCATGGCACTAATGTGTGACCAGGATAACTGTCCCAGAATTCTGTGAATTGCAATGCATAAACAGCCTTTGGCTGAGAAATGCTTATAGATAATATGGTTCTACAACAGTTGGAGGGCCAAGGCCAGACAACCATGTACTAGAGAGCAGCAGAGGCAGGTAATACTCGGTTCTACAGCATGATCTACTATAGAAAACATTGGCACCTCCTAATAATGTCTGTCACTTAATATAATATTTCTTTCAGACCTCTGAAAAAAAAAAATAAAAAAAAAAAAGTTTTACATTACAATAACCCCCAGTAAGGGAAGATGGTGTGTCAGCTGTGCGGTTATATATTTTTTTTTTAACATGATTTGGATATGAATTTAAATTTTATCTTTTATCATAAAGTCAGCATGATAAACAGATCAAACAGAATTTAAGTGACACAACAAATGTTCTTCATTATTCCTATCAAGACAATAGCAAAATGGAAACCAAGAGAAACCATTAGGAAAACAGAAAATATAGGATAGTCCAACTAGGAAATTCATGTTGACCCCTGAAACTAAGTAACATACAGAAGGGTCATACATGTGCATAATATGAGGAGACTTACACGTGTTCTTCATGCAAGTCATTGTTGAAGAGCACAGTTCAGTCACAAGGATGGAATGTTGTCCATCTGCTTCTGGTGGAACAGTCAGGACAGAAATCTAAACAAATATATAAAACAAAGAGAAGAATTAATTCTGAAAGAACATAGCATAATTTATTGTCACAGAACCTTTAATTATTACTTTTCAGATCTAGGCTCGTACAGTTCACCTGATTACTGAACCTAACAAGGCTAAGTCAGAGAATTTGATTTGAGGAAAAATAATAATTGCACATTAAACGATATGCAAAATTGTGTATTGTAATTGGTGCTGTAAAGCCATGTGGATAGCTATGTCTCTGTTGTGTATTTAAACCAGTTAAATGGAGTTGAAGTTTAAGAGGAGTTGAATGTGTTAGTCGTGAAGAAAACATTGGAATATTTTGTTGCTCATACTCGAAAAACCAAAAGTTTCAGAGGGGAAATTATAACATTTTACAAATATACACAGAGACCATATACTGACCCATCTCTATGTAGACCTGTTCATTAACGACACTACACAAAATACAAGAGATCAACCATTCCGATTTAAGAAAAGGAAATATTAACTTTTAACTGCAGCAGTAGAAATGGCACACAGCTGTTATGATGTTATACAAACCAGAATACACAGGGCAATAACAGTTAATACAATAGTTGATATGCAGGGCCGGTACTTCCTATAGGCAACTTAGGCAGTCGCCTAGGGCGGCCGTGAGGAAGGGGCGCCGCCAGGAGCACTGGCCCCTCAAATGCTGCAGCCGCCTGAGCCCTCTATTGAGAGCCTCAGGTGGCTGCAGCACTACCTGGGCCGGCGCATCCATTAAGGCAAGATAGGAGGTATTGGCAGGAGGGAAGTGCATTGGGGGGACTCCACCCCGCCCGCTGCCTTGATGTTATTTTTAATTCAGGTCTTCGCTTTTCTCCTCACATCCAGCATGTCTCCAAATCCTACAACGTCACTGAAATCACACCTCTTTAGGAAAACATAAGATCTTCCTAAGTGACAATTCTCTGATTTCACTGCCCTCATCAATTCCCTCGCCTCCATAGCCCAGCTCTCACTCTCTTTCCTTCCACACAAAACTTTTACTAGCTTATTTCAACACAAGCATGTTATCAATCAATCACTCATCCCCTGACATGCTGTTATTTCTCTTGTGTGTTTTACCCCTTCCTCACAGATTGTAAGCTTGTTTGAGCAGAGCCTTCTTCACCCCCTGTCTCTGTTATATTCCGTATGTAAATTACTTATTGTCAAATATCCCCATTTTGTAATGGTAAAGCGATACAGAACATGCTGGCTACACATAAATAACAATATTAATAAATGTAAGTAAAAGGAAGTGTTAGCAGCAGTATGCATCTACTATAAATGAGGTCTGACATTAGGATATGAGGGTTTTCCTAAAATGAACAACAGTAACACGTCAAAGCACACCATAGAGGTAGACTGATACTACAAAGGATCTTCTATGGTATAATTGTACAGATTTAAAACTGAAAACCAACATAATCTGTTGTGACTTCTGCAAACTTGAAATTTAAGGCAGGGATTACCTTTCTGAAAATACCTGTATATTTGATACATGCGCTATGATAAATAAAGTGATCTGAGGCTCACAAAACGTAAACCCTTAGAGCAAATAAAGAATATGGTTGGATGATTCGTCTCTCACCTGGAAGGTTTTACATTGGGATGCCTTTAACTACTGCAAACTGGTTAACACGTTTTGTGAACTGTAATGTTATGGGCAGCCAATAGGGTTTGGAGTAATTCATTCTACTGACCACAGAACTGGCAGCCTATGAACTAAAATATTTATTTGTATTCCTAGAAACGGAATAATAATCTCCCTATATATAAAGGGTTGTTTTGGTGCTATCCATCCAATCATTAGATCCAGGCATCCAGTCACCTTTTTTGTTGTACCTGTTTCACAGTACTAGTCATGAGCAGCTTAGTTCCTGATAATTTTGTTTCCCATTCAGGTTACAAGCCAATCTAAAGATTCAGAGAACAAACATCAGTAGGCAACAAAATTGCTGGTTTTTACTCGCTCACTAATTCTATTTGTTACACTGAAAAAATATTTACTAATATTTACAGCAATTTAGCTTGCCAATTAAATTTCAGCTGCTTTGAAACCTCAAGCCACACTCTTACACCATCTGGTATCTTCTTAACAAAACAGAACAAATTAAGCAGAAAGCTCTCCCCCTTCTGCAAAGGCTCTGTTTGCTCTGGTGGCACATGTTCGTAATTTTAATACAATTCTAGAGAGATTTCTGCAAAGGATAAAGTAAAGCATTCCACTTCTCAGTGAATGCAGATGGAGATCTGACGTATGCAAAGAATACCAAGTGATAGTTATTGGCATCTGCAAATATGAGAGAATTATCTGCAATGGCTGACAGATAAGTGCTGGTTTTAGCATTGTCCATGTTCGTGCTCCTTAATGGTGGCAGTATGACCCTCATCTGATCAGTGTGTACTAGATACAAGGTCATTCTAACAAGGGAACACTACGTAAAGCCACCTAATAATTGGCTCGGAGTATGACCAAAACTTTATTTATTTCACTTCTCTCATCCTTAAATTTTAAAATGCCAACATGTGCCACAACAAAGCTCTCTGACAGTCTTTTTTAGCCTTCTATTACATTAGGTCAGAACTATTTAATCAAAGACACAAGGTCACAATGTGGACTACAAATGAAGATCAAAAAAAGTAAAACAAAAACAAAAACAAAAAAAACCCTCAAACTGGGTAACAAGCATTTATACAGAACGCACGTACTTTTACCAATGAGAAATTATTTCTAAAGCACTCTGGGATAAGTGCTAAGAAAAGCGTGAAATTAAATAAATAAAATACAGACCTGTCATTGTTAAAAAAAAAAATAAAATAAAAAATTCTCAAGTGTCTAAAATAATGTGCATCCGATCTTAAACCTAAAGTACTCTAATTAGATATTCTGTGGATTGGTTATAATTTCAATGTTCTGTTGCCACAAGGATTGTCAACCAAAATATAAAAAGAAAAGAGACAGTGTAAAGGTATATACCGCAGATTTAGAAAAATTAAGAGTTTAAAAAGAGTTTTTAAGGCAGTAAATAAATATGCATTTCCTGTTGTCTCCAAGATTTGCTTATTTTTGAGAAATGGATGGGAAATGTTCAAAGCTATAGCCATAACAAGAAATACAAGATGCAACGTTTAGACTGGCGTTCAGTTTAAAATGAAATTAGTTATGAAATGAGAACCATGACCTGCCGCTGGAACGAGAGAAACTCATGGTTATTGATGTATATTTGCATGTTTACGAGCATGAGCCAATTTCGGAGGTTCTCCCCACATTGGAGACAGATTGCAGCCAACGTTAGACAAGCGATGACCTGTGAGTAACCTGGGTCATTACACTAAATGGGTTTGTTTGATAAAGGCATGTTTTCAATAGAAAGGGGGGGGGGGGGATTTAGCTTCAGTGCATTCAACCCACAGAAATAACATTTTCTACTTGAAAATCAAATGGATTTGCCCAATATATTACCTGTTGATCAGAATCTGCTTTCAAAACAGAACGGTTAGTGATGAGGATTGCTCGAGAGATCTGCCTATAAAGAGGGCAAAAAGAGCAAACTGTTACATACATTGCATACTTAACAATATCATCATTATATGTTCTTATATTATACAGCCCTGTTGTATTCTGTAATGTGATTAAAGGGATACTCTAAGCACCAAAACAACTTCAGCTTAATGAAGCAGTTTTGGTGTATAGATCATGCCAATGCAATCTTACTGCTCAGTTCGCTGCCATTTAGGAATTAAATCACTCGCTGTAACACAAACAGTGTCTCTACACACTTCCTGTAAAGAGAGATATCATGTTTAAACTTCATTTATTGCACACTGTGTTTAATTTAGAGTTTCTTATCTTCTGCTCTGTTAAGTGTATGTTAGAACCTGCAGAAACCTCATGTGTGTGACTTAAGTTCAATTAACAAAGCAGGAGATGGTTCCTAAAGTAAAAACACTGTGCTGTAAGATCTGATTGAAATTAAACAATGTTTTTAATGTAGGCTGTGTGAGTCAGGAAAGGTGTGACAAGGGCTGAACAAACAAATTTATTTAACTACTAAATGGCAGAGAATTAAGCAGTGACACTGCAGAGGCATGATCTATACAGGGCTTCGTTAAATTAAAATGACTTTGGTGCTTATAGTATCCCTTTAACGTCCTATAACATTTTATTGTTTGAGGCATTGAAGGTTTCTTGTACTTCTATATTCTACATAATTTTTGAGATTTTTACTTACTTGTAACATACATTTGCACAGACATCTGTGGAGAGGTAACTATCCTCAACTACCACGTAATTGCAACTGATCCGTTTACCTCTACTGTCTATCACAGCTTTACACCTTAAAAAAAAAAAAAAAAAAAAAACAGATAAGAAACAAAACATTAACTATATGGTTCATTAAGTGGTTAGGCAGTTTTAATATAAAAATAATAATTGAAAAGGAAGATTAGTCAAAGTATATATATTTTTTGATTGTTTTTTAAGGTTAGTTACATATTTTATTATTCAATAAATGATTAGTCATAGCATGTTTTGTACTTTTTCTTTGCATGTTTAGATTAATCAAAATATCACTTAACAGCTGAAGTCACAAGCCAGGTTGAACGTATATTGTGGCTCATGCTATGGTAAATTATTCCTTTTTATTAATAGCATTTACGGAACACAATATTACATGAAAATACAAATGTGACCACTAGTCTAGTAATCTATTATTCATACAAATTCCAGACTCCTACACTTGCGGTTAACCCTTTGAGAAACATCAAGCACATTTACCTAAGACAGGGACGTGCAACCTTGGCTCTCCCGCCAAGTTGGACGACAAATGCCAAAAGCTGTCAAAGAATTATGGGAAATGTAGTCTAAAATTAGACATCTAATCTGTAGACTTAAAAGGATCAAGATCTATTTTGTAGAACAAAAAAAAATTAAATACTGCCAATGTCAAAGACTTATCTCCGTTACTATAGATTGCATTTCCATATAAATTAGACTGTAAAATCAATCATCTATAATATTCCATCAATTTCCAATGAAATGAAATCTGCTGAAGTTTATTTTTTTTTTCTTCCTTCAATATTAATGAACTCACTCTTCACAAAATGTGGTTTTATATATCTTCTGCAATTGGAATACAGCAAGTGTGCACAGTGATCTTAATATAATAACAATGGATACAACCATATGGCTGTCACTTTTTGTTTGTCAGTTTTAGCACCTGATCCTCTGTATTACTCTAATGTGCGAAGAAAGAAAAATAGTGATTTAAATTAATGCTATTTTACCTGTAAAGAAAGAAAGTGTTGTGGAAGGCTATTTATCAAGTTGGTAATTTAAAGGAGAAATCTTCATAAATGTGAAACAATGACACCCTTTGAAAGCACTTTCCTAGTTGAATAAAAGTGAAAAGTAGTTTAAATGCTACATTGTTTGCCATCACTGGTAGGGTAAATAGAGCTAATGGACGTAAAAGCCACAGAACATATAGACGGACAACAACTCTACAGTTAATGGAGCACTATTTTAATGACTATAATAAAATACATTAAAAATCTGAATTGAAAAAAAAAAAAAATAAATATTGAAAAAAATAGATATTCATATTTTAAGCCGCCACGTCTTCAATAAATACTCAGACTTTATGGGTAATGCGATGAGCATTTCCCAGAGATGTAAATGATAAGCCAATCAGAACGCTCCAATAACATCTTTATCTTATACATCTTGGCACGACAGAGCAGCGGGAGGAGTTGTAGTTCAGTAACCGGCTTTCTATGTATTAAAGTCCCTACAACTCCCAGAAACCTTTGTTGTGCTTCCTGATGACATGCACAACTGTTCTACTGGAGAAACACTGCAGGTAAGGAGTGTAAGACAGAAAGAGTGGGCTTATATTGCTGTGACATCATATACCTTTTACAATGGGGAAATGGGACAGAGGACGCAGGGCACCTGTCCTACCCATTACAATTTGGGATTAAATTAAAAAGCATGACATTTAATCGATTTACTGTGCTAACAGAAATGCTGGCAAATGTATAGCTTTAAGTTTAATGTACTTTAAAAATATGTCCGCTCTCCTGCCTGTCAATCATTACTTTATGCCGGAGGCACAGCAGTTCTAATCAGAGAATTGAATGACAGAGAGAAACAAGAGAACCCTTCTCAATGTAGTTGTCTGTTCCCTGTCATGCTTGCTTGGGAAGTATAGGGCACTCTGATGCCAAAGTGAAGGCAGTGAAGTCAGCCTTTTGGCATCGTCAGTGAGGATTGCAAAGCTAAGGAAAGCATGGGCCAATACAGGTATGGTTTTGCTGTACAGAGGGGCCACATGTACATAACTCTATCATAGATCCCAAAGCAAGTAAATATAAAATGTATCTTCATGATGATATTTGCTGCCTGGGGAGCTGTTAAAGAAAATATTCAATCTTTGACTGTGTTATAATGTTTGCATATAGTAGAGTAACACTGCAACAGAATACATCTATAAATTTTGTATTACAAAAGCTGTTGGGGAGCATATTAACAGTCAAAATTTCACATAGCATTTTTTAATGTGCACTCCAAGTGATGTTTATATCACCAGCAAAAATTATTTATCTAAAATGCATATTTGTGCACAAGTGAATACACAATAGTAATGGTAAATTCATATATGTAGTTAGTCCATAAAAACAAACAAAAAAAAACGCAACGCTTATGTCAAGTTATTGTGCATTTATTTATTTTTTTCACGTCAAAGTCACACACCTATGTGCTGTCATTGCCGCTTGGACCAGTGTGGGGACAATGAATCACACTCAGCCCTCCACTGACCTTCTTTCAAAGTGTCTAGATAAAAAGATGAAAAGTAGGATCCATCTCTGTACAGCGCCATGAGTTATAAATGTACTTTATAGGCCTCATTATCCAAACTAATGGACTACGGGCAGCATCCTTGAAATGGACTTGCTCGCAACTGACAAAGTCTTGGTGTAATATTTCAACACAAAATATGTAAATTTTGAGTTTGCCATCCTTTTATTAGGGAAATATAAATTTACTGTATTTTTTCCTTCCTACTTTGAGGGACACATCCTCTGGGAGGGAGGGTATGACAAGCATTTAAGGTTCAAGTGATGGTGGAAGAAAATATGTACAAATTGATTGGAAGGCTACATTTCATACTGTGATTTACTGCCTTCACTTAAAACTTCTTAAAAGTGTTGGGAAGTTTTCATTACCGCTTAACTTTTAGTCAATTATGGACGTACTATGAACAAACAGCGTTTCTTATATCTTGAAAAGCCCTAAATAATACAGACTTCGTGAGAAATTTCACTTTAACAGTTTGGACATATATTCCAAAACTTGTATGTTGAGCACAAAGTGTACTGATTTACAGTGGCTACGTCACCGGGAAAATTATTAACATATATCAATTCAAAACAATAATGCAAACAATTAACATTCATTTTCATGTAACCAAGCTACAGTAAGTCAGGCTGGAATTACCACTTGAAGAGACGGTATTTTGATGTGATAAGGGCCACCATGGATGTAGAGAACATGTCCATATGTCACATGGATATAAAGTCTGAAAAGGCTCAAATCTGGCAGGTCAACCGTTCACATACCTGTTTCTACTTGTGAATCAAAAAGTGGGCAAAAACAATTGTCAACAAATATAGTCTCATTTGGGAAAGCAACCAGCTTTCCATTGAGCTGAATACAGTTGATATCGGTTTTCTCTGATGATGCTCGGTGACCAAAATAACCCATAATGGACCAAAGATGTACCCAAAACGAGAAAGTTGTGCAGTCAAAGGTTGGCCATTGATCCATTTGGATAAAATAACTTTCTTTTCCTTTTCGTAAACTGACATTGCCAAAGAATGTGCGTATTTGCATATTCAGTATGACATCCTTTGAAAATTGTGAAATCATGGACTCTATATGAGGCACTTTTTCAGAATCTACATGATGGTGCACAAACTATATCTCATGACTGAGCCACTAGTCAAACAAGGCTGTAAAAGTGTATTGGGTTAAAAACTATACTGAAATTGCATCAGGAAACAAACTGCAGGCATTTGCTATATTATAAATAGGAAAACGTCACCTGTCCTAATAGTACCACTATTATAATAAAGAGTTACAATATAACATTTAATAAGTATAATTAAAAATAGAATAACCTAAAAGCAAGGGAAAAGAAATTGCTGAAAATTTGCTATACAATTGCTATATAGTCAAAAGAATCTAAGTGGTAAAAATCAGAATGAGAAACCACTCAAATATACCCAAACTGCCATACCAGAGATATGTTGTAACGATAAATTGTAACAATACGACCAAGTCCCTAAATAGGAATGGTAACAAAATTGAAAAAGGTAGCAATCTGCAACAGTAGTCAGTACAGCTACCACATATCTCATACATAGCAAGCAAAGGATAATAATGATAGGTAAACCATGGAAAGGGGGGATTGTCGCCCAAATGTTATATTTTAACTCTTTATTATAATAGTGGTACTTTTGGGACAGGTCACGTTTTTCTGTTTTCCTATTTACAAATTTTCTCCAAGGGTTATCCCTTAATGTCTGTCCTAGATACTCTTAATCTAGTATTGGCTTCCTACATGTCCTCATTTGCTATATTATGCATAATCGAGAACATACTAATGGCAGATTCATGCTTACTGGGTTGTTACAAAATATCTATTTATCTGCATATTAAACCCCTTTTCATATTTGGATATCTGCGTATTGCAAAGAACTGTGCATATTCCTTGTTGCCTCATTCAGAGCTAAATATGAAAAGGGGACGGTGATATAGTATGGAAATTTTGTCAGAGACGTAAAGTACCTGGGTTGCAGATAAAAATATATGAACAAAGCATCCTTTATTTCCCATTATATGACATTTTTTTTCTAATGTACATAAACTGTATTACTTGCTGCATATCACAAGAAATTGATGGCCTCTAAAGTCAATAAGCTACATTTTAATAATGCCCAATAAAATCGAAGCGAAGTAGTACACGTTTTTGCGTAAAGCAGGGCTACCAAGTCGGTGCTAGTGACATTATGCAGATGACACCATTTCATACATGCTCATATAGGTGACATTGGTAGAAAATGCAAAACATTAACCTTCTGTTATTGCTGCAGAATATAACTTAATCATATGTCGCATTGATGGATCTTATTCAGTAAAACGCCTCCGTGTCCATAATCGTCAACTAAATAAGATGTAAATCCCCACACCTATCATAGCAAGGCAAGTATGGAATGAGCAATAGACGCATATTTCTTAAAAGACGAACCAGCTGCTTGAGAATTTGTGAAACGCATCTTTGCAGGCAGTTATTTTAACAGTTTACTTGCTGTAATGCAGCTGTGCACAAATACTGATTACAAACATGCGCATTCTACATTTTCATATTAAAGTTATAGATCTCCAGTAGTGTGACAAGATGAACAAATTATCCTTTAATTATTTTGGAACCGGATCTAGGTTCAAAAGTTAGTTATTCTAAGCACCACGACCACCTCAGTGATTTGGGTAACACACACAAATTCGGGTTTATTAAATAAAGTGAGAATTCCAAGTGAATTTTCAATTTTTAGTCAAAATGGAAGCATAATTGGCTTTGCATAATTTGACTGGAAATTATATTATATTGTATACATGTATGCAGATATGTAGATGGAAAAAGTGCATGCAAAGAGAGAGTGTTTCAAGGGCAAGCTTTAAAGGCACCAGTGGCGTACACACAACCCATCGGGTCCCCCGCGCGCTTACTCTGCGCGGGCCGGGGCCGCAACACATGGCGGCGGGCACCTGGTCGCAGGGGTTGCACCAGTGCATGCAGATACACATACACTTAAAGGACCACTACAGACAGCTCACATCAGCTCAATGAAGTGGTCTGGGTGCCAGGTCCCTCTAGTTTTAACCCTGCAGCTGAAAACATAGCAGTTTCAGAGAAACTGCTATGTTTCAACTGAGGGTTAATCCTGCTTCCAGTGGCTGTCTCAATGACAGCCGCTAGAGGCGCTTCCGCGATTCTCACTGTGATTTTAACCCCTTTAGCCCATCGGGAGGGGGTCCCTGAGGAGTGGGGGGGAACTAATGACCCTGTAGTGCCAAGAAAACGAGTTTGTTTTCCTGGCACTAAAGTGGTCCTTTAAGTAAAATAGTTGTGTGAATAAGCAAACATTAAAGCAACACTGGACACCATACCAACTTAATTTCAGTGACCGTGTTATTGTGCCTCGAGGTCCTACACATAATTGTACCATATGGGGTTAAACCGCTTACAACTGTTGATGGCACCCGTCAGCTCAACCTCTATTCTCCAAGACTTCGATGAGCCTTCGACTGGACACCAGTGATAGGCTGAGAACTTCGGCCTACCACAGGTACCCTTATTAAAACATAAATGTTTGTCAGTAGAATAGGGGCCGAGCTGGCGGGTGCTTTCTATTCAACTTTGGGGCTAAACGGTTCTTTAACATTGTGCTGCCTGGAGTATTCTTCTAAATTACAGTTCTCTATTAACTATGACGTGTTTTTCCACAGGTTCCCTGTTCAAGGGCGGATGTGTTTGCCAGCAAACAGCTTTCCATAGTAGAGAAGAGGATACTAATGAAATTCCTGACATTCTGTGCAGACTATGAGCAGCATGTTGAAGAATATCAAGATAGAGCATTATGTGTATTTGTTTAAAAAAAAAAAAAAAAAAACCTTATGTCCTTAACAGTAAAGTGTATGTAAAAAGGGGAAACAATAATAGAGGAACAAATGTTGGATAACAGTCATAAGTCTGAATGGCCACACTTTATTAAATGATATTCACAACTGTCACCAGAATTTTCTTATCCATTTTTTATGATAAGAATGTTTGCAGCATGTAATGAAAAGATATTATGTTTTTGAAATATGTAAAAATACCTAAAAATCGGGTTCTTTCTTTTACAGAACACTAGATCCCTCTGCCATATTCACACACCTTTGTTGGCACTTAAGTAGAATCACTCCCTGCACAAAACGGTGATGTTATCAGCCATCACTCTGTGGGGTCTGCCAGGTCCGAATTTCGACCACCTTGCCAATTCTCAGATTTACTAAAGCAAAGTGTGGTCAGAATTCGGTCGGTCCAACCGATTCTGTAACATTGATTCGGATGAGCAAATCAATGTTTTTTCAAACTCATCTGTTGACACTGTTGCACATAGAAGGCTTATCAATAAACAGCAATCTTTAAGTTTGGATTCCAATATTGTTGAATGGGTAAGGCAGTGGCTGAGTGACAGGCAACAGAGGGTTGTAGTCAATGGAGTATATTCGAAGCTTGGTCTTGTCACCAGTGGGGTACCTCAGGGATCTGTACTTGGACCCATTCTCTTTAATATTTTTATTAGTGATATTGCAGAAGGTCTTGATGGTAAGGTATGTCTTTTTGCTGATGATACTAAGATATGTAACAGGGTTGATGTTCCAGGAGGGATAAGCCAAATGACAAATGATTTAGGTAAACTAGAAAAATGGTCAGAATTGTGGCAACTGACATTTAATGTGGATAAGTGCAAGATAATGCATCTTGGACGTAAAAACCCAAGGGCAGAGTACAGAATATTTGATAGAGTTCTAACCTCAACATGAGGAAAGGGATTTAGGGGTGATTATTTCTGATGACTTAAAGGTAGGCAGACAATGTAATAGAGCAGCAGGAAATGCTAGCAGAATGCTTGGTTGTATAGGGAGAGGTATTAGCAATAGAAAGAGGGAAGTGCTCATGCCATTGTACAGAACACTGGTGAGACCTCATTTGGAGTTGAGAGGCGGATCGGGGCGGAGAGATCCCCAGCGCCAAGGGAGTCCGGCTCTGGAGAAAGGTAAGTGCTGAAGACACACACACTCTCACGAACAGACGCATACACACTAGCTAACAGACACATACACACTAGCTAACAGACACACACACTCACTACAGACACCAAACAGACTCACTAACAGACACAGTAACACACTAACACACACACACTAACACACACACAAACTCTAACACTAACACACACAAACTCTAACACTAACACACACAAACTCTAACACTAACACACACACACTCTAACACTAACACACACACTAACACACACACACTCTAACACACACTTTTTAAAAAAAAATTAATCCCCCCTGCCTCCTTACCTTTGGGAGAGCTGGGGGATTCCCTGGTGTCCAGTGGTGTCACCCGGCGGGCAGGCTGGCGGCGTGCGAGGGAGCACTCTCCCCTGAGTGCTCCCTCTTCAGCTCCCTCGCGCGCCACGTACTGATATCGGAGCCGGCAGATGACGTTTCTTCCGGTTCCGGTATCAGTACGCGGCGCGCGAGGGAGCTGAAGAGGGAGCACACAGGGGAGAGTGCTCCCTCGCGTGCCCGCCAGCCTGCCCGCCAGGTGACACCAGGGCCAGCCCTCCAGGAGAAGAGGCTGGCCACAAAGGGGACATACCGACCCCTGCCTGCCACTGCCCATTGGAGTGGTCTGGGTGCCAACTCCCACTACCCTTAACCCTGCAACTGTAATTATTGCAGTTTTCATTAGGTCTCCCCAGCCGGCGGGCCGGGATCAGTCTCCCTTGCCGGCTGACGTAATGAAGGGGAGGAGCGGCGGCAGAGGAAGAAGCAGCGACGTGGGACATGTCGCTGCCTCTGGTAAGTGACTGAAGGGGTTTTCAAGCCTTCAGCAACCGGAGATGGGAGGTGGGAGGGAGAGGGGACCTGCTGTGCCAGGAAAACGGATTGTTTTCCTGGCACTGGAGGGTCCCTTTAAACTAAAGTGTTTGCAACACACACACAAAACAACCATCCTCCCTAAAAATAGCCATGCTTTATGATGTCCAAAGGAAACTGTACGAATTATGTTTAAATATATTGCAAAATACATTTTACGCCTTTATGGAGAAAAAGCATTCCCAGAATGATACTAATTTCTGGGAAATGTATATAACATGGGGCTATGAACTCCTCCACATGTGAACTCCCGACATTTGACTTTAATAATAATACAATTTAATTGCAATCCAATATTTAATTATGCAGAGGAAAGTTTGGTTGACCAATGTTTGAATAACAAAGTAATCCTATGACTGAGGGGAGATAACATATGTTGTTATAACTTGTACTAAAATGTATTTTTAACTAGTGTTGCTTAGAAGATGTAAAAAAAAAAAAAAACAATGCAATGATTCGCAAATACTTTGTTATGGTAATAGTTTGACAAACTGACCTCATCCCTCTGGCACCAGGTACCAATCAATGCACCCACGGAATCTCACTCTGCTCCTATAACATACCGCCTGGACTTCATATGGTGATGGTGTGTGATGCCATGACTTTATGAAAGTATATCACTTGTAATGACTACTATTTGCGCTTTCTTAAAGATGTCTCCTAATTGGTCTTCCCAGAAGTTGAATTGCCCCCGCTACAGTCTGTATTGAATGCTGCCGCCAGACTGATTTCACTCTCTAGTTGGTCCTCTCACACCGCTCCCCTCTATCAGTCCTTACATTGGCTTCCTGTATCCTATAGGAGCCAATTCAAGGTACTAACCCATACCTATAAAGCACTGATCCATTCTAGCCCCTCATATCTCCTCACTGATCCATAGGTATGTCCCTTCTCGGTCTCGCCGCTCTGCCCGTGACCTTCTCCTGTCCGCTGCTCGCACCCGTACGGTCAACTCACAATTGCAGGACTTCTCACGGGCGGCTCCCTTCCTTTGGAATAGCCTGCCTACCGCCATCAGACTCTCCCCTAATCTTCAATCATTGAATAAGTGCCTCAAAACCCATCTCTCTAGTAACCTCTACCTCACATACCTGTCCATAGCTTTCTCCTAAAGGGCAGCACTCTATTCTCTCCTCCAGCTCTGCTTCACTCCCACCTTATTTATATGCTACCTCCTGTCCTGTTGTGTGTTACGCCCCACCTCCTATAGACTGTAAGCTCGTTTGACCAGGGCACTCTTCAACCTATCGTTCCTGTAAGTTTTAGAATTGTCTCATTTATTGTTAAATGTCCTCCTCTGATAATATTGTACAGCGCTACGGAATATGCTGGCGCTATATAAATACCAGTAATAATAATAATAATAATGTCAGCAAAGAGGTACAAGGATTAGGCCAAGGTAAAAATAAATTAAACAAAGCCTCAGCAAATACTCCATGGAACAGAACTTATAAAAAAAAAAAAAAAAGAGAAGAGAAGAAGTCAATAATTAAATGTTTCAGAGCGCTGTCAACCCAGGTCCACAATTTTATTTATACGAGTGCTCTTATACCACTTGTGGAAACACTAGAAAGACCACATAAAGCACACATTTTATCACTGGTACTCCTCTCTCAGCAGCCCTAGCGCAATAATTATTATGTTGGTGATTTTATACCTGAAATATCGTAAGTGGGCAACTCATGTTACTGCCTGATGTAATGTTGTATATGACATTGCTGTGTTTGTCATTTAAAGGGACAGGCTAAGCACCAAAACTAGAAGAAGCAGTACAGAGGCATCATGGTGTAAAGCAATAAGGGATAGTTTAATGGATTATATGAACAAAAGCAACGGACAACGTTTCGGCCCACTGACCTTCATCATATAATAATTGGGCCGCAACGTTGTCTGCTATTTTCGTTTTGTTAATGTGATCCAATATGTTCCTTTATTTGCTTTACCCAGGGATGCCTATGTACTGTATCTCCTATTTTTGGTTTTGGGGATTGATGGCCCCTGTCACAGAGCTCCGGTGTTGTGGTTTGTGTTCTCCCTGCATTACTACTTTGTATCCTGTGTGTGAAATATTTTTTTCCCCCCCAAAAAACATTTTATTGTTGTTTTAGCAGAGAGCTGAAGAATACAGTGAGTCTTGGGGTTACATCCTAATAAACAGTCATAGTTAAAATGAAATAATTGTATCTAAGCACCAAAACCACTTCATCGTAAGGAAGTGATTTAGTGCTTAGACTAAGAAAAACACGGTTTTCTTTCTGCACCTCTCTACTGGCTGGCAAGCAGACATGCAAAAGAAAAAAAGAACGCAGTCCGATTAATTTAAACTCACAAAGTAATGCAAAAGATTTGAAAATTAAACTGTTCATTTGAAACCTTCCAACAAAGTGGAATTACGTTAAGTCGGTTTTCACATAATTATAATTGTTATTTAACCAACATGTATCTGAAATCACAGCTTTCACATGATACCTGAATACCATTCCCCTTGCACGATTCCTATACAGATCTCAAAAAATGTTCCTTTCCGACTTACATTACTAAAAGGGGGGTCTGTGGGACACTACACCCTAACGGCAGTCTGGTCTGGACGTAGAAGGGTTATGTGGAGGGCGAGATGTATCGCTGAGATACGCAATCCAAGTTTAATAACCTGTCACCATAACAAAAAGCTTAAAATGACCTAATTTACCTGGAATTCGAACAATGTACCAAGCAGGTGGTCATTCCAACTATTAAAAGCCATTCACATAGACCGTGTTTGATTTACACCCTGAAATATAACATACCTATTGCAAAGTAACCTGGCTGGTTTCTTTTTTTTTTGGAGGTAATTTTTTTTTCTCCTATCTGCATGGATGCTTAGGCCATAACATAGAGAAACAAAATAGCCATTCACACAACATGAAAAGAGCTATGGATCTATAATGTTTTAATGAGTTTATTCAGTCTACATGAAAGGACTGTGGAATTCTGAAATCGTGTTGACCTTATTAAAAAAAAAAAGAAAAGAAAAAGGGGGGTGGGGGAAGGGAGAATATACAAAAATAAATAACGTCTGTTCAGCCATATTTATAATCTTTTCAGCAAAGGAAGGGTTAATTCAACCTTCAAAGTAGATTGCACTTGGATAAAAGGGCATGATAGTTTATGACAACAATTTACCTAAAACTCATTAAAGTCTTTTCTCTTAGAGTGACACACATTATCAGCAGAGATTAATCTGATGAGTCTTTAGGTGTGTTCCATTTTTAAAAATGCAATAAGAGAGGGCTTTGTGTCATCTGATGAAAATCAATTAGAGTGGGTAAGGCCACAAGGAAAACGAACATCAGTCATCGCCAGCCCCCCGGCAGCTGAAATGATTTGTCTTCCGAGCCTGGGTGATCAGGAGCTGTAGTAATATTGCTGGGAAATTAATTTCTTTTCTATACTGTGGCCCCACTTTCTTCATTTCGGAGGACCAATACACAGATTACTTTTAATCAAGGTTGATATGTCATTAATACCAACAGGGTACTTTCAAGATAATTATTATTTTTTTTTTAAGCATTTATTGTACGATTTAGTATGTAAATAAAAACTGGTTACTTAGAAAGCACTTACTGATTTGAGTCTGCATCAACTACCAGGCACTGCAGGGAATGGTGAAGACAATAGATTCCTCCGAACACAGCACACATCCTAGAAAAGAGGAGAGAAAAAGTGAAATAGGTTTAAGGATATATATATATATATATATATAAGATGTATAGTAACATACATGCCCTAGTGCTATTTCCACCATAATCAAGGGACTCAAAGAAAGTCTTGCTAAAACCTCATGGATTGGACTGAAATGTTGATCTGCTTTTTAATAAGGTTTATTTCGTTTTTTAAGACTCCCGAGTTGTCACTCTCTTGTATATACATAAAGTTGTTTGTTTTTCCTTATGGTAGATGCATGGTTTTTGGCAAAGAAAACAAACATGATAGTTTCATTCAGGGATTTTGTAGTTGCAAGAGGAAATGGTGAACCGCTAAATGAAAAATGCAGCTGCACATTGTATTTTGCTCTATTTTAAGATTCAAGTACAACAGCAGTGACGTTGCATGCTTGCAACAAGAGAAAAAGAAAAACAAAGCCGATTGTGCGACCTCTCTGACTTCTGTTAAATTGCACAAGCAGTTTATATAACCTTGTTCATTAACGAAAACTACCGCAAACAGATCTACATGCGCAGATGCTATAACTGCTTCCGGATTAAAAGGGCATCACTGTAGAAGAAGTGCTGTCAAGGGATGTATTGCAATCAAGGGAAGTCATTTTTATATACTTCAAACAATACTTTTCATTAGTTAAATACTAGGTGTGTGTCATTGACCATTGATCAAATAATTACTACAAAGAATAATGAAGAATTGACATACATGTTTCTAACACAATTATTTACTAAAGTGAGCACTGCCAGGAATTAAAAGTAAATGTCAACAAATTAGGCTGTTTTCCCTTTATGACTTGACAAAGACCCTATCAAAACGTTGATGCAGGAGTGCACAATAAAAGGAATATATAGAGGAGTGCAGGACCACTTACTCTCTTATTTGGCCAGTTAGTGGATCGTTTAGAGGCTCATGGAAATCCTCTTTAAAGTCTGCAATGAGTGCTGATCCACGTTTTGAGACTTACTTACTTTTTCTATGTTTCACTCTGATCCTAAATAAGTCACAGAAAAATGGCACTTTATGCCTGACTTATATAAGATTTTTCTAAATTTCTGAATGTATAAAAGATTAAGCAGACCAATGGATTATGTATTTATTTTTTAGTAAAAAGTTCAAAGTAATGTATTGGCATCCATTTTAGTAGCAGAGGTGCTGTTGCATGTGGTTTACCAAAGTGCAAATTAAACTTTTTTTTAACCCACATATCTTCTGCCAACTTGTGTTTTCCATAGTTAAAGATTATATTTTTTTTTAAAGACAAAACACAAATCTGATTATACAATAAAGACTAGTATTTAAAATATTCAATTGCCACTTCAAATGTATTTTCAAAAACAACCAGCTATAATCCCCTAATGTCTTCTTCTTATCATATTTCTAGGAGACTAGTATTGCAAATAAGCTTGTAAGAGCTGTGATGCTTGACTGCACGAAAGCCTGTTGTCTGCTGAAGAGATAGAATTGTAGAACGTGGCGTTGACAGCGGCGAGGTGTAACGTACGCTGCAAACACACAGAACAACTGATTGCTATCGATATGTGACAGGAGAAAAGGCTCTGCGGCATGTTGAAGCTTAAAAGGATGATTTTCTATGGGAGCATTAACTGTAAAGGACCACACCAGAAAAAAAAAAAAAAAGAAAAAAAGAAAGAAAGGACAAATCTAATCGAATGATCATTCTGATACGTAGTAGTGACAAAGTCAGGGAGAATTCATAGTAATTTCTGGACACAATAGACTATTCAGTTTGATTTGGCCACAGCTGAAGTACCAGGTAAGGCTTTGATGCCATTAACCCCAAACGACAGACGGTTAAACTGATATTCTGCACTCTAATTAACTTGCGGCTGTCACCAACAATGAGCAGAGTTTTGCTGAAAGACAGAATTACTGTGTACTCCGCTTCAACTTTGCCCCGGTGACTTCACATCATATTACGGCTAAATTAACAGTTGTGAAAATGTTTGGCCTGTTAGGTCTATCTTGCGTAGCCTTTAAATGCCATTTCAGTTTCTATCAAAGCCAGAATCAGCAGTTGTAATTTTTAATACAGCTGCAAAACAATAGGCCCCATTAAAGGCTGAACTCCTGACAGCGATACTCAAGATGATTTATGAGTTTGTGTATAATTTGATTATTCTATTAATTTTGCTGATTACTGTTTCAGCTAATACATTGAAGGTCACTCCCAAAATAAATCTTCATTACGTTTCACAGAAAGTAAATGCCTGCAACTAGTTGTTTTCTTTAATTAAACACTAATGTAACAGGAAAGAAAATAGGCTTCGGGCTTGACGCATCTGTTGAGAAGGCAGTGGCATAAGCGCGGCGCGCAGAATGCCATCTCAGTGTGTTCTGCCACCAATCACGCACACATTTCATCCCTTGACATGGTCAAAAGAATTCAGAAATCTCACACACTGCATTCTATGCTACATATACACGCATGTTTGATTAGGTGTGCATATATAAAAATTACCATATAGCTATTACATTTTTAGGAACAGTCCTGAATTTTAAACCTTTGTCCAAAAAAATACCACTGACAGAAAAAAAAAAAAAAAAGGACAGAACATGTCGGCGAGAAGAATGTGGTCATTGATTGAGGAGGGCTTGGAAATAATTCCAAAAATGTCTTTTGTTAGATAAATCTCATTCAAAAGCTGTAAATTGTATATGTATTTTTATGTCTCTGATTGTGGTCATGAAATACACATGCTAAATAGTAACAATCACAAAATCTAGGACTCCAGAGTACTTTTCAGGAAAATTTCTGTAGGTTCAAAGAACTCATGCTTTCTGATCTAAACAGATTAACATTGTTTCCCTTGAAAACATGCCAAGGAAAAAAACAAAACAAAACAGTGTATTGTACAGCCTTACGAGTTCTCACTCATTCTTTAAAAGAGACAAACATATTGCAAGTTAATATATTAATTGATGCGTACAAGAGGTGCATTATTATTTTTTTTAAGTGTCATGACAATATAAATGGGGAAACTCGGAAGGAATAGGACTTTTCGACACAAGCATGTCCGTTTATATCTCAAACCGGGCTTTAAAAGTTACGTTCTCTTTAAGGAAATTCCGTAGTGTAGTTATTATAATGAACATTACTTTAAATTAATGGAAACGCCAAAATCTATACTGTTCTAGAGGCTTTAGAAATAAGAATCTGTATAGGCAGGTTTGTCTGGCAGAATAGGCGACATAGAATATCTCGCAACGTCCTATACAGAGCTAAGGATAGGGGTGGCCTGGGCCTCCCGAACCTTTACTATTATTACGCAGCGGCACAGTTGGCTCAAATAGCTTTGTGGCACTCTCCCCCGGGGGAAAGGAGGTGGGTGGACTTGGAAACCTCTATGATGGGCCAGGACATGCCCCAATTCCTTATTTGGACCCCTAAAGAACAAAGACCTATTGATCAAGTGATGTGCCCAACGATACACAGTTCCCTTGGGATCTGGGACGCTGCTGCCGTCAAATATGGACTGACCTCTGCCCCATCGCCCATGTCCCCTTTCTTAAGAAACAAGGCATTTCTGCCGGGCTTGTATCCCCGAGATTTCAAGGGTATTGAGAACGTGGGTTTGCAAAGACTATGCGAATTGTTTGAAAATGGCTCCTTTATCACATTTGATGCGTTACGTAGCAGAGCTCCGCTACGTCCCTGTGACTATTTTCGGTATCTCCAGCTTAGGGATTTTGCCAGGGATCCCCGGATCAAAGCAGCAGCACTGACTCCATTGACTTTCTTCGAAAAGATGTGCAAGGAGGAACAGTTCCCGCCAGGCCTCATTTCTTGTTTGTACTCTCATTTGAGCTCACATACTCTGGAATGGGGCGATCTCGTGTATACGGACCAGTGGGAGGCTGATCTCAATGAGGTATTGGAGGGTATAGAATGGCAAGATATCTGGGAGGCGGCTGCAAAGTCTTCGGTGTGCGTTTCCTTGCAGGAACAGTCTTACAAGACAATGTTTAGGTGGTATGCCACCCCAGTGAAACTGTGCCGAATGGGTGTAAACCCATCAGACCTATGCTGGAGGGGCTGTGGTCTAAGGGGTACTTATATGCACATGTGGTGGGATTGCGTAGAGGCACAAACCTATTGGAAACGGATTGCGGCTTTGCAGCGAGAAGTTTTTGGCAGAGAGGTAAAATTAGATCCATGGGTGTACTTATTATCTAGATCCATGGATGGCTGGACAAAAACGGAACAAGCACTCGTTCACAAAATAAACCTGGCTGCCAGAAGAGCGCTGGCGCAGGTATGGCTGCAGAGTAGATCACCTACCATTGCGATGATCAAACAGAAAATCAAAGATACTTTCCTGATGGATAAGCTAACGGCTCAGGTCAGAGGGACCCAGAAGAAATTTGATAAAATCTGGGATCCCTGGATTAATAGCACTGCAAACACCTGAGTTGGGAAGGGAGATTTAGGGTCCCCACTTGAGTTTATAAGGTAATATATGAAGGGCGGCGGGTTATAGTTCCTTGAGCTGGTCACAGGGAAAGCTAACGTTGCCTCCTGAGAGGGACGGGAGGCAAATTCGAAAACTTTCTTAATCACCTTTTTATTGGGCAATATTTCTCGGCCGACCCCCCCCCCCATCTCCCCCCCTTTTCTATCCCTTTGTTCTCTTTTTCTAAGTCCTCGGACTCTCGAGGCACCTTACACTATTTCTTTCTTATTCACTGTTAAAAATTTTAAATCTTTATTTTATTTTTATTTTTTATTTTTTTTTGGCCACGACCGCACATGTGGGCAATATATAGGGAATACCGGAAAGGTGGGGGGATAGGCTATACTTCTTACACAGTGTATGGGTGTTTTCTCCCTATTATCCTCTTTGCTTTATTAACGCGGTCTTTCTGTAATGTCTGTTATCAGTTTTCTGTTTTATATATTGTAAAAAACCCAGACTGGATATCCAAGCTTACTTTGGACTGCGGTCCACTAAGGAGATCGGAAACATGCTGATACTTAGTGATCTCTAATGGCGGGATTTGGGTGACCTTGATTGTTAATTCATTTTGCGGATGTAAAGTGCTATAATCTCGGTGTATGTGCTTATTTATGCTGATCGACGAGTTGATGTATGTGAATTGCTTGTGATGTCTTGTACTGGAATAAATAAAGAATTTAAAAAAAAAAAAAGAAATAAGAATCTGAAATATGTAAATGCTGGTGGATAAATAATCTTCCTGATGTTTTCTAATCTTTCAACATGTTTATCTAAACTAAGCAGACAATGATAGTGATTGCAATAGTAAGCCTTAAAAACAAAACAACAAAAAATGACAATAAATATCATAATGTACTTAAAAAAAAAAAACCTGTGAATATGTGAACAATATTTTCGAACTGTTATGATTGAATTGGTAAACACATACAATCAAGCACAGGCTGTTCAGAAATACAAGGCCAATGTTTAAATACGATCTGAATCTTTGGGCCAGTACAACAGATGAGAAACCAAAATGGTTTGTCTTCTCTAAAATGAGAATATACCAGACTTGTTTCGATTTTACATGTAAATAGAACGGTAACTGTGTGGTACATTCACCCACCCCAGTCAATACTGGAGTGCTATAGGGTATAATACGTTCCCTAAATTGGAAAGAACAAAAGAGCTGTGTAGCCACACAGTTAAGAACTATTTGTTTTATATTGTTGTGTAAATGTGAATGAAATGTACACATAGATGGTAGCAATTCTTTTTTATTTTTATATATTTCTATTTTTTGCACAACTGTAAGAGCCTGTTGCATCATATTCACTGTTGTCATAATTCATGTGTAGTTGTGCTGATGCCAATGTGGCTTTTCTTTCAGATCACTGCAGGTAGTCAGTAAAAGAATCGAAAAGAAAAATCCTTTCGGAAACGTAAAACTTTTTTTTACTAGCACAGTATACTTTTCAATTTCCTATAATGCGAATGTTCTAAATCTTATCGGATACAAATTTCTAAATTATTTAAAAAATTAAATAAAAAATACTTGCAATCTTACATCTAAGTCCTACAGAACAAAACGTCAAGCTGCAAAGAGATCAACGTGAAATTTTAACGATCAAAAAGATACATAAAGAAGCAAAAATAATAAAATCTTGTTTACTGACATTTTCAATAAGAACAAGAGGTGGTAACAAAGTAGCCCATCCCCCATACTACAACTCCCATAATGCTCTGCCAGAAAGAAAGCTACCTTTGAGCAACCACTGATTTAAAGTCGATTTTCCAATTCCATTTTCCCCAAACGCGCAGCCAGAAAATGTGAATGAATGGTTTCTGCTTAAATGACAGTTTATTTGTAATGATAGATATAGATTTTTCTCAGCTCTGTTTGCTAGAGATGATTCCTGCACACTTGGCACAAGAAGCCTTCGGGGAAAGATCAAAGAAGACAGACGCCGGAAGGCATGAAAATGCCTGACTCGATACATTACTCTCTCAGCTTATTTTTAAACATATAGCGTGAAGCGTCTCGGGCGGTTTTGCTTTTTTCATTTGCTGATGGTCAGTTAAAAGGGACTTCAATAAGTCACAAAAACAAAATACAAACTATGTGGGTATTACTTAGAACTTTTAGTGTCTCACTTAAAGGAGCTCACTCCAGGCTTGCACAAGATTGGAGAAACGTGTTAAGTTACAGTAATGCTGGTTGTGATATACGCATCATCTTTAGATAAAAATATCTGGAATGTGATCAAGGTGAAAATAATATGAACAAAACAAAAAGGAGAGGGATTAACCAATGTATGTAGTTCCCCGTGTAGATGTAACAAATGGAGAAATGTTGAAAACTATACCAAATAAAACTGCATCAAATAATGTGACTGACACTGTGCAGTGCACTCACGTTCTGTTGAGCCCAAGAATAGTTGGTGCTACTCTGAGTAACAGGAGCCATCATTAATTTGTCCCCTCTCCCCTTATTGGTATGCCAAGAGAGTGGTTAGGGAGACAGACAGTATAACTCTCTAGCTCACTAAAAGAGAGAGGGGCAGGAGGGAGGACTTAAATAGCAGGTACTGCACAGGAATGTATGTCCTAGGGCAGGGTTAGGCAAGTTTTGGCACTCCAGATGTTTTGAACTACATCTCCCATAATGCTCTTACACCAATAATGCTGGCAAAGTATTAGCCTGAGATGTAGTCCACATCATATGGCGTGCCGAAGGTTGCCTAACACTGCCCTCGGTGTACCTTACAATTAAAGAAACCCTAGCCAAATTTTACTTTACAAAAAGTCATGCAATATAAAAAAGATACATAAAGCTGAAGCGTGTTTTGCGGGGGAAAAAAATTAATGTTGCTCATATTTTATTACGTCTTCATAAGTCTTGTACGTATATTATTTCAATACATGATTCACTGTCATGCATCCTCTTTTGTAGATAGATACATACCTACATATATATACACACACACACACACACACACACCTTAATACATTCACATTTCCAAACACACACCTGCAAACACAAGTAAATATGCTGATCTATTCATTTTCTTATGAGAATGCGGTTTTGAAATTAAAAGTCTTCTCCCGCAGTAGTCTGAGAAACAACATGTACAAGGGCATAGGAGCATTCTTTAGCTTTATTAACGATAATGTTCACTGATCTGTGAATAACCTGGAAAAAAAAAATGAAGATTATTGAGTTACTTTCGCAATCTATCCATCCATCACAGGAGAGCAGGCTTCAGAATGATAGATCATACCACCTTCCTCCTCTTTATCCCAAGTGAATCTCTCTCCTCTGGGGAAAACAAACAAAACAGCAAGAAAATCGCAGTCAAAATCGCTGCTGCCTGGCATTACAGGCACCCTAACCAGTATAGCAGATTGTAGTAGTTATGGTGCTATGAATCACCAAGCACCATCCCAGGTTTTCTGTTAAACAATTTTGAAGTAATTAAAAAAAAAAAAGAAAAAGAAAAAAACAAGACCCCCTCCCTACACTTCTGCATTAGCAAATGCAAACTCATTCAATCTGGGTTGCTACAACAGGCTTACAGTTGGTAGGCCCCAACACTCTCACAACCACACATCTTACAATGCCGCTTGGTAGTGCAATTTGCACTAACCCTCTATTTAAAGACCGTGTAGGTATACGGAGGAAAATGTCAGAATGATCAAAGAATAGCAAGGTAGAGAAGAAGGGGAAAAGAGGAAGATAGTGCCAATCCAAAAAGGTTATACATCCAAACAGAAATGATCATTTAATAAGAAAAGTGTCATCTACAAAAAAACAAAAACAAAACAAGAAGTAAACAAAAATCTTCAGATGATCGACGTCTTCAGGTATACAAGATTTCACACAAAGCCTCCTTACCCTCTGTACATATTTCGGTTGGTAAAATTTGGATCAGTGGCAGTTTTCTTGATTGAGTTTTTCCCCTTTTCTCTTCTAGCCCTTTCACCCGAAGGCTTTTAATACTTTGTGAAATACCTTTGATTCCTCCGCCTGGTCCATAAATCCGAACAACAGTCCCGCAATACTCCGTAATCACAAGACTATCAAAATTTCTATGTATAATATATGCATTTATTGCCAAAGTTAAGTTTTAAGAGACTTTACATTCATTGTGCCCATAAATGCAATGCACTTTATTTCACGATTAGCTATTGTAGCCTAGTATTTTACATAAAAACAACAGACAAAAGTACTAGTATATTTTTCAGCATGATGATAGGTCTTCAAAATAAATACTAGTGTACCTTTCTGGGAAAGATATATATATATAAAAATAATAATAAATAAAAAAAAAAATAATGCAAGGAAAATTAAGTCTTATGTTTTGGGGTTTTTTATGCTCACATTTATCGGAGCCATTTTTCTGGCTCTGTGATGATGCAGCTTTAAGGACTATCTATAGAGAGACCTCTCTTCATTTTGGGTGGCTCATACACCTATTGTTATTTTCTTTCTAATATTTTGTAGTGTTTTAATTTCATACACTCTGTTGCCAACCTTGACTATTAAATAGAATTTTTTTGTGGCCCAACAAATTAAGTATTAATAAGGAGTTAGGTTCGGTACATACCATATTAAATAAGCTATGGATCTGTAAACATAACACAAAACATTGAACATTGGAGTTTTAGTACTATATTATGGCCATGAAAACACGTAGTTGGACATAAAAATACTAAACCTGCCAATTACGTCAAAGCATCCCAGTTTTGACAGGACCAAAGTTATGCATTACATATTAATCTCAAGTCCCTCACTGATGGTGTGCAAATAAGACAATACACAATTGGTTATTCTTGGCAGGTATATTAATCTCCATTTCAGGAGAGTCTAAATCTATATATAGAGTCTAAATTAAATTGTGTGAATGTAATTACACTTGATTTGGATGAGCCAGAACTTGATAACTTTTATAGAGTTCGCAGACTGAGCACGTTATGGGCTAAACAAGCCCAAAACTTTATTTTTCCTCTTATCTGTGTTGTGTAATTTTTATAGATCCATACTTTTTAGACAGAGTATACGAACCCTCTGATTTAATGCACACAGCAAGCAGCTACAGCAACACCTTGCTAAAAATGTAAAAGGTTGAACAAAAGTTACTTCTAATAAACGAGATTGTTTCCACAATTTAATCAACGGAATTACCGTGGTCAAGTATAGCAAAGGGTTAAATGATATGGGAAATTTTTGCAAGTTGCACATCTTTGGTGGTCCTGAAGCATTATTCTGTTTATGCAGGATACATTTATAATGCAAGGATGTGACTTCCAAATGTCTTTGAATCATACACATAAATATGCATGCGTGCCATTTATAACAGTAGCCTTGATGAGAACACAAAGAGTAACTGGCTGCTAGCATCGCTTAAGAGGTTTACATTAAAACAGAATGTGGGACGGTGGTTAGAAATCACAGGGCAAACGACACCTTATTCTGATAACCTGGCGATAAAAGCTGTAAGGTATGATCTATTAGTTCTGCAGTCACCACTTTAGTATACATACTAAACAATAGTCAGGGAATATTGTTCATTATCCGCAAGGCAATAAAACCCACCGACATGTCACGTTCGGGAGTTCAAGATAGAATTTTTAGGTAGAATCAGAAATCAGATGTTTGTACGGGTTAAACGAGCAGCCAACCTTCAATTTCTGCACACTATTTGTTGGCACTAATTGATGATCGAATAATACGGGAGATAAAACAGCAGATACACGGTGATTCAAGTTGCTCTATTAAAATAAAATGTTTCAGTTAGGCTCCTATATTTAATATGTCCTGGCACGGGGAGGGGGTATAATTCTTATGCAACAATTGAATTTCCATTGTAGGAATTCATTAAATCGGCTCTCGGCTCTGATAGCAAGGCCAGGTTGCCACTACAGCCATATTCAGCTGTGATTATGAGCACCTTACCTGCAGAGCTACTCAGCCGGTGTTGCCATGTTGAAATAAAGTTGCAGAAGAGCTGAACCGGCTACCTTGCCAAACCCAACAACACCTCCCCTTAAAACAAAAAAAAGTATAGAATGGAGGGGCAGCACAATTTCAGGGAGCGCTGTTCACGTTACATAGTTAGATAGCTCAAAAGAGACTTGCGTCCATCAAGTACAGTCTTCCTCACATATGTATTTGCTGTTGATACAAAAGAAGGCAAAAAACAGAGTCTGATGCGCTTCCAATTAAACTAACAAACTAGGAACAAATTCCTTCTTGACCCCAAAATAGCAGTCATATATCTCCTTGGATCAAGCAGCTATTACCCCACTAATTGTGTTGTGTTTTTGAAAGTATTCATCCAATTGCTGTTTAAATGTCTGTAAGGACTCTGATAAAACCACCTCTTCAGGCAGAGAATTCCATATCCTTATTGCTCTCATTGTAAAAAAAAACACATTTCTTTGCCTTACATGAAATCTCCTTTCTTCCAGCCTAAATGTGTGACCTTGTGTCCTATGTATAGCCCTGTTTATGAATAGATTTCCAGATAATGGTTTGTACTGGCCCCGAATATATTTATAATGTTATCATATCCCCTCTGAGGCACCGTTTTTTTTCCAAACTATAGATATTTAAATTCTTTAACAGTTCTTCGGAACTAAAATGCTCCTTTCCTTTTATCAATTTTGTAGCTCGTCTTTGCACTTTTTCTCGTGCCATGATATCCTTCTTTAGAACAGGTGCCCAGAATTGCACAGCATATTCAAGGTGTGGTCTTACCAGTGATTTATAAAGAGGCAAAATTTAATTTTCATCCCTAGAATTTATGCCCCTATTTATGTTACAATCCACGTTCCAGAACTCAATACTAGGGCTCTAGTCATCCTCTTGTTATGCAACCCATCCAGCACAAATCATGCATTGAATGTCCCTACGAGACCGCTGCATGCTATGTAGGTCACTCCCTCACCTCCTCTGACAGTCACCCTCATAGGTTTCAAACAACAATCACATTTATATTCATGAAGCTACTGTAGAGTGTTAAATGGGATGGCTAGGATTGGCTGATCAGATTCAATCGCTTCCTCTCACTGCAAAAGATGTAAATCCTGGGGATTTGTCGGAAACACAAGAGGTTTGGCAATATTTTTATTTCATGATATTTCTTTCCCCTGTATTAGTTTTTTTTTTATAGCCTCTCATGTTTTGTCACCTTTCTCCACTATAACTACAGCACCGACTTGTCTGTGGTTTTGATGACCATTGTGTTGCTTTGTATGGATTCAGCGGATTCTCTTGCAATGTGGTACAGTTTCATTCAGAACCACTCATAAAAAGAGAGAGCAAATCAACAAACAGAAAGAAAGGCCAGGAAGAGAGGTAAGGATCAGATCAGAGCCTACCCATCTAATCGACTATCTACTATGAGGCAATCCCATCACATCAAAAAACACTATAGGGTCAGGAACACAAACATGTATTCCTGACCCTATAGTGTTAAAAACACAATCTAGCCTCCCTGACCACACCCCTTGCCTCCCTAAATATAACAAAATCTTACTTGTATTCTAGTCTGCAGCTGCTGCCTCTGCACCTGATCTGCCTGTTTGGCTGACATCTTCAGAAGTTGTGTTCTGAGTCAATCACAATGATTTCACATAGGATTGGCTGAGACTGACAAGGAGACAAATTAGGGGCAGAGACAGCACAAACCAAACACAGCCTTGGCCAATCAACACCTCCTCATAGAGATGAATTGAATCAATGCATCTCTATGAGGAACGTTCAGTGTCTCCATGCTGAGGAGTGAGACACTGTGCAGCACTGCCCCAGAGAGCACCTCTAGTAGCCATCTGAGGAGTGACAAGTGGAGTTATCACTAGGCTGTAATGTAAACACTGCATTTTCTCTGAAAAGGGGTTGTATACTGAAAAAAGCCTGAAGGGAATGATTTTACTCACCAGAACAAATACAATAAGCTGTAGTTGTTCTTGTGACTATAGTGTCCCTTCAACACTACTGTTCATATCCTCCTCAGCAGCCTTGGTTTGAAAAATTGCAACACTCCATAACAAATCATGTTTTGTTCTCTTTGCTAAATCGATTTAGTTTCGTCTGTTTATGTTTTACTGCCAACTAGAGTTTACTGTCCAGGGAAGCTCTGTACCAACTTACTAGTAAGTGTCCTAAAATGCTGCACCAAAAACCAGGTCCAAAGAGTTGCCATCGGGACATCATTCTATAGGCAAAAAAAAAAAAAAGGCACGTACCCACCTCAGGGCAAACCATCTGGAAAGATGCAAAGCAACCTTCATTCCCATTCTGTCCATGATTCTGGCAACATATTCAAAGCAGGACCAGCACTGCTTTATTTTTAATATTGAACCGTTTATTGCATCCTCCTATTTGGCAAGTTGAAGTTTAAAACCCTGCCTCATATGGGGACAAAATAATGGGATCACTATCTAAAACGCAGTGCACGAGTGACTTTGAATCACATTCACAAGACCTGACAACTAGATGGTTATTATTTTCCTAACAAGACTTTATGAAAGATGCTTAGGATCTAGGATGCCAACTGCTGTAAGAACGGGAATATATTTCAAAATGTTGTTGATTTCTCTGTACTCGGAGTCAAGTTATGAACAGTTATATTGTCAATAGATGGAAGAGATTTGTGCAAGCTTTGCAAGTCCCAATTACAAAAATCTAAAAAAAACCTTCTGATATTTTACTGAGACAGGATTCCTTCCCCTTTAGACCCAGTATGATCTTAAGAAACTTAGTCCAATTTCAAGAGTTCAAAGAGAACTATAATCACAGAGCTTTGTCTCAAACTCCAAATCTGAGGTCAAGAATGTAGCTGTTTCTCAAGTTACCTGACCATCACACCTACCACATAGTTCCCATTAAGAAATTCCGAGGACACATTCCTTGTGGATGACCACCGTGTGTCTATTGAACAATATCAGATTAGACGGTAGCTGCATGAGAGTATGGAGTACAGGAAAGATTTCGTATATGATTCCAATAAAGTGGATCTGTCATATTTGAGTTAAAGCTAGCCATTGTTACTGTTGTTTTTTTAATATATGGTTCTATTCTGCTGAATATAATTTTCCCTATGAAATGCACTGCCTAACCACTTCGTGGAAATCAACTTAAATTTCTAATCATTCCTTATGTGATTCAGAGACATTCTTCCTTAGCATACAGCCAAGATGGCACACTATTAATGTCAATATGAGCCCATCTTGGGTAAATTTCCTTTTCAGTTTCCAATAATACATTCATGAGATGGTTCTACCGTAAAAACAATGTGCACTTTCACACAATGGAAATATAATGGGAAAGGTAAGCAGATTTAAATGAAGAATGGGGACGTTTCTGCTGGTTTATAGAACCACTAAAATCACCGAGACCACTTTATCTCAATCAAGTGGTCTGAGTGCAGAGGCCTCATTATTTTAACCCTACAATCTAAAACACTGCATTTTTGCAGAAACAGCAATTTCTACATTGCAGTGTTAATACACCTCTAGTGCCATATTCCCGACAGCCACTAGAGGTGCTTCATACTCAAGAAAGCAGTGAAACAGCAACATTTGATTTGATATCCATTTTTTGTACATTTATATAGTTCCGTAGAATGCAATCAGGGTGAGTACATGCACACACCCCTGGTATGCACTTTCTATAACAACAATTCTAATAACTTCGTTTTCAGACAGTTTATCTTAATTTAGATTCTCAAGGTTTGATTTACAGGGTTATTTACTAAATGGAAAATTGTTTAGAATTCAGAGGAAATTTCATATTTCATGCCAAAAGAGCGGAATTTGAAAAATTCTCCAAGTCAGCGGTGCTTCCAGTTCGTCTATTTTGGTCTAAAAGCCATAATTCACTTTGACATCCTGACAATTCCCACTTTAGTAAATAACTATTTTGAGACCTGAGCGTGGCTGTACCGAAGGGCAAGCTATTAGAGTTTACTCTAAGCTTTTGTCCGTTCTCAGAGTTCTAATTCTTTCTTTTTTGCAATAAGTTAGACTTACCTGCAAAAGCACTGGGGAAGCTCCCCGAGACCATACAGGGGGAAGAGGAAAGGTGTGTTGCCATAGCACCCAAGGCACCGCAGAAAATGTTGTGTCGCTTTCAATCCATCTTCAGTGTTAGCAGTTGTTGACACCATGGCGATAGAATACAGGATAAAGTGCTGCAAATTTGGTGTTAAACGTTTAACTTTTAAAAACTCAGAAAATGTACTTTCTTTGTGATCTGTAAAAGAGAATAAGAATAAAGTAATCATAGGTATAAGAAAGTTTGCAAAGAATAGAAAGTCTTGCTGGAAATGGGAAGGTTTAAATACGGCAAGGACTCTAATATATACATTCATCCTTGTAACAAACAAATGAAATTTATATTTTTCTATCACAAAACTGTAATTGTTAGCTGATGTAACTATTTACATTAAGTCTACCTATCATGGTACACACAGTTTTACATAAACTCATAGTACAACAAACATCATCTATTTGTGTTCATAGAATTTTAACTAGATGTGTTGTTTCAGATTTAAAAGGTTTCCCTTTCACCTCAACTGACAATTATTTGTCACAAAGATCAATGCCAAGCATCACGTGACAGGGAAGAGCAGAAGAACCCTCTAACAGGTGGCAATAAAGGCAAGTGTGTCATTGTCACAAGGATTGCCATGTTCGGGGACACATTCTAACAGCAGGCTAATCGGATCAAAGAAAAGCAACAGAATATATGATATTACTTTTGGGAACTTTCTGATAAATTGTATGTTTGGTTTTGTAGGACCTGTTTTAGGTTATGACAGGTTTGGGTTGGGATCAGGTGTGTCCAACATTTTATATATATAAAAAAAAAGTGTAAATAAAAATTCTATGGGGATCAATAAGACCCCCATGTTGCTCTAATGGAGACATTTTACAACATAAACATGGAAACTAGTGACCACTGCTATCGAGTTGCTAGTTTTTATCCCCCATTCCGAGGGTATTTAACTATCTGCCTGCTAGCGCTGTAAGCGGGCAAATAGTTCTTCAAATGACTTACTTGCAAATAGCAAGTGAATGATAATTTGCGATTCTGCTGCTGTAGAAACATAGAAACATAGAATGTGACGGCAGATAAGAACCATTCGGCCCATATAGTCTGCCCAATTTTCTAAATACTTTCATTAGTCCCTAGCCTTATCTTATAGTTAGGATAGCCTTATGCCTATCCCACGCATGCTTAAACTCCTTTACTGTGTTAACCTCTACCACTTCAGCTGGAAGGCTATTCCATGCATCCACTACCCTCTCAGTAAAGTAATACTTCCTGATATTATTTTTAAACCTTTGTCCCTCTAATTTAAGACTATGTCCTCTTGTTGTGGTAGTTTTTCTTCTTTTAAATATAGTCTCCTCCTTTACTGTGTTGATTCCCTTTATATATTTAAATGTTTCTATCATATCCCCCCTGTCTCGTCTTTCCTCCAAGCTATAGATGTTAAGATCCTTTAACCTTTCCTGGTAAGTTTTATCCCGCAATCCATGAACCAGTTTAGTAGCCCTTCTCTGAACCCTCTCTAAGGTATCAATATCCTTCTGAAGATACGGTCTCCAGTACTGTGTACAATACTCCAAGTGAGGTCTCACCAGTGTTCTGTACAATGGCATGAGCACTTCCCTCTTTCTACTGCTAATACCTCTCCCTATACAACCAAGCATTCTGCTAGCATTTCCTGCTGCTCTATTACATTGTCTGCCTACCTTTAAGTCATCAGAAATAATCACCCCTAAATCCCTTTCCTCATATGTTGAGGTTAGGACTCTATCAAATATTCTGTACTCTGCCCTTGGGTTTTTACGTCCAAGATGCATTATCTTGCACTTATCCACATTAAATGTCAGTTGCCACAATTCTGACCATTTTTCTAGTTTACCTAAATCATTTGTCATTTGGCTTATCCCTCCTGGAACATCAACCCTGTTACATATCTTAGTATCATCAGCAAAAAGACATACCTTACCATCAAGACCTTCTGCAATATCACTAATAAAAATATTAAAGAGAATGAGTCCAAGTACAGATCCCTGAGGTACCCCACTGGTGACAAGTCCAAGCTTCGAATATATTCCATTAACTACAACCCTCTGTTGCCTATCACTCAGCCACTGCCTCACCCATTCAAAAATATTGGAATCCAAACTTAAAGACTGCAGTTTATTGATAAGCCTTCTATGTGCAACAGTGTCAACAGATGAGTTTGAAAAAACATTGATTTGCTCATCCGAATCAATGTTACAGAATCGGTTGGACCGACCGAATTCTGACCACACTTTGCTTTAGTAAATCTGAGAATTGGCAAGGTGGTCGAAATTCGGACCTGGCAGACCCCACAGAGTGATGGCTGATAACATCACCGTTTTGTGCAGGGAGTGATTCTACTTAAGTGCCAACAAAGGTGTGTGAATATGGCAGAGGGATCTAGTGTTCTGTAAAAGAAAGAACCTGATTTTTAGGTATTTTTACATATTTCAAAAACATCATATCTTTTCATTACATGCTGCAAACATTCTTATCATAAAAAATGGATAAGAAAATTCTGGTGACAGTTGTGAATATCATTTAATAAAGTGTGGCCATTCAGACTTATGACTTTTATCCAACATTTGTTCCTCTATTATTGTTTCCTCTTTTTACATACACTTTACTGTTAAGGACACAAGGTTTATTTTTTTAGACAAATACACATAATGTCCTACCTTCATATTCTTCAACATGCTGCTCATAGTCTGCACAGAATGTCAGGAATTTCATTAGTATCCTCTTCTCTACCATGGAAAGCTGTTTGCTGGCAAACACATCCGCCCTTGAACAGGGAACCTGTGGAAAAACACGTCATAGTTAATAGAGAACTGTAGTTTAGAAGAATACTCCAGGCAGCACAATGTTAAAGAACCGTTTAGCCCCAATGTTGAATAGACAGCACCCACCAGCTCGGCCCCTATTCTACTGACAAACATTTATGTTTCAATAAGGGTACCCGTGGTAAGCCGAAGTTCTCAGCCTATCACTGGTGTCCAGTCGAAGGCTCATCGAAGTCTTGGAGAATAGAGGTTGAGCTGACGGGTGCCATCAACAGTTGTAAGCGGTTTAACCCCATATGGTACAATTATGCGTAGGACCTCGAGGCACAATAATTGAAATTGAAATTAAGTTGGTACGGTGTCCAGTGTTGCTTTAATGTTTGCTTATCCACACAACTATTTTACTTAAAGGACCACTTTAGTGCCAGGAAAACAAACTTGTTTTCTTGGAACTATAGGGTCATTAGGTCCCACCCACTCCTCAGAGACCCCCTCCCGCTGGGCTAAAGGGGTTAAAATCCCTTCAGTCACTTACCTTTCTCCAGCGCCGGGCTCCCTCAGCGCTGGGGAACTCTCCTCCCTCTGCCGACGTCAGCTCTGAATGCGCATGAGTGGCAAGAGCCGCGCGCGCATTAAAACCGGCCATTTTTCACAGTGATATTCACAGTGAGAATCGTGGAAGCGCCTCTAGCAGCTGTCATTGAGACAGCCACTAGAGGCAGGATTAACCTCAGTTGAAACATAGCAGTTTCTCTGAAACTGCTATGTTTTCAGCTGCAGGGTTAAAACTAGAGGGACCTGGCACCCAGACCACTTAATTGAGCTAAGATGGCCTGGGTTCCTATAGTGGTCCTTTAATGTATTGGTGATTTTAAAGTATTACAGAAAAATGATGGTTCCTCTTTAAAGATTTTTTGTTGTGTATCATACACCACCAACAGAAAGAATCAACAAAGAGCAGATCAGGTAAACACCTGGTGGGACTGCTGAGCATTTTCACGTGCTGTAATGTGTTCTGTTAGCACTGCGTGGTTGGAATTAGCTCAGGGTGCCTGAACTAATTCCTGTGGCATTTAAAATTCCTGTGGCATTTCAAAGCAGAACATAATGTGAAGTTCAATTACCTAAAGCAATAAACAAAGCAAGAAAATAGGAAATTAGAAACACAGATTATTTTTTTTTATGAATGAGAATATAATTTCTTATAATCACTTCTCTGAAAATTACACTACTCAATAAACCAATGAAAATCACCTACAACTTGTGTTAAAGGACACTAAGCACCAGAAGCACTATAGCTTAATGTAGTGGTTTGGGGCAAAGAAACTGCAGCCCCTTTTTGCAAACACTGCCTTTTCGATGAAAAGACAGTGTTTGCATTTGCCCCTGAGGGCACTTGTACTGGCTGCCACTCAGATAGCCATTAGAGGTTTTTACTATTAGCAGCTCCTCCCCTACATGTTCAGGGTCGCCATGAGCTGTGTGAAAATGCAGAACATAAATTTTGAAAATATCTTAAAGAGACACTATAGTCACCAGACGAACTTCAGCTTAATGTAGTGGTTTTGGTAAGTATGGTAAGTCCCTGCAGGCTATTTAATGTAAGCACTGACTTTTCAGATCAAAGGCAGTGTTTACATTACTTCCTAGTAACACCTCTAGGTGCAGTCACTCAGACGGACACTAGAGGTGCTTCATGGGTTAGTGCTGCACAGTTTTGCATACAGGTGCTGAACATTCCTCATAGAGATGCATTGAACCAATGCATCACTACGAGGAGATGCTGACTGGCGCAGCACGGCATTAGCCTACTAATACCTTCCTATGGAAAAGATTGGATTGGCTGAGATCGTCAAATTTGATAATCACAGTCACGGAGGTGGAGTCAGCTGCAAAAAGACCAGCGCGGCGCTTGAAAAAGGGTGAGTTTAACACCTTTTTAAAGTAAGGAGAAGTATATATCTATTCCAGACATCCTAGTGTTTCTTTAAGTATGAACTGACGTTAGTGGTTATCAGTTTGGCAGCCACTAGAGGAGTGGTTTTGGACAAATGTAAACATTGATGTTTCGCTCCAATATGTAAAACTCAATTTCTGCTACATATGCTTTGTGATATAAACTGTTGGTATGACTAAAGGCAGTTGGTAAAAACATCCTGCCTTTTACCCAACTTTTTTTCCCAGTAAAATAGGTTTCCATATTTATAAACAAATGAATTGGAAGAGTATATTTTAACAATAAAACTCTCACTTTAGATAGGTCTGCATTTAGCAGAAGTTGAGGTAGTCAATAAATAGTATTCCCCGCTAAGTTTAAAACTCCTAAGTAAGTTCTAAATTCTTACATGAAACACTAATTCATTTCACGTCATTAATGAAAACACTACTTGAACAATTCAAAGGGACAGTGTAGGCACCCAGACGACTTCAGCTCATTGGAGCGGTCTGGGTGCAATGTCCCATGTCCCTTAACCCTGAGAAACTGCAATAATTACTATCCAGGGTTAACTCCACCTCGCCACTAGAGGGACTTCCAGGGTTGAAACGGACCTTTGGGCCGTTATCTGAAGCTAGACGCCCTCACGCTCTGTATGTGAACCTCCAACGTCAGATGTGTCCCTATAGGAAAGCATTGAATAATGCTTTCGATGGGAAAATCCTAATGCGAGCTCGGCTATTGCGCGAGAGAGGGGGCACTGTATGATTCTATAGTGCCAGGAAAACGGCTTTGTTTTCCTGGCACTATAGAATCCTTTTAAGTAATAGTTTATTTGTCATAAAGTCTATAGGTTAGTGTACTGCTTGTTTACACATCCATATTCCTCAGGTTTACTAATTTTCCTATTTTTTTCCCAATTTTTACCATTTATGGCACTACCTCGTCTTTTTTTTTATTTTATTTTTTAAGAAAGTGACAAAATACCAAACCTGGTGTTCAGGGCACAAAAACAGATGTGCCATGGACGGTTACAGATTCTCTACTACAACTACTGATAAAGCAGGTATAATTAGGTCACTTTGGGTGAAGAACTCTGGGGTCTGCATCTGCCCACCAATATTTTTCCATAGTTACACTTCTGATGCTAACACACAGCTGCAACTATTTTTCTTTGTCACAGTAACCCTTTGAATCCACTGTTCATTAGTTAAGGGACGAGAAATCCACTGTAACAAACCTGTTCAATTTTCCCATCGTAATAGGTCAAAATTCTGGTAATGTTTTTAAACTCGGTGTAACGGCTGACGTTGGACTTGATGAGCAGATTAATTAACATTCCTCGAGAATAGAGAAACTATCAAGAAGAAGAAAAAAAAAATGGTTATTTATGTTCGACAAACTCAATTTTTAATGTCATACACTTCTTTAAAAACCCATCATGTCTTTGCTGGTCAACTTTTAAATCTGTCTTTCTTTTTGGGATATTTTTAATTTATTTTTATGAAACTTAATACAATTTTTCTGGATAAGAATTGGTTTTCAAACATCTCTGTAAAATACATATTATGATTGGTGGCCTCTAAGAGTTTAAAATGGCTTTCACCATATTGAAAAAAAACGTTCAGACGAAATGACAGCTAAACTTCAAATAACAACATATTATTACAAGAAATCACCTAATCTCTTCTAACAGCCATTCTATTGCCATAGTTAAGTTTTCCACTTATAATGGAAACCAGAACCAAGATTTACATTTAAGAAGGAAAAAAAAAAAAGATAAAAGATCATGCACACCCCAAACATGCAGAACTGTAATCTTGTACAAAACACATGAACACTGTCATACCTTATACACTAATAATAACTTTACCACCAATGTATACACATATAAACTACATATCCCACAATACTCAGTCACATTTTAGAAATTCCACTGTTCTGCATCTTAAGCGACAACAGTTTTTGTTAAATAATTATTGGTATTAAATAAAAGCTGACCTTTGACACTAAATCAATATTAAATCTTCGACCTTCTTTAACAATGTGTGAATAAGTAACAGGCGTAGATGCGATTTGATCGTTGGTTTGAGGAGAACTTGGTCCCGTGTCTGCAGTGTCGCTTGATTCCAGGACAGGACATGAGTCTGTGCTAGTGGTCTCATCTGATAGGTGATCACCTTCAGCTAACAAGTTTGGATCAGCATTTTCTGTTCCTCCTGGCCCATTCTTCTCTTCTTGTTTTTGAGGATTTTTACAATGGTTGTCTGCCGAGGGACCTTTTTGTGAAGGGGCTTCGATTGTGGGATCTATTGTTGTAACATCAGTTGTTAATAGGGCAGGGTTCACATGAAGTGCTCCAGATTCTTCCACATCAGAGTCTTCACTGCTATAAGAAATATAAAAAAAATAAAAAACTGACTTTCTACCAATAAATAATTTTTGGTAATAGAAGAAGTTTCTTGTTTGATAAAGAGCTGATGCAATCACCCACCAATCAATGCAACTCTGAAAAGATCAATTGTAAATCACGAAGATGACAATAGTTTTCAGGAGCAACAACATGCTTAAAAATATTGCTTGATATATAAGGGTGAGAAGCCACTAACATTTACTACCTATAAGACTTGTGTTAGATAAAGGTTTGATTTTAATTAAGTACATAGTCACATACTACAAATGATTCCAAGTGCTGTACAATATTTGCTTCTTTTTATCTCTCTGCATAATTTCAGTCCCATGTGTATCTATGTAGAACTTTTAAGTTAAGGAAAACTGTTCAGGTTAAATAACCCCCCATTGTTAATGCAATATAAGGACTATGCATTAAAAATTACGATACATAAATCACCATTAAAATAACACTCTGTGCACCAAAGCAACTTCATCTAAACAAAGTTGTTATGGTGCCAGGAGGCCCCTGGAGGCACTTTTACCTCAAGGGGTTAAACTGTTCTCAAACAGTTTTACCCCTAAGTTGCCCCCAGGAGGCATCCGTATTCAGGATTTTCACTTACAGGAAGCATGGAGAGCCGCCGGGCAGGGGCCCCCGCTGATTGACTGAGAATAGTCAGCTGATGCTCTCAGCCAATCAGAGACTCCCCATTCTCTAAACTGGCGTTGAAAAGGTATGTTTCTTTCCAAGCCAGTTAAGTGAATGGAAAGTCACTGATTGGCTGAGAGCATCAGCTAACCACTCTCAGCCAATCGGCGGCACTCCACGCTTCCTGTAAGTGAAAATAGGGAAGCCGGATGTCACCAAGGGAGGGCCGAGACGGACGCTGGAGGCAACTTAGGAGCTAAATCATTAGAATAAAATATGCAATTATACATTCTTATGCCTCATCTGAAGTCACTATGAATATATGAAGTCACTATGGATAAGAATGCTACACGAAAAAAGTAAAAAAAAGTAAAATAAAATACATTCCAGATTATTGGAAACGTGTTCATCAAAGACAATAGTGACAGAAAGAACTATTTTTCAATATCATCACAATATGCTTGGTTGGATCATTTTCCTTTCAAAGCTTACGAAGAAGACGCGAACAAATGAAAATTTAACATTCCTATCTTTACATTTCTTTTTAACGGTTCCATATTGAGACAGTTTGCAACTCTCTCTGTTCTGTGACATTACAGTTAAATGTGTCCATTCTAAATGATTTTTCTGCCTAATCTATCTGTCCTCTGAAACTCAATTATCATTTTGATATGCAGGAAGCAGGAGAAACTAATCACAATGATGAATCGCGAAGGGAGAGAATTCTTTTAAAGAAAAGGAAGACATTTCTTCTCAATTCACATCTATATTAGCAGATGAAGTGGAGCAAGGATCATTAATATTAATTTCAACTACAAGGTATAATTATTAAACAGAGAAAAAAAAAAGATTTTATGGGAAAATAAACCATGAAACCTAATTAAGTGAATGAAGTTCTTGAGTCTTACCCAGTTGCTTTGAAGGGAACGTAAATATTAGAATATCATTTCATTGCCGACACAAGGGAAGATTAGATCTACATCTAATAGATTTTTCACCCACTGTTGATAGCAGTTTACAAGTGCAGTGATGAGGTAATTAGTCTTAATTAGCACTTGGAGTGTCAGGAAGGCAGCTATCACATTTTGTTGTGATTTGTTGTATCCATTTCTGGCATTTAGAAGGTTAAAACGTGCCTTTGGAGACATGCCCATACCTGAGCATTTCTCCAGGTCTGCCCCTCCAGAGATATTCCCATTTTCCTCCAGGAAGTCATTATTACAGAAAAATCACACTAAAGTGTTGTCAACATGCACTTCTCAACATATTTTCTTTCAGTGCACCTACGCAGTCCACAGGTCACCAGACCATAGTATAAGAATTGCAAAATAACTTCAGCACACAGATCAGTTTCAGGAAGACCTCTTTATTGAATACAAATCAGCAGAGGAACGTGTTGGTCTCACAATCCATGGGCTGGAGATAGGCTGTGAGACCGAAATGTTGTTCTGCTGATTCCTCAATCAAATGTGTGTGCTGGAGTTCTTTTTTGTTTATTACTGGGAGTTTGTTTTAGTGTCAGTCTCACCTGCAAAAAGAGCTGCACAAAAAAGAAAGCTCAATGCAAAGGCAAATTAAAAACTTTTTCCTTCGATCATGATCAAAATAGTGGTGACTGAAGCCTTTTTCCATTGGGCTACAATAGGGTCACTGTACCTCAGCAGGGTTAACCTTATAAGTTACCATTTTTATTGTTTTTATCGAGTTCCTGCATTTAGCCTCTACTCATTTTCAGCCTCTAATATCGTTCCCGCTAGCATGTGTGAGAATTACGTTTTTGCTTATTTCCTTATTGGCACTCTCTAATGCTCTCCTTTGACATGTATTTTGTTATATCCTGTGTTGTTCTCAATGCACTACAAAAATAAAGAATCATAATTTTTTTAAATTTTTTTTTTTTTAAATAACACCCTGGGCTTTGGTGGGGGGGCTCCAGAACATGTCAATGGCCGGCAAGATTACTGTTATTTATTACTGGCATTTATAAAGCGCCAACCGCGGCCCTGAATATGTAGGGCCTGTTCCTGGTACCCTTGATTTAACTTTATTTAAGAGAGCCTTAATTAAGGATTAATGATAAACCATGGAGTAGTGATGTATTTAAAAATGTGTTCTGTGTAATTTAGAAGTGCCAGTGACGGGTATAAGATTTGTAATTCTCCTAACTGCATGATTCCACCCTAAACAAAGTGAGTGGCTCCTAAGGTTTGCGCGGGATATTTATGAATATCTACACAAACCATGAAATAGATAGAAAGATAGAGGCACTAGCCTGGGAAGAAAAAGACCCAGAGATGGATAACAAATACTCTCCGACCAGTAAGTTGAGTTGACTAGGAGAGAAAAAGTGGAGAAATCCAAGGCAAATTTGAGCGACCCTATGCAAAGCCAAAGGCATAACGCCTCACAATGGAGTTAAGTTTCCTTTGTGGCGAAACCAACCTCACCACTGTACACTGGAGAAGCCTGGTTGCTCGCCTGCTGCCTTTGGACTATGGCCCCATGTTAAAAGACATCTTTTTCCCTACAGAAAAGACTTATTCGTGCTTTTCTGCCAGGTGTTCGGTAGATTTGTTTGAGTGTGTTGTACCCCAGATAGGAATCCCATGGAGCCCATTCGCATGAAACTGACTGTGTAAAGATTTTGGCTCCATGGCGTTTAAAATGTATTCGTGTGGTCTGAGCGCCATTCGCTTAATAATGTGCGCTCAGACCTGAGCTATCTGGGGATATGTAGAACGTATATGTTTTATGTACTGAATGTAACTGTAGGTAATTTTGTGTCTTTTACTGTTTGTTTTCTGTCATGTGGTTAATGGAGTTTTGCCTCTGTCTTTGGAGATAATTGAATTACATCTCAATTATCTCCAGAGCAGAGAGGAGGGATTGTGATGCATTGTGGGATGGTTGAAATGTGTAAGTCTGTGATTGGTCCTTTTACCCTTTGTGTCACAGTCTCCCATTTGGTCCCCTAGGGGAGTGTCCACCAGGTGGGAGACATGCATAAAAGCCGGGCAGTTAGCCCCAGTAAAACAGTTCCTGGTTAACCCTCAAAGTGAAGTGTCGTCTCATTATTGGGGGAGGATTTATTGTATGCTGTTCCAGTTTGTGTGCTAGGAGTGTAAACCTATTTGCATGGTTTTTCTTATTCGGCTGTTTCCAGTATTCGTGTGTCTCCAGTTCGGGAGAGTGGTGATTGCAGTAGCTGTCTGTGCATCTGAAAAAAGGGGAATATCGCCTAAACGGTTTTTTTAACCTCTTTTGGGCAAAACGGTCCGTTACATCCTTGAACCATCAAAAAATCAGAGACTCAATAAGATTCCAATATGGCAATGGTAATGGAGCCTTATCCTGTAAGGTGAGACTGTGGGGTCTTGAGGTGCAGACCCAAAATTCCTGCTGGACCATGGCAAACAGAAAGAGCAATGGAGGGTCTTATTAAATCTAGAGATTTTGTTTTTGTATTGTGTCCTACTGTGGGCATATTCATTGGGTTGGATACAATGAGACTAAATGCAGATAAGGGTTTTTTTCATTTTTTTTATTATTTAGGTTAATGCTGTCGGGTTAATCATGATTTCTGTTTGATAACATGCTTGATGCACGATTTTCTGCTGAACACGCTCAGAAAGACGCTTGATCTTGATCTTCTGCCTCATCGAACAATCACTTTTCGTGTGTAATAACTGGTGATGTGCAACAGAAAAATCGACCTTATAAATAAGGCTTTTGGTGATTTATTTTTCTGTTATTTATTCTTTAAAACTTTTTTGTTATTTAGCTTTAGTAAGATCTTTCCCCTCAGAATAGGAAGAGACAAAAAATAAAGTGGATATACTGTTGTAGTAAGAGAGAATAAGGCATTCTGATGTGAAATAATGAACTTCAAAGGCTATTACAGGTGTCTGCAGTGAAAGGTAAAGAGGTACAAGGAAGGGGCCAATTCTACTAAGTTGGGCCATCATAGCAGGTGCGCTGGGTGACTGTGTCCCGTTGGTTTTCTACACTGCTAATAAACAAGGATATTTCAATTAAAATATAAATTATACATTATACATGATTCACGACGTGTTGGTTAAATAAATCATGGTCAAAAATGGTGAATGGCAGACTCAGATTCACGTAGGTATATGCATTATTAACCTGTCATGCCAGCAAAGCTACTAGCAAATCAAACATTATACCTGCCTGAAGATCATTGTACTCATTGAAGACTGTGTATCTCTATTCCAAGATGGGTTCCAGATATGCAAGAGGTTGCACCCCACAATGAAATGCATGGCATGACCCATCGCTCATCTAAAAGGTTCTATAGTCCACGTCCCGTACTTTGTTCACACATACAACAGGTTCAGAATGAGCATAACGAAAGCATTTCTTATCTACAAGAATTAATGGAACAAAAAAACAGTTTCAAAGCAACTCTGACAAAGTGCTCAGAATGCAGCAACTGTCAAGAACAGGCCTGGAAAAGCATCTCTAAGCTTTGCCAGTCACAGAAAAAGAGACAATGATTACTGTGAGAGACATCGAAACTGTATTAAAAAATAAATGTGGATAAGCCAGGTTTGTGGACAACTTGGGCCAATGTTGAAGACTTTCCCTTTAAGGGTCTACTCTTGTCAACCCAAAACAGTCCTACTCGTGGTTCTTCCATCAAAGTCTAGCTGTCCATCCTGCAAGCAACCCTTTAAATGCCACAGATGTAGAGTTTGTTTTATAGAAACTTCCCCTTTAAGTAATTACAACACTCGTGAAAAGTCCACGGTCAAGTGGACATGTACCTTATTCGCTTTATTTACTGAACAACCCTCATATGAGGGTATTTTTACAGGTAACACAAAAATGACAGATCACACAATGTCAGTGACTGATTGTTTAAATAAAAAATAGAAAATGCATTTGTTTGAAAAGTGCAGTGTGTACCAAAGGAGTTTCTCTGTCTGGTGCTTTATGTGGATGAGTGATGATATTTATGGCCACATTTGCTCAAGGACTAGCCAGCCATGGTGGATATTAGATTATAAACAAAACGGGTTACTTCCTCCTCCTTCCCTCCATTGTTTCAATGCACCAATAAATACAGATACTTTGTAAATGGAATTTTACTTGAAGGTGTCACTTGTCAATGTGATAGCAGTCGGCAGTGTATTATACTGACACTCCAGCTGCTGTAGACCTATCACCCAGATAATCAGTCAACCACCATACAAGCCAACAGGGTCAAATGAACCATATTCATTGTTAAACAAAATTAAAGAAAGGGTTAAAGTGGATATGTCAGATTTTCAAATTATGACGAGTATTAAAAGAGTCACTCCAGGCAAGGGTGACTCATTGATTTTAATGCATTATATGTTGACAATGAATTAAAAATATATGCAAAAATAAGATAAAAACGATGCGTACTCTAGACGTGTTTTTGCGGCTTCTGCAGTGCTCCAGAACTGGCAATAGGTCTTCAGATACTATGTGCAAAACCCCACAGTGTGCACTAGCCTTTGACATAAAACATTTAATTCACAAGAAGGATCCCAAATACTTAAAAATGTACATCATAGATAAAATAACCTTTCCCTGGCGGGGTCGAAATCTCACTAAAATGTTGGACAAAAAAGAGATGAGTTGGGTTTTTAAATTAAACATCTTGACACCCCCTGGTATAAATGTTGATTTTGATATTTTTAATTTTCTGTGATTAGTATATATGTTTTTAAGTTTCCAGACTTTTACTTCTACTCCATGGATTTGTATTTTATTCCATGAGCTGTTATTTGCAATTAAAATTTTATATTAAGAATTCCTGCATTTTTACACATTTTTGACATGCGTTTTATTAGAGTTCCCTCCCTCCCCTCCATTCTCAAACTACATTTCCCATCATGTTTTGGCCTCTCCCTCACTTCCGGTATTTTGGGGAAGTTTAGGCCTTTAGTGTATTAGGCTTTTATAGACTTATTTTCCACCCTTCTAGGCTTCGAATAATACCTACATCCACATAGATCCAGTGACATAGGTTTTAATAACTTTTTCAGCTGTACAAGAATGGTCACAACGCCATCTCAATGGGCTCTCCGAAGTCTTGTTTTTATGGTCACTTCCCATTTTTTACATTTACATTCTTATATATATATTTTTTTTTTTAAATCACTTGTCCCTACCGGTTTGTGTTTGATTACTCTTCACATACTTCATTTTAAATTATTTTTTTTAAATCTGTGTATAAGTTAATTGCTTCATTGGTCACATGATCTATGATGTCACTTGAGAGTTACATTAGAATTTGCTATATATTCAGGATAGGTCCATCCTCTGTAACAGTTTAATAAAGTCTGCAACCTTTGGCGAAATGCATTGGTGTTTTACCCTATGTATGTATGATTTTAACCTTTATTTTTCAATAATTAGTTTGCTTTTTTACCATACCTGAACCTTCCTGATTTTACCTTGAAGATTTTATCCAGAGGATTTTCACATTGAATTCCTTGGTGGGGAATATATCACCCATGCTATATGGACTGAGAAAATGAGAGCACTATATTCTTCTTCATTTTCATTCCATACCAGTAAATTCTTGCTACTTGACTACTGGGCATCTTAGCGAAACATACTTGCCCTAGATGTCCTTCGCCAAAAGACCAGGATAACAAGCATATCCACAGGCGATTACAACTTATAAAATCTGCATTTCTTTTATTTAATTCACCGATAATATCGAAATACTGCACTTTATTCTGTCCATATTGTTCCAATTTGATCCTGAACAGAGGACTTCCTTAAGGCGCTGCTTCCCTGCACTCCTAAATACAGTATCCATGTGCAGAGACTCTGATTTGGGGAGTTGAAGCTGCCTCTTTACACTATAGAAGCGCTTGGAATCTTATATTTTATACCATTGCACACACATTATTATTATTATTATTGTTTTTTATATAGCGACAACTTATTCCTCACACATATTTTAAATTGTGTGAGTGTGTCTGTTCATGTCAAAAATGTCCTTTTAAAGCAACACAAACATATACTTTGCAATGCATTTGTAAATTTGGAATTGTGTGTAGATCCATCACAAATGCACATATATGTCTCACTGTGGAATACCATGCATATTGTGTGTACGGTGTCAATGTGTGCATGCTGTACGTAGGATTGTCAGTGCTCCTGTATTTACTCAGATCTCTGTATGCTCATGTACTGCGTGTGTTGTGTTTCCTCTGTGAGTGCAACACCAGTAAGTGTTTATATTGATATTACTGTGTGCGAATGTTGATGTTTGCATGTATTTCAGTGTCCCGTGCATGTGAGCGATGTAAAGGTCAAAATTAGCCGCATCACTAATGTAAAGTGTAAAAGGCTAAGCGAGCATTGCAGAAATGGTAGGTCACAACATTTTAAAAGACAAATCCTTACATTTTTTGTAACATACAATTCCCATGATGCCATACTAGGCTAATACGTCTGCTGAGCATCATGGGAACTATACATCACATACATTTTCATTTGTTCCTTTAACTTCCCTCCTTAGTTATTTTCCAAAAGTCTCATTTGTTGTCTATCCCTACCATCAAGTAGTGCATGCTTGAATCAGCGGTCAATTGGCTATTACAGAGTTGCTCAGCAATGAGGAACAAGGCCTGCTATTTAGTCCCAAACGTGACATGTGCACACTAAATCAATTGGTCAACAATATAAGTCTGAGTATTGAGCAAACAGCAATTTTGGCAAAGATTTGTGATCAATTGGTTAATTGAAGATTATCAAAATGATCCTGCTTAACTACCCTGAGGGGAACTTAATTTCTACAAATTTATATTTTTTTTGTGTAGCATTTCTGAATTAGATCATATGTATGGGTGCAGTTAAAAGTGGAACAAACAAATGACAAAAGTGGAAACAAGCCTCACTCAGGAACCCACAGAATCTCATAAAAACCTCAGTCGCTAAGTTGGTTAACCAGTCTTAAGGGAAATTTACTGACATGGTTGAACTTAATGATATAGTCATCTAGAGTGAAATACTTAAAGATAAACCATTCACACAACTCTAATGGTGCTGTAACATATAACATTCTCACATAAATATTAACAATATCTACACTGATTTGCCACAACATAAAAACCATTTGATCAATATCATGTAGGTCTCCTTCATGCTGCCAAAAAAGCTCTGATGCATCCAGGCATGGACTCCACAAGACCTCACCAAGACATTAGCAGCAGATTCTTTAAATCCTGAAAATTGTGAGGTGGGACCCCCATGGATCGGATATGTCATTCTGCACATCCTACAGATGCTCAATTGGATTGAGATCCAGAGAATCTGGAGACCAAGGCAACACCTTGAACTCTTTGCAATGTTTCTCAAACCATTCCAGAACAATTGTGGCAGCGCATATTATTCGGCTAAAAGAGGACACTGTCAACAGGTAACATAAACAGGGTTCTATTTTGGGACCGCTTCTATTTAACATATTTATAAATGATCTTGACATAGGCATTGAAAGCCATGTTTCAGTGTTTGCAGATGACACAAAACATTGTAATGTAATCAAATGTGAGCAGGATATTGCTTTGCTGCAGAGGGATTTGGATAGATTGGCAGATGAAATTTAACGTAGAGAAATACAAAGTTATGCACTTCGGGGTCAAGAATGCACATGCAACTTACGCCCTAAATGGTAGAGAATTAGGGATAACCACACACGAGAAGGATTTGGGAATTGTTATAGACAACAAATTAGGCATCAATATGCAATGTCAATCTGCAGTTGCTAATGCCAGTAAGGTTTTGTCATGTATAAATAGGGGCATAAATTCTTGGGATGAAAATATAATTTTGCCTCTTTATAAATCGGTGGTAAGACCACACCTTGAATATGCTGTGCAATTCTGGGCATGTGTTCTAAAGAAGGATATCACGGCACTAGAAAAAGGGCAGAGACGAGCTACAAAACTGATAAAAGGAATGGAGTATTTTAGTTACGAAGAAAGGTTAAAACATTCAAATCTCTTTAGTTTGGAAAAACGGTGCCTCAGAGGGAATATGATCACATTATACAAATATATTCGGGGCCAGTACAAACCTTTATCTGGAAATCTATTCATAAACAGGGCTATACATAGGACACAAGGTCACACATTTAGGCTGGAAGAAAGGAGATTTCATCTAAGGCAAAGAAAAGGTTGTTTTCTTTACAGTAAGAGCAATAAGGATATGGAATTCTCTGCCTGAAGAGGTGGTTTTATCAGAGTCCATACAGATGTTTTAAATGCAATCTTATAAATACTTGCAAAAACATAACATACAGGGATATAATTTCTAATTAGTGGGGTAATAGCTGCTTAATCCAAGGAGACATCTGACTGCTATTTTGGGGTCAAGAAGGAATTTTTTCCTAGTTTGTTGCAAAATTGGAAGTGCTTCAGACTAGGTTTTTTTGCCTTCTTTTGGATCAACAGCAAAACCATATGTGGAGAAGGCTGAACTTGATGGATGCAAGTCTCTCTTCAGCTATGTAACTATGTAACCATTGCCATGAAGGGATGCATGTGGTCTGCAACAATCTCTATGTAGGTGGTATGTATCAAAGCAACATCCACATGAATGCCAGAACCCAAGGTTTCCCAGCAGAATACTGCCCAGAGCATAACACTGCCTCCACTGGCCTGTGTTCTTCCGATAGTGCATCCTGCTGCCATCACTTCCCCAGGTAAACAATGCGCACACACACGACCATTCACCAAATTTAAAAGAAAACATTATTTAATCATTATACTAGGTAACCTTCTTCCATTGCTTCATGGTCCAGTACTCACAGCCACGTCTCCCAGGAAGGCACTTTTGAGGGTGAACAGGAGTCATCATGGACACTCTGACTGGTCTGTGGCTATGCAGCAAACTGCATCCTGATACCTTTCTATCATGGCCAGCATTACGTTTTTCTGCAATTTGACCTAGAGTAGCTCTTCTATGTGATAAAGCCGGATAGGGTAGTCTTTGCTCCCTACGTGCATCAATGAGCCTTGGGTGCTCATGACCCTGATGCCGGTTCACCAGTTGTCCTTTCTTGAATCACGTTTGGTAGGTGATAACCATTGCATACCATGAATACCAAAAAAAATTTGCCATTTTGGAGATGCTCCGACCCAGTCATCATTATATGGTCCTTGTCAAAGCTACGCAGATCCTTTCGCTTGCTCACTTTTCCAGCTTCCAACATAGCAAACAAGAGCTGGCTGTTCACTTGATGCATACTATAGCCCACTCTCAAAAGGTGCAATTGTAACAATATAATCAATGTTATTCACGTCACCGGTCAGTTTTAAAGTTGTGTCTGATCAGTGTATACGATTACATACAAAAATCTATTCTGAGCACATTTCTAAAATCTGAGTAATCATGAAGTATCACGGCTACTGGATTTTAGAGGTCACCTTTCCAATAACAGTGCCTGAAACACAGTTTTTGTACTATAAGCTTTCTGATTTCTTTGGATATAATCAGTCAGCTGACAACCAGAGAGACACAGCACAGCAACTTCAGATAGAGAACAGAACACCACCAACCAAAAAATAGTTAAAAGCAAAATCACGAGAGAGCGACAATTGGGACAGTTAGAATCCTGGGACATGTACATGTACTGCTCATGCAAGCACCAAGCATACGCACCAAAGAACACAAGTCCCTCGTTCTCTGAATTTATAATTAAAAAATTAAAACAGTAAGAGTAAACATAACAATAGAACCATAACAATAAGTGGAGTCTGAGTTGTTACAGTAAGAATATTCCACTGGCTTTAAGTGTGACTAGTCCACGTTAATAGCTATGCCACTGAATTGTTTATTTTACATAACACCTCCATAATGTCGGCCAATATATGAGCTATTTTATGCATTGTGCTATTTGTCTTAAGTATGGCAAAGCATTTTGGGAGTTGAAGCTCTACGACAGCTGGCATGATAGTACCATTTTTCCACATCTGGAGCAGTGCATGATGTGCCTCCATGGCTATTTATAATAGATGGCGGTCAGCTGTGATGGAGGGTGACATATGATTGCAAGGACATAAAAATACCATGTCATGAGAAATATTTCTTTTAAAGTCGCTTTTTCCCATTGTTGGGAAACCAAGATAATGTTTGTAACTAAAAGAATGACGAAAGATCAGATTTGCCTACCCCGAATAAGAGAAAACTTCAATATTCTGAATGGTCTTGTTCTTGTTGTTGAGTAGAATGCATTTCTCATTGGCAGAGATATGATCAGTGTATGAGGCAACTTCACTGGTGATGTCTTCCTTCTAAGGGAAATCAATACAAGAGTCAGCCTTGTTAGGAATTTAGTGGAGAGAATTTTAAAGAGAGACTTACCTCTTGTATAGTACTTAAAGCACCACAAAGCATAATAGTGAAGTTATGTCACATTCTGACTAGCATACCTTGGAACATTACAATACCTCTGCAGAGTATCTTCCTTACAGTTTTTTAACTGAATGAATGACTTTGAATGTATTATAGCAAGAAATAACCAACGGACAGTGTGTGGGGAGTGGGGTAGGGCAAAGCTGAATGTTAGCTAAATGCTAAATTCCAACTAGTGGCCAGGCAACCAACTCTCACGACTACATATGTTCATTTGAATCACTTTTTCTTAAACAAATAAAAGATTGACAATTAATAGATTTGTCCAGCATAGAGACCCTTTCTAATAGTTTTTAAGATGATCGATCAGTCTAAAACTAGTCAAAAGGGGCTCTGTATTGGAAGAATTGATTCGTTGTCAAACAAATCAATTAGTTTAAGGAGTGGTGCAAAAAATGCACATATCTACTCATGACTGCCTCCTCCAGGATAAATCTATAAGAATGCAAATAGGATAAATCTACATGCTATGTCTAACACAATGGAATCATGAAGATGAGTCGCAAGACAAAGATCATTATTTGGTCAAAGCCTCTGAGAATAAAAGTTCTTACCATACTATGGCTGCCACATCAACTAAAACAGAAAGAAAAAAAAAAAGTCTAGGTTTTAGCAACAAATGATAATTTTTAGTTGATACGACAGCCATGTAGGTTTCATTACTTTTTAAAGAACGCTATATTTTGCATATGTATGCTTGTTTGTATTAATAGTTGTTTTATATTTTGTCTTGTCTTGAACTTGACATCAGTCAGGATCTCCCTGTTGCAATTCAACGCACCTGCTCTATGAAGGTGTGAAAAACCACATCCCGTAACATGTATAAACATAAACAAACATTTTTAGAAAAAAAAAGAAAATTATAAAAATGTATATATATTTTGCTTCTGTCCCTGACGTGTAAGGTTCAAGTAGTAATTAGTCATTCAATTTACCTTGTTATCTGTTATCCAGGTCTGTAACCCTGAAAATGTAAAGCTGGCCCAATTCCCACCATAGTAATTTCTCCTGTGAGGAAATAAAAAAATAACTCGGTGTTAAAAGGATCTCATAAAAATGTACTTTGCAATCACTTCCAAACTGTCAGAGTTAAGTTATATCAAAGATTTGTATTTAAAGAAAAAATAAATGTTAAATGAAAAAAATTTAAAAGAAATGATAAATTTACAGATAGAAAGGAATCACTTAAAATTCATCATTCAGGAATGTACAGATTAATGGTTAAGATTCTTGGCCAGGTTGGTATATCGCTCTTAACCAAATGTCTACATTCAAATGTAATGCTCAAAGGAATATTATATGGAGCTTAAAAAAAAAAAAGCACTAATGACAGCTTTAAACGTAAAATATACAGGCCGTCAATAAAGAGTTATGTCTGAGGTTAATACGTGGCCACATAAATAAAGAGAAAGGTACGCTATTCTCGTTTCTTCTAGGCTAGTCTAAGATAGGTCTGGAGGTGCTCAGGAGGGAGCGAGTTTGGTAAAAAATAATTTCGGAAATGCTTTAACATTTTCCTTTGAGATATCACCTTAAACGCAGACATGTGCCTTTTTAAAAAAATAAAACAAAATGTATTCTTTATTCTAGGAGTGCATGATAAGTACAAGCTTTTGTAATGACATATGACAAGATGTATAATGACAATATTTAAACAAATCATACATTCAAGATGTGCTGCACTTGTTTTTTGTAATGAAAACATGCTTATTCACAGTAGTGGTGAAGAAAAAGGGTCAGGCACAGTGACAAAAGACAAGTAAACATGTTGCACAAATGAGCAACTTTGAGGAATAAAAACGAGGAATAAAAATTGGTAGCCTGCATCCCTGCTAGCATTAAGCTGGGATAACCCCCACCGGTTCAAAGGGGGGATAGTTTGAGAACCACTGCTCTATAGTATTAAAAGCAATATTTAACTTCCCTGCCCTCCCCCACCCCCTAAATATAGTAAAATATTACCTTTATTCCAGTCTGCTGGTGCTGGCTCTGCCCCTGATCTGCCTCGATGGCTGACATCATCAGAGGTGATGATCTCAGACAATCATAATATTTCCTAATAGGAAAGCAGTGGATTGGCTGAGATAATCAATTCTGATTATCTCAGCCAAGGAGGCAGGTCAGGGGCGGAGTCAAACAACATCCTGGCCAATTAGCATCTCATCATAGAGATGCATTGAATCAATGTATTTCTATGAGGAAAATTCAGTGTCTCCATGCAGAGGGTAGAGAAACTGAATGTCAGTGCTGCACAGTATGCATCACTGCCCCAGGAAGAACCTCTAGTAGCCATTTGAGGAGTGGCCACTGGAAGTGTCCCTAGGCTGTAATGTAAACACTGCCTTTTTTCTGAAAAGACAGTGTTTATTGTAAAAAGGCTGCAGGGACTGACTATACTTACCAGAACAACTACATTAAGCTGTAGTGGTTCTGGTGACTATAGTGTCCCTTAGATTCCCTAAAAACCAATCTTTATATGATCTACTTAAAACCGGTATTCCTAAAGCTAAAGTATCCCTGTTCCCAATCTAGTTAAGTGCCCTTACCCCCGAGTTGCAATACAAACTTCTTTTTTAAAAAAAAAGCTTTCTACAGTACTCACTTGTTACCAGCACTAAAGCCCCCTTGGTGCTGCTCACCATTCCTCCTACTGGGAGGTCTTTGAGGAGGTATAGCTTCCTCTGACAATAGCGAATCTAATTCTCATTAGAGGAGCAATGGGGACCTTTATGCAAAACGGCAATGTTTTACTTTAAACGATTAAACATATAGACTATTGACTTTAGTGGTCCTTTAACAGAAGGGCTAAAAACTGCTAACAGGAGCCACAAGTTTTTTGGCCATTAGAGAGTCCAATATTATATATATTTAACATATGGAAAACCTGGGATCTTTCACAGATAGTATTCCATAATCTGTATAAGATGTTGATATCTATTGTTCACCTGGTGAGAAGCTGCATGCCCCAATCAGCCCTCACTTGCAAAGGTTGATGGGAAATGGCAGGATGTGAAGGCAGAAACTCTTCCCATTGCCAAATTTGGCAATAAATCGGGTCGTACATGCGAAAAAAGTATTCTTTATATAATTTTGTTTGTAAAGATTTCTATGAAGGTTTTAATGAAAAACTCAAAAGTGTTACATCTGTTACATCTGTATAAAAGTCAATATGTAGCCTTGCTCCTCCCTATCTCTCCTCATTCATATCGCGCTATAGCTCTGCCTATTTCATTTACTTACCTCCACGTCCGTTACACCATACCCCTGTGCTCCTTTTTAATTACAATTTACACAGTGCAGCACTAAGATGATGTGATCTCATAAAACTCCCATCACAAGAATCCACACTGGAGTAGAGCAGCCCTCAGAAGCGATCACATCTCCTGCCCTTGACTTGTACGTGGTCATTCTCCCCACTGGACTACAGGGAAGCCACCCATCCTGCTAGATATACACAGAGCTGCCCCACACATACACACACATCACCAAAAGTACAATGTGACATATCATCTACACAAGCAGCCCCTATACACAGTCCACATTAAGAAGTATTATACACAATACCACAAACTACCCATGAACATATACAATATAACAGCCCACATATGCACAAATACAATGCTATAAAGCAACTGCAGCACCCATGAATAACGCAAGCACAATACCGCAACATACACACCTTAAATTGAAAAAATAAAAATAGGACTGGCACGTCAAAGGACTTCAAGACCTTGTTATGGCACAGAACTACTAAAAGGTTGCCTACCCCTGTCCTAGTGAACGTTCGGTGGAGCTAACCATCTGTGGTACCCCAGGAGATTCATGGGCACAGGTCAGGTATCGTCGGGGTTTAGTCAGGTGAGCTGGTGAGTAACGGAACTTAAAAATAAATTTAAGAGTGAAAACAAAAAACAAAATCAAAATCGAGCATGTGCATAAATGAGTAACAAGGGTACCAAGTGTAGTCATGTGGTGAGGCACCTTCTCCAGCCCTCAACACAAAGGGTACTATGTTGGCAGAGTCCAGACACCTCGCTTGATGAGTCAAGATGGATGAAAGTACAGAGAGACCTAGTGCCGTCAGGAATACCGGTGCCTCTGATACAAAGCTAAGTTTATGAACAGTACCCTGTGCTCTTTGTGAATTTCATTCATTTTCACTTCAATGTCTTTGATACTGGAACATGCTCCCTCTCCACTTTTAGAAACTTCTTCTAAACATCTTTCTCTAATATTCTATCTCTACACACATTCCCTGTACCGCATCCATTGCAACCTTATTGCATTCTAATTTATTGGATTACAAACTAATAGTTAACTAATGTATGATTGCTATAAGTAAAATGCTCTCTATAAGAGCACTATATAGACTGTGTCACAGACTAATTGTTAATTACTGTATGATTGCCATATGTAAAACACACTGGATAAGAGCACTATATACACTGTATCACAGACTAATTGTTAATTACTGTATGATTGCCATATGTAAAACGCACTGGATAAGAGCACTATATACACTGTATCACAGACTAATTGTTAATTACTGTCTGATTGCCATATGTAAAACGCACTGGATAAGAGCACTATATACACTGTATCACAGACTAATTGTTAATTACTGTATGATTGCCACATGTAAAACGCACTGGATAAGAGCAATATATACACTGTATCACAGACTAATTGTTAATTACTGTATGATTGCCATATGTAAAACACACTGGATAAGAGCACTATATACACTGTATCACAGACTAATTGTTAATTACTGTATGATTGCCATATGTAAAACGCACTGGATAAGAGCACTATATACACTGTATCACAGACTAATTGTTAATTACTGTATGATTGCCATATGTAAAACGCACTGGATAAGAGCACTATGTACACTGGATCACAGACTAATTGTTAACTACTGTATAATTGCTATATGCAAAACGCACTGGATAAGAGCACTGTATAGACTGTATCACAGACTAATTGTTAATTACTGTATGATTGCTATATGTAAAACGCACTGGATAAGAGCATTATATACACTGTATCACAGACTAATTGTTAATTACTGTATGATTGCTATATGTAAAATGATCTGGATAAGAGCACTATATAATTTGTTAAATTTATACCATATAAGAAAAGAAAAAAAAAAGCAATAAAGCCAGACGTGTACATAAACATATTATAATTGACTCATTCAAGCCAGGAGGGGAATTAATCAATATAAATCCAATGGCTGTGCTCCAAATAAGCTCCTATTAAGGATATACAAATAATTGTAACATGTGACAGAAAAACTGCACTCACTTTTTAGATCACAGAATTCTAAAGCACACATACAAAAAAAAAATACAAAAAATAAAATAAGAAAAGGAGAACATAAAATAGAACAACTATTCACGTCACAAATTTTGTATCAACATCCTTCAGTAAAACTGAAATTATGAGCGAAGTCTTATTACAAGTCACGAACAATAAGAGCAATGGGGTAAAAGAAATTTTGCTGACCAAATGAACAAATTACTGTGGGAACTAGATTAATTTCAAAAAAGGGAGAGAGAAAAAAAAATACACAATCAACTCTGCCTCCGTGAGTTTCCCGTTCGCTGTGCCGAGTTAGGACTGAATGCCGTTCTTAGGCATTTTGAATTGCAAATTACTTTTCTAAATCACTTAATGTCTATCCTTGAAATTTCACATGTCAACATCTCATTAATATCTACAGCGAATGTGGCTTTGTGAAAAGAACCACAGACTACATTTATTGAGACAGATAGCTGGCAAGCAGAAATGGTCCTCCTTCAATTACAATTTGGCAGAAGCTAACTTTAGTTTCAAATCAGTCTGCAAGAATTTATGACAGCTAGGCAATCAAGTGTCTATTTTGAATGAGATTAGCTGCTGCTGATGGTGAGGCTGGGCTGCAATATATAAATCAACAAAGGTTCTTCTCAGTGTCTTATAATGGACCACTTTACTACTGTTAAATACAGAGCTATTGGCACCTTTATTAATCACAAACAATTACAATGTAATTAATACTGTACATTCGTAATGAGTAAAGAGTAAAAATATGCTTAATTTTGGGGGGGGTTTCACAGTTTTGGGAGCTTCCTCCCAAAAGGGCTTTTCCAACGGCTTGTTTTCTTTAAAGATTCTGGAATATCCTAAAACACAAACCTAAGTTTGCCACTGATGAGGTTTGTGATACAAAGGATCATGGGAAGTCAAACATTTGCAGTGCTAGGGTTTATTATCCCTGCCTTAATTAAGGTGTAATGGTCATATGTAGGTTTGCTGCACACAGTGTTCATTTTGGTGGCACATTTCAATTTAGTTTTAGTCCTAGTCTTCTGACTAAAAAGCCATTTTGGTTTTAGTCATCTGAATTGTTTCAGTTATAGTCTAGTTTTAGCCAACTAAATCTCCAATAGATTTTAGTCGACACAACTAAAATCTAATGAGTTTAATTAACGCCTCTATGTGTCTATTTTGCCCCTTCCCCAGACCCTCTTTGTCTCTGTGTCCTCCCAGCCCCTCTAGGTGTATCCCTCTCAATCTCCAGTCTGTCTCTTTTGCCCCTTCAACAGCAATTCTATGTCTCCCCCCAAGTTTTTGTCTCTTTTGCCCCTTGCCCAGCCCCTCTGTGGCTCTCATTCTCTCCATAGTCCCATTTGTGGGTATCCTTCCCGCTCCCAGAGCACCTTGCATCTTTCCACCCCAGCACCTCTGTCGCTTTGTGTCAATCCCAGTCACTAGATTAATCTCCTCCACATCTCATTCCCATAGCCGCCCATGTGTCTCCATTCCTCCCTCAGTTCCTCCACATATATCATTCTCTAGGTCCCCCCATGCCACCTCATGTGTCTTCCACCCCTCCCCCCACTCTCGTTCCCCCAGTGTTACTTTTGGTGGCAAATTCCAATTTAGTTTTAGTCATAGTCTTTTGACTAAAAAGCTGTTTTAGTCGTATTTGAGTCATCTGAATTGTTTTAGTTTTAGTCGACTAAATCTCAAAAACTTTAGTAGATTAACATCTGACTAAAAAATTGTTAGTTGACAAAATTAACACTGGTTGCACAACCCGGCAAATTGCACAAACCATGAATACGACTTTCTTATTATTTAATACCAAATTTGTAACAAGTTGATGTTGTCTGTCGCATCACTTGCTGACAGCAGATGTATTTTTTTGTACAGACTTCACATCAAGTAGCCTGCCTAAGTCACATGTGCTTGGGGTGCAATTAGCCCCCAATATAAAAATGACGACATCTCTGTATGTACAACATTTCAAGCAGAAACACTGCACATACAGACTCTTACCACCATAACCCCTTCTAAAATAAGATGTGGTCATGGTGGAAAAAACATTTAACATGGAAGAATTATATATTTTTTTCATAATAAACTTATGTATCTCTCAAACCAAGTAGGATTACTCAGTAAAGGAGACAACTGGTCTATACGATTTAAGTCACAACATTCAATTTTGGAAAACTTTCAGTAGAGTCTTTTTTCCACCTCTGTTAATTTGATTTACATTTTTGAAAGTTAGTGAATGTTTTGTTTGTAATTTAAAACAAGGGACAGAGCGGTCTTTCCAAGAAACTGTGCTCCCAGTTATTATATTACAGAAATACCTTAGTATATATATTTGCATTAGGCAATAAACATTATTTCTCCAGTTGTTTTTGTGCACCTCCAGTAGGACAAGAAGAAGAAAATGGAGAGTTTGTTTCATTGCATTAACATTACCATCTGTTTTGATAACTACATGGTCTTTTTATTTTGCTCTATGAAGTCGGAGTTTACTATAGTCCTAGCCACCAGCATTTCACCTTTATTCTCTGTTCAATATTCCTACTCTCCAGTGACTACTACAATAAAAGATCGGCTGAAGTATCAAGCTGAACCACCTTTCTCTACTAGGCACCTTGGAGCCATATTGTCATTGGCTTAGTGATTCATAGGTAGTAACTGAATTTCATAATTTAATAACTATTATAAAAAAGGATGATGGATAGGGATGCACTGGAGAGCATGAAATAAAAACAGCATAGGGAGTGATGCTCTTGGAACCATGAAATTAAATGGGGGTAAAGAATAATGCACTTGGGTCGATGAAATTAAAGGAGAGTATAGAGGGATACACTATTATGGGGTCCTGTGAAACTAAAAAATGTAGAGGGGGATCATCTTACAGGAGGGTGCTGAGCAATACATCGGGGGCAGTGAAATTACACTATGGACAGGGTAATGAACGGAGGGGGTGTGAAGAGTTACACAAGCAATGATGAGTGTGAAATAAAAGTGGACAGCGAAAATTATATTACTTATAAACTTAATCAAAGCATATAACCGACAGAAATATGCAATATAGACAGCCAGAAAAAAAATCCTGCTCTCCTGTGCTGTGACAAAACAAGTGCTGCCTCTATAGAGTATGATTTACTTACTCATCAACATGAAGAACCCTCTGTCCGATTCTAGAGCAAGCAGAAGCAATGATGGATTCTGGCAGACCTAAAAGTAACAGCATTGTTAGTAAGGGATGAAAGACTTTTTTCCAGAAGTGTTTCTGGGTTGACTTCCAGAATTAGACAATTTCAAACACCATAACTCTGTGTACTCCTTGGGTAGATTATGATACAAGGAACTCCCTTAAAAGACAAATGTCAACAAGTTTTTACTTTTAATTTTTTAAAAGTTTATTACATAGCTACAAAGGCTGAAACGAGACACGTGTTCAGCCTCTCTCACATCTGTTTTCGCTGTTGAACTAAAAGAAGGTAAAAAAAAAAAAAAAACTCAGTTTGAAACACTTTCCAATTTTTTAACAAACTGGAAAAATTCCCTCAGGGCACCAGAATGGCAGTCATATCTCCTTGGATCAAGAAGCTTTTACCCCACATATTAAAAAGGATATCTCTGAATGTTACGCATTTGCAAGCATTCATCCAGTTGATGTTAAAACACAGACTGATAAAACCACTTCTTCAGGCTGAGAATTCCACATCCTTATTGTTCTTACTGTAAAGAACTTTGCCTTAGACCAAATCTCATTTCTTCTAGTCTAAATGACCTTGTGTCTTATGTATAGTCCTGTTTATCCTATATATATTTGAAAGAAGACAGATTTATAATCATCCCAAAGAGGGATTTAGGCTAAAATATTAGCTCCCACAAAGAAACAAGCGATAGAAAGCGATCCGAGCATAACAAGATGGCCAATGGCAATACCGGAACAAAGCGTGGACCAAGATGGCAGCCGCACATATCTATTCCAAAACGAGTCTTGGAACACACAAAATGGCGGCCATGCTGGCAGTAAAGAGTCATGGCAGATACAAGAGATCTAGAAAGAGGCTTGACGAACTTTAGAGAGAGGCGAGGAATGCAAGCTGGTCTAATAATGAACAATGGAACTTTGATAATAAACTTTTAATGACCTTCGATAAATACAATGGACTTGTAAGATCACCATTTCTGACTAAGGAAGCCTTCAAGGTGAAACGCGCTTTAGGTGAGTATATTTGCACAGATTTGCATGAATAAACACTTTTTGTTGGGAATATTTATTAATCTTTATTAAAGTTAAGTGATACTACCAATCTAACACATAGTCCTGTTTATGATTACATTTCCCAGATAATGGTTTGTTTTGGCTCCGAATATATTTGTATATTGCTATCATGCCCTATGAGGCGTCGTTTTTCTAAATTAAACATATTTAAATTTGTTAAACTTCCACATAACTAAAATGATCCATTCCTTTTATTAATTTTGTAGCCTGTCTCTGGGTTTTTTCTATACTATCCATATAATATGCCATAATATCCTTCTTTAGAACAGATGCCCAAACATGACTTTCAATGACTATTTCAAGATCATTTATAAATTTGTTGATTAGCTGGCCATGCTTGCATTGGTACTTCCCCTACTATATAATGCTTTCCTATGCGGTTTCAAGTGGCGCTGGAGGTCCTCATGCATAGCGTGAGGACGTCCAGTGTAAGTTAGGCAACGGCGACCATCCGGAAGTCCCATTAGTGGCTGTCTACCAGAGGTGGAGTTAACCCTCAAAGATAATGGAGTTAACCCTCAAAGGTTATTAAAAACTGCAGTAACTACCTTTACATGGTTAAGGGACTTTGGACACTGTACCCAGACCACTTCAATGAGCTAAAGTTGTCTGGGTGCCTATATTGTCCTTTTAATCTAGGTGGACAGCTAATATAGCAGTAAAGCAGCATTTTATGTACTTTCAGGCAGTTGTTTTCAAAAGTACTCTCACAATTATGATCAATACACACGCACAGTTGTACCATCCAAAACAGGGGTTCCCTTTATCTGTACTGTGTTTTTGGTTTTTGCTTCCTCCTTGTGCCATCTCCTACAACTGGGCTCCAACTTCTGTTAAACTGTTACAGATGTATTGCTGCCCTAAAAGCAGAGGTCCATTTTACCGAGCCAATATAATATAGGCTCCATATCATGTGAGTGGTTCTAGGTATCTAAATTTAAACCATATTAAATTAATATGTCATTGTAGTGGATACACCCACAATGAAAACATGCTTTTTTCACTCAGGGTAAATCTAAAAACAGCTTGCGAAAAATCCAGATCTCTTGTCCAAAGTCTTTGTAAACCGTTCCTTTTTTCCTCCAGCCCTGACTTTCAATCTGTGCCCGGAAATACTTCAGTCTGAGGCTTCTCAATGAAGCTGCGAGCATGCATGCGATCACAGCTTTCCGATGTAATGCAGCTCATTGTAAAAGAGGGGAAGATAGGTGCACACAAACACAGTGCGGTTGCTACTATCGCTAGATTAGTGGAAGTAACAGAATCGGAAATACAGGTTTATGGCCCCAATTATAAAAGTTCCAGTTTCTATTAAAATTTGAACTTTTATAAACCGTCACAATTGTAAAAAGTTTGAGTCAAATAAATAATTTCAGCAAGTGATCCTTTAACCCCTTAAGGACCAAACGTCTGGAATAAAAGGGAATCATGGCATGTCACACATGTCATGTGTCGGGTTAAATAAGCCGCTGTGCACCTTGCACAATACTACTTTTAAACTGACAGAAATTTGTTCTTGAATTGTACAGCTATCTGCTAATGACCAGCAATGAAATTTCAGCTTTTAGATGTCAGCTCCTGACAAGTATTTTTCCAAACTGTGAAACAATCTGTATGTTGATTGAAAAGAATCTTTGCGGATCCAATAATTTCAGATTAATATGTGGGCTTTTTTTTATTAAGGAACTTCTCCGCAAAAACTGAATATGGTCAGATAACGAAAAAAAAATGTAAAAAAAATTAAATAGGAAAATACACAGATTTCTAGCATGATGCTTTGTAATACTGTTAAATTAATATATATTTTTTGTTTTGCTTTTGCACAATATAATTTCAATGCTGAAGAACAGATTTTTTTTTTTTTTCTTAACACTGTACTTACACAGTATAAACATAAAATAAACTACTTACAGCCGTCCTGCCCTATCAAACAATAAATAATAGATTCTCCTGACAGGGCTCTGATGACCTAGCAAAGCCCGAGTGCTTTCAGCCAAAATCATATGGAACCATAAATCATTTTCTACTTTATAGAATATTTCAAAATGGATCCCTGCATTCTACCTTGGAAGTCATTTCATGTGTTATTTATAATCACTGAACATCAGAAAGGAAAGAAAATTGCATAGAACGGAAAATTTACTGTGACTGCGTTTATAAAGAATAACTACTTCATAGGAATAGAAATTATCAAGAATTACCAGCAACTTGAAACCAGGACCGCCTTAAAATGCATACCTTGTTTATTGCCATCAGAACATTTAACCTCACAACGTGCATTAACGATGTAATGATACGTATTGCACTATAATAACATATATTACGAATAGTAAACTGTAGTAAGATGAAGAGATTGGGAATCAGATACTAGAAAGGTTTGATTAGCGATTTAAAAGGACAATCAAGACAGGTGTTGAATCTTTCCCCCCAGTCCTTTTTAAAGGAACACGTATGGCATTATAACAACTTTAGCAAAAAAGTTTTTATGATGCCAGACGGTCCATGGAGCTTCCTTACTCGTTTAGTTTCAACCGTTTATGAAACTGGGTAACTCCAAATCTGGCTCTCCAGATCTGTTCCAGAAATAATTTTTTTTTTTTTTTTTTTTTAAATACGTACTTCTTCAATTAATGTGGACTGGAACTACTGATTGGTTTTGAGCGTTAGCGGACAGTTTTATTATTTTTATTTTATTATTTGTTTACACTTTTTGGCTGTCTGGGGGACTGCCTGATAGCCCCTGCTGGCAGCTGCATAGACTGCTATTGCGGCCATGTGATTATAGTGATCCCATGGCCCAGGAGGGCTGCGGTGGACGCAGCTACTGCAGAGGGACTGCTGGGGACTCAGGCAGTCCACCCCGACTGGGAACACCGGTCCAGGTAAGTACAAGCGTAGTTTACGGCAGTTTTTTGTCGGACATACCCAGTACATTGGGAAGGGGTTAAAGGATTACTCCAAGCACCATAACCACTACAGTCCGCTGTAGTGGTTATGATTCCAAGAGTATATTGGTTCATATCCCGGGTTTAGCAAAGGGTCTCCTCTTACCTGGGTCCCCGCCAGGCTCTGATGCTCCCTGGTGGTCCCGTGACACACTTCTGCAGAGCAACAGAAGCCAAGGCTATTCAGGGGCTGAGAACATCAGTTACCTGCTCTTAGCCAATGACTGATATTCTGTGTAAAATAAAATGCAAAGAATCAACATTATCCAGCCTCTTTATCCAACTCTTGTTACATCTCCAGCAGCTAAGGAGTTATTCTCTGTATGTGTATCGTTTCAATGTGAAACGCTGCACATACAGACTTCGGCCACCACGTCTACTTCAAATCACTGAAGTGGTCATGGTGCTTGGAATAACCCTTTAATGTTAATCCTTGATAAAATAAAGACATTTAGGAGGATAATGTATCCATGTATATTCTATTTATACATCACCATCAGATAAACCTGCTTTTTACTTTCGTACACTATAGCAGATGTACAATAGGCACAAAGGCATATAAGGTAAACCTAAAGGTACATTGTAAGCATCACAACTTATTTTAGAGGTTAATGTGTGCAGTCTATGTTTAGCTATAATAGTTTTCAAGCAGTTTGACAGAGAAATTCTGCTATTGACATAATGACATAGCACAGAAGAGAAAATAGCACAGTCAGTAAAAAAGGGGGATAAAACATTTTTTAGATACATAAATGAGAAAAGAAAAGTAAAACAAGGATTAGTTAGATTAAAAACAAAAGAAGGAAGGTATGTAGAAGAGGATAAAGGTCAGGCTGACTGCCTCAATGAATATTTTTGTTCTGTATTTACAGAAGAAAATGAAGGAAAGGGACCTCAGTTGAGAAAAAGGATAAATGAGTCATTTATTACACGTGAGTTTACAGAGGAAGAGGTTCTATTTCAACTGTCAAAAGTAAAGACAAATAAATCAATGGGACCTGATGGAATACACCCAAAGCTATTAAAAGAGCTTAGTGGTGTACTAGCAAAACCATTAACAGATTTATTTAACCAATCATTGTTAACAGGAGTAGTCCCAGAAGATTGGAAGTTAGCGAATGTTGTGCCCATTTACAAGAAAGGTAATAGGGAGGAGTCGGGCAACTATAGGCCAGTAAGCCTTACTTCAGTAGTGGGGAAAGTGATGGAAACCATGTTAAAGGATAGGATTGATGAACATCTAAAAACACATGGATTTCAAGATCAGAGACAACATGGGTTTACTTCAGGGAGATCATGCCAAACTAATCTTATTGATTTTTTTGATTGGGTAACTAAAATTATAGATCAGGGTGGTGCAGTAGACATTGCTTACCTAGATTTCAGTAAGGCTTTTGACACTGTTGCACATAGAAGGCTTATCAATAAACTGCAATCTTTAAGTTTGGATTCCAATATTGTTGAATGGGTAAGGCAGTGGCTGAGTGACAGGCAACAGAGGGTTGTAGTTAATGGAATATATTCGAAGCTTGGACTTGTCACCAGTGGGGTACCTCAGGGATCTGTACTTGGACCCATTCTCTTTAATATTTATATTAGTGATATTGCAGAAGGTCTTGATGGTAAGGTATGTCTTTTTGCTGATGATACTAAGATATGTAACAGGGTTGATGTTCCAGGAGGGATAAGCCAAATGACAAATGATTTAGGTAAACTAGAAAAATGGTCAGAATTGTGGCAACTGACATTTAATGTGGATAAGTGCAAGATAATGCATCTTGGACGTAAAAACCCAAGGGCAGAGTACAGAATATTTGATAGAGTTCTAACCTCAACATATGAGGAAAGGGATTTAGGGGTGATTATTTCTGATGACTTAAAGGTAGGCAGACAATGTAATAGAGCAGCAGGAAATGCTAGCAGAATGCTTGGTTGTATAGGGAGAGGTATTAGCAGTAGAAAGAGGGAAGTGCTCATGCCATTATACAGAACACTGGTGAGACCTCACTTGGAGTATTGTACACAGTACTGGAGACCGTATCTTCAGAAGGATATTGATACCTTAGAGAGGGTTCAGAGAAGGGCTACTAAACTGGTTCATGGATTGCGGGATAAAACTTACCAGGAAAGGTTAAAGGATCTTAACATGTATAGCTTGGAGGAAAGACGAGACAGGGGGGATATGATAGAAACATTTAAATATATAAAGGGAATCAACACAGTAAAGGAGGAGACTATATTTAAAAGAAGAAAAACTACCACAACAAGAGGACATAGTCTTAAATTAGAGGGACAAAGGTTTAAAAATAATATCAGGAAGTATTACTTTACTGAGAGGGTAGTGGATGCATGGAATAGCCTTCCAGCTGAAGTGGTAGAGGTTAACACAGTAAAGGAGTTTAAGCATGCATGGGATAGGCATAAGGCTATCCTAACTATAAGATAAGGCTAGGGACTAATGAAAGTTTTTAGAAAATTGGGCAGACTAGATGGGCCGAATGGTTCTTATCTGCCGTCACATTCTATGTTTCTATGTTTCTATGACATAATGAAGAATTTTACTTCCTCTGCGTTTGTCCAAATAAGAAGTGAAACTAATCATTATCTCAACAGTAGATGAGCAGGCCATTGGGTGCTGTTAGTTTTTGAGATTTTGTCTCACCGCCTGAAAATTAATAGGCAAAAAAAAAAAAAAAAAAGAGTATTTAAAAAAAAAAAAAAAAAAACAGTATTAAAAGAAAACAAACAAAAAAACAACAACAATGACTTACTCCATAATCAACTAAAAATATCCACCTTAAAGGATCCATAATACAGGTGGTCTAATAAAATGACAAGTACTGCAAACAATGCCTAGATTTTAGAGTAAACATTTAAAAAAAACAAAAAAACTTCCCAAAGCTCTCTTTCATTTTCTATCATTTTAATAGCATTCAGGCTTTACACATTTATTATCACTTTACAAAAAAAAAAGAAAATCAATGCCTAAAAATGGGTTTTCATCAAATGAAAAATCAGATCCTGAAATGAAGATAAGTTTTAAGTTGAAAGTACTTGTGTGTCTAAAGTCATAAACAGTCTATCGACTACTATAGAAGATAAATATATCTTCCTTTATGAGTACAGTGGATCTGGAGCACTCCCTAATGTGCTATTACAAATTATTAATGGTTAAATCTTTTTTCCTGCTCTACCTGAGTGCAGATTGCTGGCCAAATCTATTTTTTTCAACAGTTTTCATGAGAAGGGGGGGAGGGGGTAGAGAAAATATGAGGCCTTCATAAATTATTATGCAATGCTTTATACAAAGACAAATATATTAGCCACAGTTAAAAAAAAATTAATAAAAAAAAACTCCAAGGTCTTTGAAAATCACACATTGAAATGCTACATGTCTATACAACAGCATTTTATTTCAATGTTATGTTACTGTAAACAATCAACACAACAACAAAAAAGAAATAATAGTGCAAAAAAATAAATATTGTTATGATGTAGTCTTAGCTCTAGGGGCACTATTCTCTAATAAGAGAATTAGAGATAACAATTGGCTTAGTGTTAGGAAGCTGTAATAAGTCTAAACGACATCTAGGGACAGCAGTCCTGTTTTCAGGGGGGGGGGGAATCCCTCTAACCTACCATTCACATATAGTAAAAGAAATATAAAGGCCGTGCTGTTAGTTGAAGAGCATAAAAGTAATACGTACGCAGAAATAACTGTAGTTAATCACAGACAATCTGTCTTTAAAATAGTTCCATGTAAAACACCTGTAAGAATAATCCAATCACAGATGGATCCAAGGGTATATAGTGGAAAAAAATAAAATAGCAGGGAGGGGGAGACAAAGCACCGCTAACAGTGCAATAAAGTTAAAATGTTTCAGTGTTTATTAAAAAAATAAAATAAAAAAAAATTCTAATGGACTTTCACATTTGAAAGAGATGTTACCTGCGTATAGTCGGTTACTGCGCATATGAACTCAGAGGGTTTCTGTATGCCTGCTTAATGTTCAGTGTTCTACTTGAAGTTCACCGCTGGAGGAGATGATCTGTGTTGCCACACAGTTCCAATTCACTTTTATAAGTTTCAGCCAAATGGGTTTCACCTGGTAATCGGCTTAATAAATGATTTTATATGGTGACTCGGTCGTCCCTCTCCTTTAAGACTCCATTCATGTATAATGCATGAGATTGCGGGCGCTTTGTCTAACTCTCTTAACTCACTCCCTGGTGTGATTTCATATTTCCGCATTTGTTATATCGGCTGAATTGTAAACTCATAAATACCCCTCTCTAGTGCCTTTTTAGTTTACGAATAGATGAGAACCCAAATAGGTTTGCATTGGCGTTATGCATTGTGACTAAGTGTGCCGACACTATGTTGCATGAATTTCTTGAAATATTTCTACTAAATTCTCAGATTCTGGTAGATCGTTTTCTAGTTGTTCTTCCTACATAATGCAAGCCACAAAGGAATTCAAGGACATGTTACATGATAATTGTTGCAGGTCATCATATCTTTAAGTTTGTAAGTCACGTAATGAGCTGGAAAGCTAATCTCAGTTACTCTTAGTTTGTTATACATGCTCTCCTTACATGCTTCACCCTCATTTATCTCTGTTGATAGAAATTCCTTTGGTGGGACCTCTGTGGATTTTGACAATTTTTATTTTGATGATGGGAGCCCCCACTAAAAACTGTCTTCAGTCTGTTGGGTAGTAAGTCTTTGTATTTCCATAATAATCCCAAATGTTTATTAATTACTTTCTTCAAGTGAAAATGTTCTCTGCATTTCCACTTGAAAAAGGTCTGCTGGCGAAACGCGTTGTGGATATTTTAAACTGTATTGTATTTTATTAAAGTTATTTTGGTCACTTCCTCACTGTGAGTTGCCTTTTTACTTTAAAAAAAAAAAAACTAATATCTTTTTATTTTATTTTACCTATTTTACCTGGCTTCTGTGTTTTATCCTGTTCCAGTGAGACATTAGTCCAAAGAATCCTAGGTGGGGATACCACTCAAGCCCTATACACTGAGCAGTCCGCCTGCTCGTGTAAATGTGAGTAACCACTTTATATTTTATTTTCTGCTTTCCTGATTTTAAATAGAGAACACTATTGCTGTTTATTTTTATTTCATATGACCTTCCCTCAGACAAGACAACACCTCACGTATCCTATAAGTGGGGATTATACCACTGTACACACTTCATACTAGAGCTAGTCCATTAGCTCTATAAAACGTGAGTAGGATCATATATACTTTTACTAGAATAACATCTGATTGTTGAATATACTGCACCATTCGTTGTCTCTTATTTCCACATACGGAGTGTAAGAACATCTTCCACTTACGGAGCTGTTATCCCATATTCTACATTTTCGTTGGCTTCTACATACAGTCCTGCAAAAGACATTCTTGAACTCTACTACTGGACTTTTAAATCACTTAGACTATATTATTATTATTTTTATCTACTTTGCTCTTTATTACTGGCACCGCCTATCTACTACCCTCTACTCTATTGCTTTGTCTACCTGTAAGGCCATCTGAGGGAGCCTTACTACCTTGGTGTGCTGCCCAATTATCCATTGTCTTATCTGTACCAATACCTTGAGCACTGACCCATCTCTACCCTTTTTCCCCCTCTCATAATGTCACATGTTCATCCGCACCTTGTGACATTGATAGTGGTTGCCTGACCCCTGCAGCATGTTGATGGACGCCGGCCGCTGCAGACTTTGGCTTCCCTGTATTCTTATATCCCTGACTTTTGGCTTTCCCTCATCATTGTGTCTCTTTCTGTATCTCTGAATTCGGCAAGTATTCTGACTATTCTGTGGTACGTTAAGTCCGGCCATTCTAAGGCCCGGTAAGACATTACCTTTTAATCCTAGGTGTGATACAGTACTACGTACTGGATCAACTAGTAATCCTGACACATAACAAGGAGAAACTCAATAAAATAAAGAAACACAGTGTAGTACCCAGAAAAGAATATTTGCTCAAATACAATTTACATTTTAGATTATTAGTATATCCATTACAGGAGGAGAACACTTAAAATATGATAGTGTTAAAAGCTGCCATTAGCAATGTTTAGGTGTTGATATAGAAACCTAGCCTACAACGTTCTCATTGCCTGTCTTTAGCTATTTCCCAGTGCAAGTTTTCAGAGATCCTCACAAGTGATACACTCATACAGCATCTGAAACTGTAGCCCCCAACAGATCAGACTGATCATTGGTTGTATGTAGGTTAATTGAGCCAGGCATATAGAGCTCTGTGTGTATGGAAACAGTATATATTGTATAATTGTCCTGATGAAAATTTATGATTTAAACAGAAACATTGACCAAATATAATTATGCAACAGCATTTTCTTTTGCACAAAGTCCCTGGAGTGCTTTTTAGAGTGCCTAAGAGCAGGAGTATGTAAGCAGCATTCCACATGTTGTATACTACATCTACCATAATGCTGGCAAAGCATTATGGGAGATGTAGTCCATAACATCTGGAATACCAGATGTTACCTACTTCAGGCTGTTCCATTAAAGAACCACTATAGTGCCAGGAAAACATACTCGTTTTCCTGGCACTATAGTGCCCTGAGGGTGCCCCCAGCCTCAGGGTCCCCCTCCCGCCCGGCTCTGGAAAGGGGAAAAGGGGTTAAACTTACCTTTTTCCAGCGCTGGGCGGAGAGCTCTCGTCCTCCGATCCTCCTCTTCTCCTCCCCGTCGGCTGAATGCGCACGCGCGGCACGAGCTGCGCGCGCATTCAGCCAGTCACATAGGAAAGCATTCATAATGCTTTCCTATGGACGCTGGCGTGCTCTCACTGTGAAAATCACAGTGAGAAGCATGCAAGCGCCTCTACTGGCTGTCAATGAGACAGCCACTAGAGGATTAGGGGGAAGGCTTAACCCATTAATAAACATAGCAGTTTCTCTGAAACTGCTATGTTTATGAAAAAATGGGTTAACCCTAGCTGGACCTGGCACCCAGAACACTTCATTAAAGGACCACTATAGTGCCAGGAAAACATACTCTTTTTACTGGCACTATAATGCCCTGAGGGTGCCCCCACCCACAGGGACCCCCTCCCGCCTGGCTCTGGAAGGGGGAAAAGGGGTTAAAACGTACCTTTTTCCAGCGCTGGGCGGGGAGCTCTCCTCCTCCGATCCTCCTCCTCTTCTCCTCCCCGTCGGCTGAATGCGCACACGCGGCAAGAGCTGCGCGCGCATTGAGCCGGTCACATAGCAAGCGCCTCTAGTGGCTGTCAATGAGACAGCCACTAGCGGAAATAGGGGAAGGTTAACCCTAGAAGGACCAGGCACTCAGACCACTTCATTAAGCTGAAGTGGTCTGGGTGCCTAGAGTGGTCCTTTAAAGGAACACTCCAGGGCAACAAAACAACTTAAAGGACCACTATAGTGCCAGGAAAACATACTCGTTTTCCTGGCACTATAGTTCCCTGAGGGTGCCCCAACCCTCAGGGTCCCCCTCCCGCCGGGCTGGATGGAGAGGAAGAGGTTAAACTTACCTCTTTCTCCAGCGCCAGGCGGGGAACTTTCCTCCTCCACTCCGCCTCCTCTTCGGCTGAATGCGCATGCGCAGCAAGAGCCGCACGCGCTTTCAGCCAGTCCATAGGAAAGCATTCACAATGCTTTCCTATGGACGCTGGCGTCTTCTCACTGTGAAAATCACAGTGAGAAGCGCGGAAGCCCTCTAGCGGCTGTCAATGAGACAGCCACTAGAGGCTGGATTAACCCATAGGTAAACATAGCAGTTTCTTTTAAACTGCTATGTTTACAGAAAAAAGGGTTAATACTATCTGGACCTGGCACCCAGACCACTTCATTATGCTGAAGTGGTCTGGGTGCCTATAGTGGTCCTTTAATCGAAATTCAGTTTTAATGGTGCCAGGAGGTCCCTGGTCCTGGCTTACTTTCAGGGAAAAGTTTAACCTCTAAGTCTCCTCTCTAGCACCGTTTGCTCCACCGTGTCCAATGCCCATTTTCCAAAAATCTTCCAAACTGAAGCCTCATACAGATGCAGGGTGCAGCTGCATGGCATAGTGCGGATAGTTGACACTAAGTCAATCAGTAGCTCCCCAGTCATACTAAACAGCTTGAGAAACGTACATATATTTCGCAAGCCGTTTTGTGACTGAGGAGGTATTGACTGGCTTAGAGGACAAACTAATGGCCAGCAGCAGTCCAAGGCTTTTGTTTTGAAGAATTTCATAAAGGGGCAGAGCACATCGGTGCTGCAGAACAGACTTTGTAGTAAAAGTGTTCATAAACCCCTACCATAAAAACTTAATTTCAATTATATTGATATGGCATCTGGCACCTAGCACCACAGGACAAGGGACAAAGATAGCACACTTTATCTTCCTCATGACTTCATGAGTTTCCTGGTAACTTCCCACAAACACAAGCTGTCAGTGGTCCCAATCCTCTTCACAGACACCGCAAAAAACAGTAGTCCCCAATTCAGCCAATGCTCTGAGCCCTTGAATTCCATTCAAAAAGGAACAAAAAATTGTTATATCTAATGCAGATGGGAAATTTCTAATTTAGGTATAAGTGAAGATAAGACTGGGCTATGGTACCTAAGGAACCTGGGTAAGTACCAAATTACTAACTAATATATGGTGTGACTCTAACCTGGGAGATGTTGGTCACCTCCAGGAACCATAAAAACTACAGCGCACAGTATTGATCATGGTTTTTAGAGAACTGCTTTACTATTTTTTTTTTTATTCTAGAGCCATTAGAAAAATGAACACATCTTTTGTCCCTTGTCTTGTATGGTTATATATATATATTTGAAATGGGTTTATACAGTTGACAAAAAAAAAAAAAGAGTCCTAAACGTGACTGTCCTGGTTACAGGAAGCAACGCCTTACAATTCAAGAGTAAAAAAAATAAAAAATAAATATGTTGTTGGTTAGGTGTGAAACTAGGATGGGCTGGACAGATCAGAAAGTTTGCGATGCAGCTGCTCCTAATGTGGCGTGTCATCTGGTGTGCACCAAAGGCAGGATGAAATGCCAAACAAAGCTGCCAACACACTGAAAGCGCTTACATACAATTTGAAATAACGTAAATTTCATAGCAAGCGCAGGGGAATCATGACGGAATATTTCCGACATGTATCCTTAACCCCTTAAGGTCACAACTTCTGGAATAAAAGGGAATCATAATGGAATATTTCTGACATGTGTCCTTAACCCCTTAAGGACCAAACTACTGAAATAAAAGGGAGTAATGACATGTCAGAAATGTCATGTGTCCTTAAGGGGTTAAGGACACATGACATGTGTGACATGTCATGATTCCCTTTTATTCCAGAAGTTTGGTCCTTAAGAGGTTAAGGAGTTAAACATATCTGGCACTGCACTTTATAACAGACCTCCTGACCTCACTTCCTACTTAGCTGGGATTATGGACAGATAAGGTACAAATAGCCTAAATACTGATATTTACATGCATTGTGTGTACATATGCATGTATATATGGACAGAGAGAGAAAATACTAAGGAAGAATGAATGGTACCATGAGTAAATAGTGTGAAATCATGCATTATGATTCTCAGCCAGCAATTCAGGTGGCTGAGCATAATGAGAAGTGGATTCCACAGCATTAAAGGTAAGATTAGCTATTCATTATGTTACAATGCTCATGACACAGTCACATGGCCCCCCCCCCCCATGTAATTTATCCCACCCCAAACCCCTATTTTACAATATCTTTAGAAATCATACCGGTCCCGAGAATGACAATCTCAAACTCGGAAGGCAGGTCGTCAGCCATCTTCGCAGGGCGAGCTGTCATGTGACTGCTTGTTGCCGGAAGTGAGCTGTGCTCCTACACTAAGCGTGGCCGGAGGGCGCGGCGGCCATGTTTGATTTGGGCAGATGTCAGCAATGCCTCTCCCATTCAGTGACTGCACCTTCCTAGAGCATGCACTGACTGGTACATTGCTCCAGGAAGCTGATGTGGGTGTATGTGTACTTTTAGTAATATTTGCACAGTTCCAATATGATTGTTAAAAATTCTAAAGCTATTTAAGGAGCACTATATAAATTAATGTGGTTTTAAAAGTCAATAAACTGCAGGGTAATTAAATGTGAATTGCAACAGATACATCAAAACAAACAGGCAGAATATCAGTATTATTATTATTTTTTTGTTGTTGTTTGTTTGCCCATAGTTATTGGTTTAGGCCATGGTTTAGGCCATGGCAGTAAAAACATGATTTTTTTCAACAGAGAAATATAATTCTTGACTGGCAAAATGGCATAATATATGATGTTTGAGATTTCTCTCCTCTAGCACTTCTTCCCTCTTTAGCATACCAATCAACAACCTCAACTGCCCTGATGCCTCCCACCTGCTCTCAGTAAGCACCTCCTTTGGCCTCACACAGTGGTCTACTTCAGCAACTCATACAGCAGGAAACACTCTTGACCTAATCTTCACCAATTTCTGTACCACCTCTAATCTCTCCACTGTTCCATTCCCTTTGTCTGACCACCATCTGCTGACCTTTGACATTGGCATACCACGTACCCAAATTTCACCACCCTCAACTCTCGAATCTTTCAGAAACCTCCACTGCCTTGATCTCCAGCATTTCTACACCAAACTCCAAACTCTCCTTTTACCCATCTCAAATCTTACTTGCCCTAACTCTGCAACATCTCTCTACAACTCCACTCTCTCCTCTCAACTAGACATCATAGCACCGTCTACATTTAAACGCAGCAAGCGTTCCTAATTACAACCCTGGCACACCAAGCTGACCCGATATCTCAAAAAATGTTCCAGAACTGCTGAACACTGTTGAAGTCTCACTCTGCACCTGACTTCCTCAACTATAAATTTTAGTTGCGCTCCTATACTCTGGTTCTTTCCTCTCCAAAAGTAAAACACTTCAACACAAGCACACTGTCCCGCCAACCCAAATGCCTCTTTCACACTTTTAATGCTCTCCTTCGCCCTGTTGCTCACCCTCCTCCTACTACCTTGTCCGCCTCAAACTTTGCAACTCACTTCACTGAGAAGATTTCTACAATCAGGGAAGAGATCTCTAACCTCTCTACCTCCCTTTCCAATAAATCATCCAACCCAAATCCCTCCACTGTTCTATGCTCATTTGCACCTACTGCAACGGAAGAGGTTTCTGCTCTGCTCTTGTCCACCCGCCCCACCACCTGTTCCCTCGATCCTATTCCCTCATCTCTCATCCACATTCTGTCTCCCTCTCTTGCTCTTCCTCTCACTAAAATGTTTAATCTCTCCCTTTCCTCCAGCACATTTCCTTCACCCTTCAAGCATGCAACCATAACCTTGATTCTGAAAAAACCCATCCTTGGCCCCAACTCCCCATCCAACTACCGCCCCATAATGCTACTGCCATTTTACTCCAAGGGTTTTCATCCCCCTCAAGACTCCTTTCCTGCAGCTGTCAAAAATAACCTACTACTTTCTCAGTGAATACTTTTCTAGCAACCTACTTCATTACCCCTACTTATACCCTTTGTGTCACTTTACCCCACTCCCGCTACCCTCTAGCATGTAAACTCATTGAGCAGGGCCCTTAACTCCTCTGTCCCTGTGCATCCAATTGTCTGGTTACAATTATGTGTCTTTTAGTCCACCCATTTTACAGCGCTATGGAATTTGCTGGCGCTATATAAATAATAAAATAATAGTTTGTCACATTACATGTTATGTCATTATAACATTTGGTAGCTAGTTGTCTAAGTCTGGCATGAGTATTTTAGAGGAGGAGCCCTTGAGTTGTTTTGCTATGCTACTGGGAGGATTTAGTGTTAGGGCATTCCTAAGAGGTGGCACACAAATAGATTTATTTCTTTTTTAATATATTTATTTTAATGATCCTTGAGTGGAGATTTATCAAAGTGTTGTGTTCTAAAAAAATTTGATAAGTACTAAAAATAAGGCAATCATCATTGAGCCCAACAGAACCAGCAGGCACGTTACATTGGTGAACCCTAACTTTTTACAATTTGAAACACTTGTTTGTTTTACTAATAAAAACTTTTATAAATTTTTAGGTAAACACAATGATGGAAGGAGAAAAACACGTTATTCCATAATACAAGGAAGTATGCAAAAACCACATCAAATGCGTACAAACAGTATATCCCTCGGGTGAGGAATAAGATGCCTAATTGAGCGTTCATATGAAGAGGTTTATTTTACATGTCTGTGTCTAATAGAAAACTGCACAAAAACAAACAAATATAATGAATACATAAAAAAAAATGTGTTTGTGTCTAGTGCTGGTCTTTCTCTCTGCTTGGATGTCTCTTGTAATATTAGAAATATTTATCTAGTTTAAATCTATTTCATTGCCCTGCAGTTTGATTTACATTGCAACGCATACGTACCCAGCTCAGATCTGTTCCCTGACCTTATGTTTCTCCCTCTCCGCTATATGCAATATGCCTCAACCCATATCTCTGCTTGGGGATTGGACTCAGATAAAGGTGTATCTATCTTAGAGCATTCCAGATTCATCAAGTCACAAAATGTTGTAGTTTTACTCAGGAGTTGAAAACAGTTTTACCCGTCACCTGGAAGAGTACAAGAGGACTGCAGTGAAGCACATATTTAAAAGTGCACATTCTACATTGTATTAGACAGCACTACTCGACACCTTGCTAGGCCGTCGGTGATTCTGGCCCTCTGCTTGCCCAATTGGGCAGGCATGTTTTTAGATTTGTGTCATGGTTTTTCCAACTTTGGCAGGTCCATAAATTGTGCTCTCTCATTGATAGGCATATACATATAGCTTAAATAAATGGTCACGGCACCATAAGTGAAGTTATGGTGCCAGGAGGTTCTGGGCACAGTCTCACCTAAGAAGTTAATTTATTGGCAAACAATTGAACCCTAAAGTTTTCTGAATGGGTCGCTAGTGATAGACTAAGAACAAAAACAGATGTTCTCAGTCTATCAGCTGTGCCTAGTCCTCCTCTTCTACTCCTCCAAATTGAAGCCTTGGACATCCCCAGTAACCAGTGGCAGAGCGGACAAGCACTGTCTTCACAACCTTGTGACTTAACAGTTCATAAATGGATTAATCCCTTAAGGTGAGATGACATCCTGGCACCATAACAAGGACATTAAGATGAAATTGTTATGATGCCTGGAGTGTTGCTTTAACTGGTTTATGAAATCATGATTGTCCTGTGTAGTTAAATATAACAATTTATTACAGTAGTGGATCACAAGTTCACGGTTTAGTGAATAACCCTTTTAGTGTTCTGTGTACAGTCATTTACTGCATAAAAGCACACACAGCTGGAAGTGCTTGAATTACTAATAATGATGAAAAAAACTTACACATTCAGTAATGCATCGTAATGGTAAGAAAGAAAGATATACATGATCCAAATAATACTTAAAGGCCTAAATAATTAATGCTGTTAAAAAATAAATAAAATAACTAGCATGGCACAGAGAAAAAAAAAAAATTAAAATTATAATATGTAAAAAACCAAAACCCTTAATGCCTTAAAAACAGGTAGTTATTTATATCAGCGTTATACTTTCAAATGTACCAGTTTCGGGATTCATTGTGGTCAAAGTTCAAGCGTACTGGCTCTGTGAACGATCACTGTGCATATAGACAATGGTGAAATAAATGCACAGAACAAACAAAATTGGCCAAGGCCCAATATTTCTGTGAACATCTGAACAATAACATATCAGACCCTAGAAACTTTTGGAAAGTCATAAATAAGTTACAAACTCCCCCAATCCACTCCCAACCCTCCACTGTCAAAGTGGGTAACCAAACCTTGCAACTTCCCTTAGATGTAGCAAATGCCTTTAACAATTATTTTGTCGGATGCTCCACCACCCTGATTGCATAGCTAATAAATGATACGCATCCTGAAACTACAAATGTGGATCAGGCCCCACTAAATTTGCAAAGACCCAATATAGACAAGTTAATTTTTAGACCTGTACCTGTTAGTGTCATTAAGAAACACCTTAATAATCTAAAAATGAAAAACCAGTCTGGACCTGATCAAATCCCAGCAATGCTGTTGAAGCTCAGTGCGCCGGCAATTGCTAAACCCGTCACAACTCTAATTAACGAATCCTTGGTGTCTGGATACATACCCAAACTTTGGAAGACTGCGAGAGTTGTGCCTATCCATAAAAGTGGTGACAATACTTTGATTTATAACTATCGCCCAATATCATTGCTCCCAGTATTGTCAAAAATCTTAGAAAAATGCATCCATATGCAACTATGTGAGTACTACCAACAATCAAACTATCTGACCCCTCATTAATCAGGTTTTCGCCCGACTCCACTACAACTGCCCTCTTAAAAGTTTGCTATGACATCCAAACTAGCATGGAACAAGGAGACCTTACTGGAGCTATTTTCCTTGATTTTGAAAAGGCCTTTGACACAGTAGACCACGACATTCTACTGCACAAACCTAAAAACTCAAGTATTGGTGATCGTCCGCTAACCTGGTTTTTCGATCATATGTATCGGATCGATCACAATATGTGTCCATTTTTGACAGCGACTGCCTCCCTCTCTCAGTCACGTGTGGTATTCCCCAAGGTTCCATTCTCTGCCCCCTACTATTCATATTATTTATAAATGATCTGCCTAATGTCTGCAAATCTTAAAATATATACATGTATGCAGATGACACAGTAATCTATGTGAGCAAATCCGATCTACCGCAGCTTGAGGCTGTACACCAAGACCAATTAATCACAAAAAAGCGAATCACAAAAAACAAATTCTTCCTAAACACTGACTAAACTGTCACAATGATCT